GTATTTTTGAAGAGGCAGAGAAACCAAAAAATTTAAAAACGGTTAAGGATGCAGAGAAACAAGAAATATGATAATAGAGATAGCAAGAGACGCAGAGGAATTCGAAGAATTATTTTATTTTTTTTTCTGAAAATCAAGACATTTTTGAATTTTCAAAAAAAAGTTGGTTTTGAAAGAAAATTCGAATTGTTCAAATTTTTCAAAAGCTGCTTTGCGATATGATTTCTAGACTTTCTAAAATTCCAAAACTATATGAAAAAAACACATTTCAAACTAAAATTAGAAATGTTTTAATGCTCAATGCGTGATGAGTGAGGCAACAAATAAAACCCCATGATGTCCGAAAAATTTAATCATTTTTCAAGACAAACATAGTTTTTGATCCAGCTTTTTTGCATTCATTCATTCAATTTTTCATTTCAGACAAAAACATTAAACTTTTGTCCCAAGGTTTCAATGAGCATCTCATCTCCTTGAGCAATATTTTTTTGCTGCACAAAAACCTAATCGGTTTCTGAAAAGAAAAGTATCATGCACTTTTTGCTGCTCATATTTGCTCAAAAAAAGTGCCTGTGGGCAAAAATCAATCATTTTTAATCGAGATTTTTCACATTTTTTATTCATCTCTCGTTTTTTGTTGAGTGCCTGTGCGTTTTTTCTGTGGGCAGGAGAATGAATTGGATTTGGAATTGAATGATGTTGGTGATGAAACATCAGAATTTTCAAAAAATGTTGGAAAAATTGAGGATCTTTATCGGATTTTCAGGCAAATCATGGTATTTTTGAATTTCAAAGAGAATTTCAAAAACAGTTTTTTTATTACAAAATTTCAAAAAAAATAAATTGAAGGAAAATTACATGTGAAGATTTTCAGAGAGCTGGAAAAAATTCTGGAAAATTCTGACTATGAAAATGAAAGCCTTAGAATTTCATTTAGAACAACTCCAAATTTGTTGTCTGAAAATTTACATTTAGAAATTATGACTGGAAAATTTCAATAGTCCTGAAAAAAATTGAAAAACTTGGAAACCTGACTTTTCCAAAAACCTCTAAAAAACCTTACGTATTCAAATGTATTTCCGTGAGAAAAATCTTTTGAACTCTAAAAATTGAACTCTTCCCGCTGAGAACGGAACTGCTGCTCAAAACACGAGCCAAAAATAAAAAAAAACGTTGAGCAAAAAAAGGCGTAATAGAAATCTACCCTGTGGCGATGATCCACGTCAACTTATATTATTTTTTTTTTTCAAAAAATAAATTTTTTATATTGACAATGAATAGAAAAATGAAATCAAATGATGTTCGATGACATCTTGAATGAATGAAAATTAATTGAGTATTCAACAGAATGTTTTTTTTTTCTTATTGAGTCATGTGTTCTTGAACTATTGCTTGATTTTTGATTTAGGATAAGTTAATGTGATTTTCTATGTTTTCTAGATGGGTCTTCTTGAAAATTAGACTCTCTAGGTGCGGCTACTTGAAAACTAAATTTTCTAGAGTTGTCTACTTGACTTGGAAGTTCTCAAGGCGCGAGTCCTAGACAGTTCTGTTTTCTAGGCTCAACGACTTGATGTTTCCTATACTACATACATATATGTATGTTCTCGAAAAATCCAATTTTTTTTGAAGAAGGAGAATTTGAAACCTCGCAACCTCAACTCATCAAATAAAAAAAAGAACGTCATGCGATTCTCGCACAAAAAAAAGCAAAAAAAAAAGAAAATATATGAGATCTCAATATATCTACATAGCGATTCATTAGAATGAATGTGTCAAATTTCTTCCACCTTTTTCTTTCATGGCTGGAAATTCGAGAAAATGTAACAACGGGGAAAAGGAAATGAATGATGAATTTTGCAAAATAAAAATAAAAAATGTTATTATGATCTCTTATTTTCTCTTTGAGATTTTTTGGTGTATGTTACAAATGGAAATGGGCGAAAATTGGTATTTTTTCAAAGAAATAGATACCTTTTAAGCTACGGTTCAAAACATCAACAGTAATTATGAATAAAAACCTTAACCCAATATTTTTCAATGAGGCTCAAATCTCACCTGTTAGTTTTGTTCCCCCCAAACTTCAAAATAAACTAACTTGACTGGCCCGCTTCCGTGAAAAGTTGTTGATATCTTTGAATGTCCCGTCCAAACGAAACATCTTCGGAAGCCTAAAACGTCTACATTATTTGTCTCAAAATCTTCGCCTATTCTTAAACTTACATCAGAAAATGAGAATTGTGCATTTTATGGGATCCCTGCATTCTGTGACCGTTGTCTCTGAAAAAAAATAAGAAAATTAAAAAAATGTACCAAATCACCCCATTAATAACATTTTCTACTCTGAAAAAAACAGAAAAATAATTCAGTTCGAAAAAAAACGTTCAATCAATAATTTCTTTTCAAACAAAAATATATATATATCTCTCTCTAACGCTCTCTCCACTTCCCACACTCTCTCATCTACCCTGCAAAACAAAAACAACAAAATAATCACGCTAAACAACGCGCATGCGGAGTATCGTTGTTTCGCTTCTTTTTTTGTTTGCACGACATTTTTATTTTTTTGCTTTTTTCTGGTTTTTGAGTGTTTTTTTCAGCACAGAAAGTGTTATTAATGCGGTGATTTGATACATTTTTTAAATTTTTTTAAATTTTTAGAAACAACCGTCCAAGAATGCAGGAGTCCCATCAAATCCACAATTGTCATTTTCTGATGTAAGTTTTAAAATAGGCGAAAATTTTGAGAAAATGAATGTAGAGGTTTCAGGCTTCCGAACAAGATGATGTTTCGTTTGTAGAGGGCATTCAAAGAGATCAACAACTTCTAAACGGAACGGGCCAGCCAAGTTAGTTTATTTTGAGGTTGGGGGGGGGGGAGAGGGGAAGAACAAAACTAACAGGTGAGATTGGAAAATATTGGGTAAAGTTTTTTATTCATAATTACTATTGAGTTGTTTTTTTCTCTGCATAGGAAAAATTTGTTTTTTATTACAAAATATGATAGACCCATTATAGATTCGTCCCAAATCAACTACGTTTCCCTTTCCTTTCACAAATCTCGCTTTCACAAAACACAATTTCCAAAAACCTTCACTTTGAAAACCCTCAAATTATCACGCTCTCCTTCAAGGTCGGTTCGGTTGTACATATATCTTTTGAACACATTTTTTATGTTTGTTTGTGAGTATGTATAGAACAAAAGCTTCGGCCCATAACTCATTGGTGAAGGAAATCACATGATATGACACACCACATACACACACCATCTGTTTTGTTGAAAAGCACACACTAGAGAACTTTTTCGGCTAGGAAGGAAGGAAAGGAGTTTGGATAACTTGGGAAAATTTTTTTTGATATGAGTAATGGTTCGAAAAATATTAATGATAGGGAGATCTTGAGATCAATTTTTAGAAATTCAGAAATGTTGAATTTTTGATTTTCTAAGATATCTGTTTGTTTTTTAACATCAAAGTCCCAGAAAGATTTCCAAAACTTGTAACATTTATATTTGAAAACTCATACTAATTAGCTTAATTTCCACTAATTACCTTAGTTTTCATTACAATGATCAAAGAATTTATTCACAAAAGATTACAGTAATTGACACCTCTACATATTCCATTTAAAAATCAAAAATCACCAAGATTTTCAAAATTTCAGCAAGAAAACTGTAATTTCAATTTCTCACGTTCCAATTTCATTTCCATGCTTTTCCCAAACAAAGACTATTTTTTGTTTTTTCATGTCATCGTCAAGCGAAAAAAGTAAAGACAACTTTTTTTTCCAAAATCGCTTTTTTCTTCATTTCAACGCTTTCATCGCTTTGCTATACTTATTTATTATCAAACATGATTTATTATTGACATGTTAGGTTTTGATGTGTTGTTGCAATTTGGACAGACAGACATCTATATGAAACTTGGTTTTCTTCTTCTTCTTCATCAAAGTTTATGTTACTTTTTTGAAAGTTAGAAAACATTTTGGTTTTTGATTGGAAAATGCAACATCCCTGAAAATAGTTTTGTTGTTTTGCAAATTGGTTTTTGAAAACAAAGAAGAACATAAATTTGTGTGTAGTTTGACCGGGCAAACACTTCGAAAATGTTATATATGTGTATACTTTGGTCATGTCAAACGAAGGAGCAGATGTTGAAGGGGTACTGTAGTTGGAAGATAGGGGAGATGTGGGAATAGAGAGCAGAGAATAAAGTTTTATTTTGGAAATAGAAAAATATGGAACGATTTGGAGATTCCTGTAGATTAAAAATTTGGCTTCCTTGAATCCACGTTTTTTGAATTGAATTTGATTTATTGAAATATCTCTGGACAAGAATCTGGACACTGTTCCCCTTTTCACAAAAAATATTGAAATATTTTTTGGAGTTTCAAAATAATCACTTTGCAAATATTCTTCACATTTCTAGTAATCTTTGTTTTTGAAAAATATGACTTCAGAACTTTGTTTTGTAAATTTTCATCAAACAAAAACAGTACAGACTACAGTACTCCTCTCCCAAACAACAAAAATCAAAAATGTTTTGTCTATGTCTCTTCTCTCTCGCTGTCACCTTATCTAGTCATAAATAAACAAATTCAATTTTCTCACGATCTAGATCTACCACTACCAAAAATAGACTTCCTTTTTCATTCTTGTGTTCGCGCCAAAAATGATAGGAAGATAATTAATGAATTAGAGACAAGTGTAAACCATTCTTCTCAATTACAAAAGCGAGGTTATCATTCTTCCTTCTTCATCGAAACATTTCTCGTTTCTTCGAAATATCTCTTCGCTTTTTATGTCATCGAAAAAAAAGACCGTGTTGCAATTTCACAATTTTATTAGCTCAAATAAAATACAGTACCCGTAACGAAAAAAAGAATACATACATAATTAATTAAAGGAACATTGGAGAGATACCGGGAAGGAGATGATGCTTGTTTGAAGGATGTGTTGAGAATATACAGAAATTCGATGCCTACTGTAGATGTACTGTAGTCTAATCACTCTCGATTGTTGATAAATCGAGACCTTCATCCGAGCTGTCTTCCGAATCGGTGCGGTTTTGATAAGTTTGAATGCAGAAGTCGCGAATTCGCATGGCTGCGATTTCCATCTCTTCTTCAGCGGATGTCAAGACAACGCGGAAGAATCCAGGTGCGGAGAATGCTTGTCCTGGCAAGCAGAACACTGATTCAGATTTGATCAAATTTTGACAGAATGTCACATCATCACCATATGATGATTTTTCGACACCAACCATCATGTACATAGCTCCTTGTGGTTTGATGACTTGAAGTCCGGGAACATCTTGAAGAATGTTCTCGACGATGTTTGCGTTGGTTTCAATCACATTTCTTGTGTATTCGAAGTATGATTCTGGTGTGTCGCGGAGGATTTTTGGAAGTGCACCTTGAACAATTGCGCATGGTCCAACAATTTTTTGTGACAATGCAACAATTCCTTTCTTGATTTCAGAGAGCACATTGAATCTGTCGTGGATGATGATCCATCCCAATCTCCAGCCAGGAACCATCCATCTTTTAGCAATTCCATCACAAGTGATGACTGGAACTTTTGGTGTGAGTGAGGCTAATGGGTAGAAGGTGGCACCGTTGTAGACAAGATCTCCATAGATTTCATCAGCAATAATGATGAGTTTGTGTTTGTAGGCGACTTCGAGAATCTCTTCCAAATGACGTTTGGTGAAAACTCCACCAGTTGGATTTCCAGGGTTGTTGATGATGATTGCCCGGGTTCTCGAATCAATCATTGTTTCCAAGTAGGTCAAATCAATTCGCACTTCATTGGCAAGCATATCAATCTTGTAAGCCTTGTCAACAATGTTGTGTGGTCGGCAGAGGGTTGAGTAGAGTGGGAATCCTGGGTGTGGAACTAGAATATTGTCTCCAGCATCAGCGACGGCTTCAATAGCCATTTGAAGCGAGTGTGAACATCCGGAGGCCAAAACAACATCATCGGCTGTGAAGGTGGCTTCTGGAGTGGAGTATTTGTCAACAATGGCTTGACGAGCTGCCAAAGCACCAACGGCTGGTCCATATCCATCAAACATATGACTATCAACTGATTCATGCATCGCTTGCACAGCTTCTGGGCATGGTGGAAGTTTACCACCGACTGATGGGTCACCAAGGTGAAGACGGATAGTGCGTTTTGATGGGTTTGGTTGAACAGCGCAAGCATCGGCGATTTTTCGCACTGGGTTCACAGTGTTTTTCGAGTGAGCAGATTGAGGAACTGTACGCCATTCCATTTTAAGGGTTGCAGCCTGAAAAAATGTTTATTTATTGTTTTTGAAAATGAAAATGTTTTCGAAAATGTGAGAATGTTGAAGTTCTGAAGCTCTTTTATAAGGAAGAAATATATTTCCAAGAAACTCCGCCCATTTAATTTGAGGGTATGTGTTCTCAAGTTGAAAACGAAGTCTAAACCAACCTTAGAGATCATGGTTCGTTCATGCACCAAAAGCTGATCATCGATCGCTTGTTTCGTCAGCACTCGATATGGCGACGACAACGGATGTTCGTAGTTAAGAACGGTTTGCATGTTTGCAGGTTTGAAAGTGAGGAGGTGAATCGAAGTTCAAAGAGTTTGTAGTGTTTAGCTGAAATGATGAAAGATGAGAGTAAGCTATTAATAGCTGAAGAGGTAGAAGGAAAAGTGAACACAACTGATCTACCAAAACGTCACGTCCTTTTATATATATTTGATTGCCATTCCAAGCTCCGCCCCCATTTTTTGTTCGCCGATACGTTTCAACGCTACACACTAACGAAAGATGATGATGATGTCGCGTGGCTGTGTTGTCATCTCTGCACTCTCCTACTCTCTTAACACTACCGGTTCCCACGCCTCCTATTATCTTCCCATGAAGGAAATGAGTGTCTGCGTCTCTTCTCGCTTGCCGCTGATTTTTTCAGCCGCACGTGGCGATGAAATAGTGTAGTGTGCTGATTCTCACGTTTTGTTTTGTTTGTTTGAGAATTATGGTTCGAGGAAAATGGGCGGAGCTTTTGGGGAGAATGAGAAATTAGTGGTTTTGAGTTAATTAGTGGTTTGGTTTGAATAGATGGAAATAACAAGATGTGAAGAGGCGGGAGTACTGTAGTGATCAGAAAAAATGGATATGGGGGAGGAATCGCGAGAAGGGTACGGTAGGCGGAAGTTGAGCTAACTTCCTGAAAAGTTGAAAATGAAACTAACATCCAAATTTTGTAGAGGAATCAAACGGTTTTTTTTGAATGTAGAATTACAGTAATCCAAGTTACGGTATTTTAGATTCTACAATTCAGAATTCTGAAACTACAGTAGTATACTTTCATAATGATTACAAACACAATTATTCCTTTGTCATCATTTTTTCAACTGATGCAATTTTTTGGACACTACAGTAACCCTGGGTTTTTTCATGGGAATAGAAATTTTTCTGTGATCTACAGTAGTCAATTTTCATTTGAACTACAGTACCTCTTCAAAATCATTTCTCAAACACGCCATTTTATCTTCCTAATCATGTTTTTATAAACTGATGCAATAATTCTACAGTACTTCGATATTCTAGTATGTTATTATTTTTATAGTATGTTATTATTTTTAAATTTCAACTACGGTAGTCTAGTAGAATCTAGAGTTACAGTAACCCAGAGAGAATGCATCTACAGTAACCTATCAACTTCCTTTTTTGAAAACCTATTTGTCATCAAATTTCAGTTTCCTCTTTAAAATAATTCTGATGCAATCATCTAGTTTAATTTCCTCGCAACAAAAATCTTACAGTAGTTCTATTTCGGTTCCAAAACATTTTTCCATCTTTCCATAATCAGCTGATGGTATGAATTTTTATCAAAAATCAAACAAAAACACATGTATACAAAAATCAACATATGTTTTCGCACCCATAGGATTTCATCATTTTTGCACCAATCTGGTGCACCATACATACGTCACCAATCATAAATAAGAGATATTACATCAGATTTCTTTCCGGCGGGCGACATTTTCCTGGACATCATCTGATTTTTCCCGCTTGTTTTTATGTTTTCTTGTTTTTTTTGTGGGATAAAATGAAAACATGATTTGTCAGAAGTTTGAAAAATATTTGAAAAATGTTTTTTTTAATCTGAAGCCCACAGAAACTTCTCCGAGAGAATTACAAAAAGTGATGTAAATTAATCGAATCAACATTTGATCTCTTCATTCTACGATTGTTATTGGAATTTCGATAGCTGATGCAATTAGCCCACTATTTTTCTCCAATTTTTTTTTGCAAAAATCTTGGCGAACGGTGACGTCATGTTGACAGATGAAGGGTGCAAGGGTGAATATTTTCTGGTGACGTAGATGATCTCATTGAGGACGAGATTAGAACACATTTGATGTTTGATTTTACGAGGGTACTGTAGGGGTGTAGAAATTATACGATTTGGAAAAAATAGAGAAAAATCTTGAGAGCTGGATAATTAGAGGGTTGCTAGATTTGGATTATTTTTGTTGAGAAAAATATTTGACTTGAAAAGTTTTTTGGGGGATTTTGAAAAAAAAAATGTTGAGATCTTTTGAAATTATTCCAGATTAGTGTAATTATAGGAACACTATTAATTAACATTTAAGTTTGATTCAAATATTTTGAAATACAGTATTCCCAGGCCACTCATAGTTTTCCTAATCTCTAAAATTCTTATCAATAGAATTTTCCTTTCATTTTCAGATAATTTTGTTTTTTTCCTTCAAACCCATCATGGTAGATCAAAAATTTATGTTCTGGAAGAATCAGGTTCGCCAAAGATCACAGTACTTCAAGTAACCTTTTTTAAAGCTACTTCTCAAATCTTACAGTAGATCAAAAGTTTCCAATTCCTAATTCTTCAACAAAATCATACATCTTTCAAAAAATGATGTAACAAAACTTGTCCTCAAAATGAGAACATGAGTACAATACACAGCGATCTTATTTTATTATTTGATTACCTCACATCGCAACAATCAAAAAACAGTAGTAAGTTCAGTGACGTAGAAAAATCGAACGAAATGATATCATATGTTTCAGCTAACAAAGCAATAGTAGATCAAAACTTGACCACGTCATTCTAGTTGCTATTTTTGGTCTCAATACAATCTATTTTTCTCTGCCTCTCTTAGAAGTTGACGAATTGATGATAAGAATAGATGATGATAATTTTCGTTGAAATCTTTAAAGAAACGAAACGTGGGAAATGTGAAATTCATCAACCTGTCTGCGCTCTCTCTCGCTCTCACCGCTTTTTCGACGACACAAAATGTGATGGCGCATCGCCAGATCATAAAAATATCTATCTCTTTTTTTTTGGAAGAAGAATGTACTGTAGGGGTAGAAGAAGTGTGTCGTTGAAAAAGATGATCAACGAAAATATCGGACAAAAACCTTTTTTTTTTGTCGTCAGTTTTTTTCCGGGAAAAGCTCGGATTTTTCTTGCTCGCAAGGGTGGGCTCGAGAGAATTTTGGCTGAAATTTTGGGAAAAATCGGGGCTGAGAGAAGGGGGAGGTGTAAAAATTTGATAGTAATTTTTTGTCACATGATTTTTGTTGTTGTGATATGGAATATGTTTGTGTGTGAGAGATAAGCTTGATCGTAACCCAGAAAATTTCTATAGGAACGATTTTTGAGAAGTTCTGGGAGCTCCGCTGGTTTTCGAGCTCAATTCTGTTTTGTTCTGATTTTTCACACGTGAAATTCAGCTTGAATTATTTTTTCTATAGGTTTCAAAAACATAAAACATGATTGACATTTGTTTTTACTTGAAAAATGTGTTGGGAACAATACATTTTTAGAACCTTCTACAGTCCTTTAGAGATTCAATTCAATATTCACTCAAAAATTTAAATATTTTCAGAAAAAATTTTAGAATCTAGAAAATCCTGAAAATTTGAAAAAAAAGCTTCAACATTGGAGCTCAGGAAGTGCTCAAAATCGCTAGAAACATTTCGAACATTTTCCGAACTTCAAAGGTGAATTCAATAATCTAAAGTTCTCAAACATTCCAGACAATCCAGAGCCTCCTGAATTCCACATAAATTAAAAAATATGTACAAAATTTGATTTTTGTACTTTTTGTACATTTTTTCTTAAACATATGTGATCAGCAGGTGCCTTTTCTTCATTTGAAAAAAAGTGTCAAAATTTTATTGTCTCATGTCATATGTTTGGTCAAGATGTACATATAGTCTTTGGAACAAAACTTTTTTTTTCAAATAATAATTTTCAAAGGGACCTACAGTACATTCTAAAAACGCTTCAAATCCTTATCGAAAATCTACAGTATTCTTTGCAAAACAAGCAAACACACATAAAAACAAAACAAAATGATGATAACAAGATGATAATTGCATCAGTACTATTTTCTTTGAAAATTTTGTCGATTCATTGAGAAAATGTGTGTTTTCTGCAGAAACTTGGCGTTGAAAAAAATGCAACTCATTTTTTGATCTACAGCAGAGGAGTACTGTAGTTTTAAAAATAACATAAAAACAACAGCAAAAATCAACTTATGATGAGATGATCTTTTTGTGATCTGATAACGAGTGAAATCAAGGACTGATTTGTTTTTGTTTTGATGTTTTTTTTTTTTGGGAGGGGGACTTTTTCTAGGCAGCATTAAGAAAATGCTGTATTCCTAGCTTAGAGAAAATACCGTATTGTTTCATTTCAAACTTCAAATTGTGATCTTTCAAATACTGAACTTCAAGTTAGAAATTTAGAAAAACCTGTTTTTATTTTCAAAATTTGACCTTTTTCGAAAAAAGTTGAAAAATATGAACAATGGTGTCTGAAAATGTACCAGGAAGCTAGGGGTACTGTAGATATTGATTAAGAAAGAAGAGAAAATCGATAAGAATACTGTAGTTCAAAACTAGATTTTTTTCTAGCAAAAAGAAAGGAAATGATGAATGAACTACAGAAAATGTGTTTTATTGAAAACAACAATTGCGGATTACTGTAGATTTGAAACAAATTTGAATAATGAAAAAGTTGCTCTACAGTAACTCTTCTAGGCTAGGTTACTGCAGCAATTGGAAAATAAAAATTTGAGAATTCTTGTTTAGTAAAATTATAGACTTACTGTTATTGAAATATTCACCCTCCGGATTACTGTAAAATGATATTTCTGGTTTGGGTTACGGTATTAAAACTATTGATCCCTGTAGAGTTTTTGGGATACTGTATCAAATGTGAAGAATTCCAGTTTTTTTCAATTTTGAATATTTTCGGTTGAATTGTTATTTGAATTAAAAAAACCACAGCAATTCGAATCTGAATCCCAATTACAGTAATCCCAAAAATATCTTCAAAAAATCGTTAGCGCTAAAATCTCAAAGACAATTCTACAGTAACCCAAAGGCCAATTTCATCATCATTTTTCGATTCCTCAAATTTCGACTTCAAAATTCTCACGTTTTTTTGTCAATTAATCATTCGATATCATCAATGATGACATTGATCTCTCTATTTCTCTCATTTTCTTCACAATATGTCAAAAAGAATATCAAAAACAATCTACAAACACCATGTTTGTCTCATTTTCCATGATAAATCATTTTTCTCTTCATGGTTTTGGTCGTTTGAACATAGTCACGTGGTGTTGATCTCCCTCACCCTGCTCTCTCTTAAATTTCCATAATCTCTAGTCAAGTTTGTCGTTGAAATTCTATTAGATTTCTTTTTATTTTTCGGTTGGTTCCTATACGATATGAAGCCAAGCCTACTGTATTTTTGAGGAATATGTATGTATTGAGAGAGAATGAGAATTAGAGATTTTGAGAGAGTGAGAGCATGGTTGTGATGACGTAGCGAGGTCGAACAAACAACGTGGTCGACAACGAAAGGCGAAGGAAAATATGATTTTTTTTCTTGTTTAGGAAATTGCGATGGGCGAAGTTTTTGGTTTTTGTTTTTCTGATTTCAATTGAAACACGTTGAAATGTGATAAGGGGTTCAGGAGCGGTAGCGGGAAAGGAAAGGGGAGCCAGAAATAAAAATTGACCGGAAATGAGAAAAATCGGGGTTTATGAATTGTCAGATGTTCATGAAATCCCAAAGACGTGGAAATTTAGGATCTAGATAACAAATTACAGTATCCTATGGGGGTTTTGAATTTTTTGAATAGCAAAATTGGATTTTCTATAAGACCTAAAGTAACTAAAATTATGTAATTAAAAACGACAGTAATCCTGTTTTAATCAATCCCAAATAAGAATTACAGTAACTGAAATTTGAACAAAAACAACAGTATGATTGAAATTTTCAAAATTGAAAAGTTCAGCTATTCAATATCTATACAGTAATCCGAATTGTCTCACAGTAATTTTGAGATATCAATTTTGAATTACAGTAATAAATAGTACAGTAACTCGTATTCTTGAACTGTTTCATCTCTCTGTCACTGAACTCTCATGAATATACAGTAACCAAAAATCAATAATCTTTTGTATATTTTGAGGAAATACAGTACCCTTCTCATGTGTTGGGAACTACAACAACACCATTTTTTTAGTTTTAGAATTTGAAAATGTTCTGAAATTCAACTTCTGGTATGATACAGTAATCCCAAAGCTTATGTGTTTTCATATTATATTTTTGTTCTACAGTAATCCAATACTGTATTCCTGGAATATATACAGTACCATTTTTAAAACCACCAATAATCACTATTCTTCAAAAATCAAGTCACAAACCACATTTGATTGTTTTTCTCATCTTCTATTAATAAATGAACGCATTTAAAAATATCAATGATTTTTCTCAAAATAAATCACCGGAAATGACTAACTAATGCAATGGTTCTTGGCCTCTTCTTTTTGTTTCGTTCCCTCCACTTTTTGATCTACTCCAAAACGGGGAAAAAACAAGTTCCAAAATAGCATCAATGTTCAAGCTTTACAGTTTTTTTCTTTTATTTGTTGTTTGTCAAAAATGTGTTTCTAAAAATAGTTCCGTCATCGGTCTTGATAAAGATCACATATGTGTGATCGAGAAATTATTTATGTTATTTTTGACCTCCCACGTGGTCGGTTCAAAATCAGGATGGGAATTTTCGAGAAGATTTTTATCACGATGTTAATGATGATATCATTATTTATACAACGTGTGTTTAGATAAACATATTCGTAAATCGAAACACATGGAGGCTACAAAATATAATGATTCACAATCACAAACTACAGGGAGAATTTTTGTTTGTGTGGAAATTTGAAATCTTGAATTTTGAGCAAATTATGTGAAACATCTTGAACCTACAGTAATTTTCCAATTTTTTTATTATTTCTCACATTCAGAACTAACATAAGCTACAGTAACCCAAATCATTCCAATAATTCTCTCATATTTCTCAATCATCATCACTCATATTTTTCTTATCATTTTTGGCGCCAAAAACCTCTCGTCTACCGTATAACCTCGTGATTTCCGACCTGTGAAAGACCAACAACACTGTTTCAAAACTATTGTACTACTCTACTAATCAAAAATACTACTACTAGTCCAAAAATACATGCAAACTCATTCTTATCAACTCAAACTTCACAATTTCCTCCTGACAAAAACGCGGTCACAAACTTTATTGTTTCTACAACACACAATTTTCTTTATGTACCAACAAAAAATTTGAGTGAAGGAATAAAGAAAAATAGTATTTTTGTGTGTGTGTACAAGCCTGTGACTTGACTTTGTCGTTCATTTTATGACCATTCATTCATTGTTTCGGTGACACCAAACATTTTCAAGATTTCGTCGTCGTTGTCTATTAAATCGTTAAATTCCAATAACAACAATTTGTGTGGGTGGGAGAATTGAAAAACGTTCCACTATTTTTGAAAACTGTGAATTTTTAGGGGTTTTGAGAAGCTGGATATTCGGAAGATTGCTCTTCATGAGTTGTTCGAGAGAATTTCACAAGTTTTGAGCGTGAAGATCTGAAAAAAAGAAAATTGATTCAGAACTTATTCAAGATAACTACACAGCTCTTTAAATTAAAAAAGGAAGTCGTTAGAATTATTTTGAAAAATGAATTTTGAGTTGTTCAAGAGAACTACACAGGTTCTTAATTTAAGAACCTCGGAAAAGTTGGATTTATAAAGTTTGAAAAACACTTCTAAAGAAATTATGAAAGGTCTGAATTTGGAACAATGAAATATTTATCGAAAAAATTTTAAAAATAATTATCTGGAAAATTCTCATTTGAATGAACATATTTTTGAAAAAATTAAAAAAAAATGAAATTTTAGACTTAATTCTCAAAATTCTGAAAAAGTAGAATAGATATTTTCACAATTTTCAGATCACAATACATAAATCGTTGATTTTTTTCTTGTTCAAAATTGTACAGTAAATTGAACACATCCGAAAGTCCTGCTCTTTTCACTGAACTTTCCGAAATTTCGAGATGACAGCATATTTTCATTTTTTGTAAATCTCAACAATTTCGCAATAGCTTCCAAAACTACAAAACTTCATAATATTCAATCACAAATAGCGTATCAAAATGATTCACATCCGTTACCAAAAATAGCCTGATCTTTTGTTTGATTTTTGTGATATTCTTCTCCCAACAACCATTAAAAACCAGTTTTCTCTACAAAAATCTTCAAAAATCAACACAATTTTCAAAAGTCAAGTCTATTTTCCTTCCTCTTATCAGCAACCAAAAAAAACTCTATCGCAAGAGAAATCTGTCATCGAAACGTGTTGTTTTTCCCAGTCGTTTTACCGAAAAATGAGACCACGTGGTGAGAAAAAATCAAATGATTAATTTTGATGGTTTGATTTCAAATTGGCCTTTTTTCTATCTGTCCATTTCTGGAATTTTTCTCTTTTCTTATCAATGTCATAAATATAGTCTTTGATTTATATTTATATAATTGTTTGAAAACAAATTCCAGGGATTTATTACTGTTTCTGATTAAACATACATTAAAAGTTACAAAATATATATATATATATATAATTTTCTACGTTTATATCATTATATCATATGGAAATCCGTTCTGTTTTGAGGAGAAAAGAGATCATCTTCGAAAATCGAGATCAGGGAAACACTGTTTTTGAGATATTTGTGGGGTTAAATAGAGTATAGGGAAAGGGAAGGAAAGGAATGTAAATTATGACAAAGAGAAAAATTTTGGGAGTTATCACAACATATTCAATTTGTTATTGCTTTTGGAATATTTACACATAAGAGTCATTATTTTCACAAGGATGTGAGGGAGGGATTTTTGAGGGGATGGAGGTTAAAATTTAAATATATATAAACATATATATAATTCAAAAAAAAAATCAAAATCAAGAGAGAGAAAATTAGGTGAGACGTGTTGATGATTGCAATGTTGCGGTGAATGGGTTCACCGACCCAAATGAGGCAAATCCTGGAACTGGAAAATTTTTTTGATGAAATTTAACTGCAGGAGTTTAAAAATATAGATTTCTTTCTTCCTCAAAAAAAAACCAAAAAAAAAGTTGCCTGCTGCTGGAATCGAACCAGCGTCGCCACGGCCACAACGTGGAGTACTAACCACTATACTAACATGGAATGGTTCCCAAAATTACCCCTGGAAAAAAGGTGTTACTATGCGGAAGTTGTAGGTCCTGGTGGGTTATGAAAAAGCCCAAAGGGATTTTGTATACTAAAATTTCTAACAAAAGTTTCTGGGGGTCGAAATTTTTGGGACCCAAAAATATTTTTTTAACTTCAAAAAATCGTAACTCGGTTCAAACTCAACTATTTAGGTCGGCCAAAAACGCATTTTGGAGCTAAAATAATGACAAATAATAAAAAATTAGCCCGGCTAACATATATTTTGATTTTCGACTCGAAAGTTACCAAAAATTGAGGTGACCTCGAGAAAAAATTTTCAAGTTCGGCATGATGGGGCAAAAATCAGAAAGTCTAGTGTGGTTTTTCGAACTCCTCGCACAAAGTTACGTATATGGACATATTAAAATCATATGGTCCCGAATCTCCGAGAGGCACTTTATTATCGATTTTGTGTTTTTTCTTTCAAAAAAGCGCGTTTTAGCAAGGTGAACTTACTGGTTAAGTGACTAATGCTCGAGTATTTGATCACAAGGTCACAGGTTCGACCCCCAGTGCAAACTTTTTATTTGTATTTTTTAAAAATAAAATTATTTTCTTCTTTAAACTTATGTTAGGGTCTAAAAACAACACGAACAACATTTGTTCGAGATAGTTGCTCCAAGTAACTTCCCAAAGGCAAGTCCACCGTTTAGCATAATCAAAAATTGAAGCTGTATTTCACAAATTGTAAAAAAGGAATGGATTAATTGGTGAATTGTTTAAAACGCCCAAATATTTTGAAGGCAGTTTGAACTTCATCATAATTTTAGAAGAAAACAAATTGTGAGACAAATTCAACGATGATGTTTGAACTTCTTATCTTGCGATCATTTACAGCTGTTTTACTCACTACACTAGTTAATCAAACTCGCTGAAAATAAAAGTTCATGCCTTTTTTTCAAAATTTTTGAAATACAGTTTCGATTTTTGATTTTGATTATGCAAAACGATGGAGAGGGATAACTATCTCGAACAAATGTTGTTCGTGTTGTTTTTAGACCCTAACATAAGTTTAAAGAACTCAGGCAGTAGAAAACTCCGGAGGGGAACCAGAAAACGCAAAAACTCCGGAGATAGGCCAAAGTGGGTACAGAAAATCGAGAAAGCGCCTGTTTTTTATAGTTTGGCACGCCTTTCTAGTTTGATTTTGGCGATTCTCCGGAGCAAATCGCTGTCGATCGAACGCGCTCCATCGAATGATGACAATGACGAGTCATTTTTTTCATTTCATTTTTTTTCGTTTTTCTAATTTTTGCTGTTCCTTCAAAAATGCTCAGTTTTCAGAGTGTCTTTGCCTAATTTGATAATTTTCAGACAATTGAAATCGCCTAGAAGCAATGTGCGTCCTACGAAATCGTCATGGATAAAAGTCAACCTGAACTTGGAATACAATTAGCAATTTTTGCTCCTGGTGAGTGAAGTTTCTTCGACAGAAGTGAATACTAGTTTTATTTATAGATTCAATTGAATCCTCGTGCTAGGAGAATTCGAAAGCAGAGGCTCGCTCAATTTTCATTTCTGGAGGATCGCATTGCAATATTTCCAAAATCGTGAATCACAAGATGTATTCTATTTATGAGGTGAGTCATGAAAAGAAAATCGATGAACGTTTGTTCTTCGAGTTTTTGAGCTTTGATAGTTTCCAAATTTCAAGTTTATGACCATGATCACATCCTATCTCAAAAAGGTCGTTCACAATTTCAAAGTGAGAAATGACGATTAATAATACTCTTGGAGAATCATCCTTATAAATCTATTATCCTTTCTCAATTTTCAGCATGAAATGCGCTTATGGCGTCTCCACACAGTGCTGCATCTCTTCTCGTTGGCTCAAAATGATAAGAAACAGAAGTTCTTGTCAAAAAATTGCCGAAGTCAACACCAAATCTTCATTAGAATGCCAAAGGAATCTTCTGATGCTTATATTCTACTCGCTTGGAGATTGAAACAATCAGAAAATAACTAATTTTTCCTGTTTGTTGAAAATAAATATTGATTTTTGAGAGTGAAAGACCTCGGGAAAAATACGGCACCAAGGCGACATCCTGGGGCGCTAAGGCGACATTCTGGGGCGCCAAGGCGGGAAGTGCTCTCGCCTCGGCGCTAAACAGGTGCGCAGAGAGAACGCACCGGCGCTAAAACGGCGCGCGAAGAGACGCACCGGCGCTAAAATGGTGCGCCAGTGAGACGAAAAAAATAAAAAAAGGTGCGTGAAGGGGGGCATCGAACTTGGGTCAAAACAATGACAACCCATCCTCTTATCCACTTGGACACGCTTGCTACATTTTTAGTGCGGAAAATTTCGATGAAAAGAGAACAAGAGTCATTTGTATGGTAAAATAATGGATTTTTCATGAAAATGTCGCCTCGGCGCTAAAAAGGTGCCGTAATTTCGGCACCTTTTTAGCACCGGGGCGGCCAAAACTCCTCGACAATTTTTGTCGCCTCGGTGCTAAAAAAGGCGCCGTATTTTTCCCGAGACTAGAATGTATTCGAAAAAAGCAGGCGACAAAAACAAAAAAACTCTGGAGAAACGACAAAAAAGTTCCGGAGAATCGCCAAAGCGTACCGAGAAAAGATCCGGAACCGGGTTTGGAGCCTTTTTAGCGACATTCTCGTTCCATTTCGGCGAAACTCTGGAGTTTTCTACTGCCTGAGAAGAAAATAATTTTATTTTTAAAAAATAAAAATAAAAAAGTTTGCACTGGGGGTCGAACCTGTGACCTTGTGATCAAATACTCAAGCATTAGTCACTTAGCCAGTAAGTTCTCCTTGCTAAAACGCGCTTTTTTGAAAGAAAAAACACAAAATCGATAATAAAGTGCCTCTCGGAGATGCGGGACCATATGATTTTAATATGTCCATATACGTAACTTTGTGCGAGGAGTTCGAAAAATCACACTAAACTTTCTGATTTTTGTCCCATCATGCCGAACTTGAAAATTTTTTCTCGAGGTCACCTCAATTTTTGGTAACTTTCGAGTCGAAAATCAAAATATATGTTAGCCGGGCTAATTTTTTGTTATTTGTCATTATTTTAGCTCCAAAATGCGATTTTGGCCGACCAAAATAGTTGAGTTTGAACCGAGTTACGATTTTTTGAAGTTGAAAAAACATTTTTGGGTCCCAAAAATTTCGACCCCCAGAAACTTTTGTTAGAAATTTTAGTATACAAAATCCCTTTGGGCTTTTTCATAACCCACCAGGACCTACAACTTCCGCATAGTAACACCTTTTTTCCAGGGGTAATTTTGGGAACCATTCCATGTAAGCAGGCCGAAAGAAAACGCTCACAATTCTCAAGATATCTCTACTCTCTTCTCTTTTTCACTCACCTGTTTGTGCGTTCAAAAAATTCGTAGCCGGACTTGCGGTAACTGTTGGATATGTCGGATAAACCGCACTAGCCAATGAGTTTTGCGCAGCTCCGTATGGAAGTGCGTTTCTTGGTGAGGTGTGGCTCCGAGCACTGTAATCACTAGCCGATTCGAATTGTGCCGAATATGCGTTGGCATAGTGTGTGAGTTGATCGGAAGGTGATCTAAATATTATCGATTGGATTTTTGCGATAAAATCTGAGGTTTTCTTACCGATTGTAAAGAGCTTCAGCCAATTCTGCTGCTCTTTTCAAAATTTGATCTTTTGGTAGACGTTCGGGGTCTCCAGGATATTTGGGGAGAAGTTTTTGGAGTCTCGCAAATCCGAAATCGATGCTTGGCTCGGTCAATGCTGAAAAATTTGAAACTAGACTATAGGAAGGTGGTAAAACTAGACAATAGTTTGTTAGATGGTGGTAAAACTAAACTATAGTTTATGGTAAAGCTAGACTCTGGTTTTCAGAAATATCACGAAACTTGATAGGAAAATCGAAAAACTACACTATAGTTCAATGAAAAAGTTGAACTAGACTTTAGTTTATTGGGAAGTACTATAATTTCACAAAATGAACAATAGCTCAAAAACATACACCGTATTCAAACTGAAAGACTAGACTATAGTTTATCAAAAAAATAATTACTAAAATCAAACTCACAAATATAAGTAAATCTGAAAGGTGGTCCTCTGAAAGTCTTTGACTTGAATTGCAGTGTAACATCCACCATCCCCGCGCCATGTCTCGCCGGTGTAGTCACCCGCATAGCATGTGGCGAAATGACTTGCACAGCATCTGGCCAAATGGTGACGGCACCAAATTGAACTTGAAGACCCTCGAAAAAATTCTCACCAACCACCACGACTTGTGCTCCACCTTGAACCCAACCTTCGGATGGACATAGGGCTTTGATGGTTGGGACTGAGGTGGTCGACATTTCTTGTGATTCAGAGAATTCGGCTTCTGGAAAAAAATAGGATATTATTTCTAGTTTTTCAGAATTTCTACACCCCTTTTTCTTCTCAAAATCTCGAAAAAAATGTCCAAATGTGTCATGTTTTTCCCTCAAAACATTTCTGTCAACCAAACAGATGACTGATGCTAATCTAAAGATTTATCTCTATATTCCTCATATTATAAATTTGTCACCACTCATTTCACTCCCTCTCAAAATTCCAAAAAAAAAATTTGCATACACTGACGTTTTTATTGATGTCTTCTTCTTCTTCTCGATTACAATTATTATTATTCTAATCGTCAGTTATGACTTTTTGTCATTGTGGCAGCTGAAGGCAGCCGGAAACCGGTGCATTTTTATTGGTGTGAAGGAGAGGGTGTGAACGGGTGTAAATTATTATGTGTGTTTTATAATTAGATGGGTAAATGGCAACAATGAAATTTTTTGATGCAGCTGTCCTCCTGTATCTTTTGATAGATAGAGATATATATTTTTATGGTAATCAGATGGATTTTTTGTTGGCTAGAGAGAAGAATGGGGAAATTTTGAGATTTGGAACCTATTTTCAGAGAGATGAAAGGAATTTTTTAAAATTTTGGAAATACAAAATTCTAAGGGATTGATCATTTGAACTTTTATCTACTATCGAAACATATTTTTTTGATTTCTGAAATCTTGAATTTAAAAACTCTACTGAAGTTTCCCATATAGAAATTTTAATTTTTCAGATTTGAGTTCTAGGATTTAGAAACTAGAGGTTTTTATTAAATGAAAGAGCTTCTAAAAAATTTTCAGAAGAAATTTCTGTGAATTTCTCAAAGCTTAAAAAAATTCCTGATAAAAAATCTCAATGATCAAATTCCCGCAAATCCATCAAAACCATCATCTTTGACCAAATAATCCAGAAAAAAATCTTTTCATCGAAATCCAACACTTCTTTTTCCTTTTCCAGACAATTTCAATTTTCCATCAATCAAAAAAATATCACAAGACAAATCAAAAATCAACAAATTGCAACTTTTTCTTATCAATCAACCAACATACATACAGACCAAAAAAGGGACCATTTTTATATGTATGTAGTATGATAATTAAAATAAGTTCAGCTAATTCCAAGTCCCTTTTCTGCTCTTCATTTTTTCTCTAATCTAACTTCTTAGTCGTTTCCCTTTTTTTCGCGCACAAAACATTTTTATTGTTTTCTTCTCTCTGGACACAAACACCTTCTTGGAAAATGAAAATTAAGTGAAATAGATGAGAGTGTGAGAGGATTAGAGAAAAATGCACAACACAAGGAAAGAGATAATAAGTGAGTAGAAAAAGTAGTGCACAATGAATTTATAATCGAATTATGCACTTACTTGGATATATGTATGTGGAAAATATCCGAGTTGTGATGAAATTAGAAACCCGGAAAATGTCGGTTAGTCAAAAACACCTACCATCACTTGCGTCTGGACGCTTGATACGTCTTCCGTGCTTGGAATTATTGTGGACGAACATATTGTCTGAAACTGCCAAGAGTGGACCATCGATTCGAGCCGAAGAGCTCAACACAACCTGGAAATTTTTTGAATTGTGGATTTGGAAAACATTTTGAAAAAAACTGGAAATTTTGAAGGTAAACAACTTCAAAAATTTTTGGAATTTTTTTCAAGAAAATGTTTTTTTTTCAGAATTTTTCATTTTTAAATTTTGTTAAAGGAGATATATCTAAATTCTTTGTTTTAAGCTACAGTACTTCAGCTAAAAAGGTTATCTGTGAGCTACAGTACTCCAGCTAAAAAATTCAAAATATTGTTCTCTAACTCTTTCTTCCCAAAACCCTTATCTAATTGTTCATTTCTCCCCGGTCTTTTTGTCACTAATTAAAATCACCCATGGGACCAACAGATTGCTAAATAGCCCATTTTGCCATTCATTTCATCCCCACATAACCAAACAACAGATGATATCCAACTGTGTGCCTCAAATTTACAGCTCCCTATTCTTGTCGGCACTCTTTCCCTTAATCTACAGTTCTTGATTGATACACAAAAACCGGGTGGTCCTTTCCTTTTCATAAAAAAAACAAAAGAAAATATTTTGCCACCTGTTAACTTGTCAGTTTTCCTCAAGATTTGATTTTTCTGGGTCAGTGATCCCGATTTTCAAAAAAAAAAAACTCACTTGGAATCTTCTCATATCTCTTGGATTTCCAGCATTTTTCAAGCAATTTTGATTGCATTTCAAGAAGAATTTCAAGAAGAATCTGAAAATATTGTTTTTTTTAAGTTTCATGGCCCGTTTTCTCCGGGTGGTCCTAATTATTATAACAATAATCCAATTTAGTTCCCCATCCAAGTGTCTCTTTAAAAGGATCATCTCATAATACACATGCATTTTACAAGTAGCAATTACACCATCTTTTTGGTGTCAATTATTCTCTATGCACATTTGGCGCAACTTTTTTTCTTTCATTGGTGGAGGAAAAATTGAGGAAAAATGATATGTTTTTTTGAGGAGTGAATTAATTTAGTAAAAGGTGGCGCAATGAGCAGATGGAAACATTTTTATGTGTTTTTTATTATTTTTTTTTCTTGAGGAGAATGGGAGACGTTTTTGGACAAAATTTGGGAGAAGAATGGGATTTGGGATAGCAACGGAAACTGAATTTGGAATATCGATTTTTTCTAGAATTTAAAAGCCATTTGAAATTGAAACTTTTTTGATAATTTTAAATACCAGAAAATATTCAGATCTGATATTTTTCAATTCTGATAATTTTTTTTGGAAAAAATATTCCGATTTCTTGTCAAATTCTAGTTTTGATTTCAAATCTCAATATTCAAAATTGTTTTAAAAAAATGAATTTGTTTGGACACAAAAAACTTTCAGAATTTCAGCTGGGGCAAGTTTTTTCGCCTTTAAAGTGTTCCAATTATTGAATACACCCACACAAAAATAGAACTTCATCTCTAAAAATGCCTTTTTTACCATAACCTAAGCTTGTTCGGTTTCAAAATGTCTACAATTTCAAATTTCATATTTCAACTCTCCCACATTCATTTTCTATCCAATTTTGTGTTCTCTACTCACCGATCAATAATCACCGGATCACTCGGTGTCTCATTGCGATTACCGCAACTTTTCTTCTCGCAACATCTGCTACACATAACTTCATGCGTCAAAAGAACTCGACACATTTCTGGATTCTTGTCTTGTCCCTCATATACAATTGCCTGAAAATTTTTTTCTTGTTGGTGAAAAAAAAAGGAAATTGAGAAAGCAGATAAAGATGATGGATGGGTTACTGTAGAATTGGGTATTGAAGATACTTACTTGTTTCGAAACACTGTCGATTAATCTGACGTAGAGATCTTGCTCAGCGCGGAGCCCTGAAGGAAATTGAAATGATTCCAAAAAATAAAAATAAATGAAAAATTACCATTTTGAAAAACGAGACTCAATCGATAATGAATACCATTTCGAGTTTCTTGTCCATCAATTTCTTTTTCCTTCTCAACAAATCCGGCAAATTGAGTTCGCTCAACTTCGATTGGTTGATTTGAACGGTCATAAAGAGCAATGACAAAGTGGAAAAAGTTGGATTTTCGCAAATTGTTGGGCGGATTTTTCTCGAAATGTGCACGCGAGATTTGAACACTGGAGAAACTGGAATTTTCGAGGGTTGGGGATGAGGAAAGATAAAGATTCAAATTAATTTTTTGATATACTTTTTGAAGTATTTCGAAAATTCTATTCAGAAAATTGTTGAAAAAATATGTTATATTTTTTCTTGAAATAAAATTCAGTCAAAATATTTTAAAAATTTCGAAATTTTCAGTTGAAAAAAGTATCTGAAAATAAATTACTGATGTCATTTTAATCTTAATGGTAAGCCTCAATTTTAGAATAAATCTTAAATTTAGGACTGAATTCAAAAAGCTTAAGCCTAAACCTTCTCGTGCGCTTAATTTTATAAAAATCAATTTTTCTAGTTTCAGAATTTTTTTTCCAAAAGCCCAGTCTTATTTTTATTATCAAAAAAAATCTGAAAGGCAAAATCTTCAGCAACAAGATGAAGCTCAAGCTAGAACTAAAATGAAAAAAAGAATGAGCTCAAAAGAAAAAATAGAGTAGACCTGGGAGTTGTGCCAACTCCCATACCTAATATTCTATGCATTAAAAAAAACGGCAGCGCAACCATAAAAATTTTCAGTCATATTTTTGTGCTCACCTCGCTGATGTCGGATCAAGAAGTGTGTTTGGCCATTGTGCGACGGCGGCAGCGCGAAGGTTTTCATCTTTCACAGACCTGAGTAAGGTATTTGTTGTGGACGAGTCGGTGGAGAAGAACATGTTGTTAGTTTTTTGCACAGCCAGCGTCCCCTCGGGAACCGGCCTCATTACACGCAAGCAAACCCGCGTCGACCCCCCTCGCACCCAAATTCTGACCACACCCCTCGCTGGCTCCGCCCTCTAGCCAATCATCTTTGAGCCACCCTACAGTAATCTAATGGAGGATTGGAGAGTATGGAGAATTGAGAGAGTGCAGAGTGGGAAAGATGGTTGGCTCACTCACTCAATTACTCGACTCGCCTAAACTAGTATGGAATGAAGAAGAAGCGAGTGGAGGAAGAAGATAAAAATTTTATTCTATTTTTTTTGGTTCGAGGGATACTTTTTTTGAAATGGAAGAATTGTGAGGGATGAGGATTTTTTGAGAAAAATTGGAGTTCAGGTGACTTCCGGGATGCAGAAAATGGGGTTTTTCAGTAGATCAGAATTAAAAATGTGGAAAACATGAATGTTGCTAATCGAAAAATCCGAGTTATGTGAACTTTAAATGACAAAACATAACAATTTCGGATCTGGAAAAATTGAATAGAGTAAAAAGTTATGTATCACACATTTTCTGGCTCAAAATTTTTTGATATTTTGATTATATGCTTTAAAAATTAGAGTTAGCTGAACTTTGAATAATTTTTGAATATGGGAAAACTTCGAGAAACTTCACAATATTTCAAAAATATATAAATTACATTGTTTTTTAATTCTCAAAAACTTGAAAAAACAAGACTGAAAACGGGAGAGAAATTTCAAATTTGAAATGGAAAAATAATTTTTGGAAATTTTTGATCTACAGTTGGGTTAGCCTTTTTTGGCTCTAGATTCTGAAAACACCGTGAAATTCATTCAATTTTGGAAATGAAAGTTGGATTATTTTCTAGAATTCCAGATTAGATCTTCTAAATTTTCAAAATCATGAGAGAATTTTTTTTATCTGATATTTTTCAGATAATAAATTTACTAGACTGATTTTCTTCTACCAAGGATCCAAGGTTCACCTTCTCCTGTATCCAATTCAAAACATTCACATATTTTCAGAACATCTCAACCTTGGCAAACTCATTTTCAGCTTCATAAACCCCCTAAACCACCAAAGTTCACTCTGCCACCAAAACTTGACACTTGAAAATGCCAAAAAGTCACAAGTAACTTGATCGATGTATCATTCCTAACACGTTTCGTCATATGTAAATGGTAGTTTCTTCTCTTTTCACTTCAGCAGCTGTCTTGAACTGATGTCTCAAAAAATATGCAAATTTCAAACCCCAATTTTTTGACACAAATTTGTAACTGCTTCTTCTCCTTATCCTCCTCTTTTTTCTCTCTCTCGAAAAAAAAAGAAAACGAAGAAGAATGACACGTTGCCTGTTGCGATTTTTGAAAAGAGATAAGGAAAAACGAGAAGAATATCCCAAAAAGAGGGAAAGAGCTCAAGATTTATTAGATGCTCTCTTTTGTTGGAGAAATGCCTCTTTTGGAACATTTATGATTTATTGCCCAACCGATGCTTTTGGTGTTTTTGGTGGCGGAGAAACACAACAACAAGTTGGCGCCTGTTTGAAGTTTGGTGGAATGGAATGGGTTTTGAAAGAAACATTGAGAAATAGGGAATGTGAATTTTTAAAAATTGAACATCTTGGAATTTCTTAAAGATCTAGAATTTGATAGATCGAGTTGTGATCAGAGTTTTGAAACATATTAAGAGTTAGTAATGATTTCAATTGTTTCTTAAAAGATCGAGAATTGAAAAATTAAAAAAAAACAGGAAGAGTTTCAGTAAAACTTTATGAAACAGGGATACAACTCTCGAAACAGATTTGAAATCAGAAAATCAAACTGAAATTGGAACAGGTTTCAGAATGACTATGGGAATTTTAAACGATCTAACTGAAATCCCAAGTAAAATTCAATATTTTTATTGAATTTTTCAGAATCTTGTTTTTAAATCAGTATATTTTCAGAGTTGGAATTCTTGATCATTTCTATTTTTTAAATCCCGAAATTATTTCTCATGTTTTGTCAAGTTCTGGAAAATATCATCCTAAATTTCTAAAAAAACGTCATCAATTACTGACAATGACAAATAAAGATGAAGCTCTACGTCATCACTATGTATTCAAAATTCCTGATAGCAACTCACTTCAAGACATCGGTTCCAAGAAGATCGAATATCATGTTTTTTCACTTTAGAAAACTCTGATACTAGGAATCAAAATGAAAATATGAAAACAAGAGTGATGTATTTATATTAAATTTCTAGACGAACTCAATTCCCAAACTCCCAGATGTCACCTGAACTTTTTTTGTTGTTTTCGATATCAAAATTTTGTCTCAAATGATATCATTTACAGATTTTTGAGAGAGAGAATGAAACATAAAAATTCAGAAAATAAGGCCCGGAAAAAAGAAACTGAAACACTTTGGCGCTCGGCTTCCTGAGGGACACAGAAAATGGTACAACCCATACAGCTGTGGGAATTTGGGACGGCATATCTTTTCGTTGAATGTGCAGATTTTTTGTTTCGCATTTGGCGGCGCCTTTTTTGGGAGATTTTTGGAATTGTTAAGACCACCCTGGGTGTTCGAAAATTTAAGGGGGATTGTTTTTTTTTTCTAGAAAAACTTCCGGGTTTTTTTTTTCAAAATTTTTAAGATTTCAGGATTTCCTAGCGAGCCCGGAGTTGTGGTAAAACAAGAAAATACCCACTTACGGGTTGGAAATCACTAGGATTTTATACAAAATTTATTTATTTTTGAAAAATGACTCTAGAAACTACTTTGGAAAATCTTTTGCAATCAGAACCGAATCTTCTATCACTTTTCTCAAGACCTCCTAGACTTCTGAAATTCAGAGTTCTATTTATAGAATAGATTCCAAACTCTAGGTTAATTTCAAGATAACAAGAAGAAAATTCTCTCAAAAATTACTTCCTCTGGGATTCCCTAAACTCAAAAATAAATTGAAAATATTATGATATCAACTCTAAAAACAGAAAAAATAAAGTTCAAAACTCACAAATCCACTAAATTATAAAAACGCGAAAAAGCACTCTTATAACCCAAAACAAATGGGTCAACTTTTTCAACAATTTCATCTTTGATATCGTCTTGATTTCTGACAATTTCTTTAGTTATGACAAATTCATCAGTTATGATAAGTTCTTCTTCTTCAGTTTCGATAGCTTCAGCTTTGATAATTTCTTCAATTTTGATAGCTTCAGGTTTAACAACCAACATTTTCAGTACAGCTAGTTAGATACTAATAAGTAATGAATGAGAAAAATTTGGTTGCAAAAGAATTTGGGCTTAAAAGAAACCTATAATTACTCAATAAAGGTATTTTGATGACAATTATTTTTATACATTTTTATATATTTTATCCAAGTTGTTTAGTCAGTAATTAAAAATATCAGAAAAAGATCAAATGATTAGAGAAAGCACAGAGAGAATCCCCCAAACTTACACAGGAATATGAAGATTGAGTGTAGCTTGAGCGTACGGTTCATCATAAAAGTTCATGGCATCAACAATTGTAGTAGCTGTTGTATTACCAACAATCCGAGTTTGACTCATCCCTCTGTCTCTTCGTCTTGCACACTCTCTCGTTTCTCCACCACCTCTCACTTTTCAACTCATTCACAATACGCCTCTTTTTTTCCGACTTTTTGGGGGCTCGACTCTAGAAAAAGATTAATCTATTATATGTCAAGAGATGTGGGGGGAAGCGAAAACGAAACATTTTTGAAAAATTACATGCTTTAGTGCGGGTTACTGTAGCTAAATGGGATTGGATTCTGAATTATTATTATTATGAAAATAGAAACAAGTTGTGAAATATCGCGAACAAAAAAACATCTAAAAACACACAAACATTACAAAAATGTTTGACACAAAAGAAGTCAAGAGGAGGATTTCATCAATCATTTCGGTCTTGTGCCAAAACATGGCGAGCCTCGTTTTTTTTGTTCCTCAAAAAAAGATACGGTAGCTCCTCACTTTTGACACGGATAAATATAGAAGTGATTGGAGGGATGTGAACAAAATGTGAGTTCTTGGATTTGATTTATTTTTGTTTTGGGCATGCCTAATGAGATACAGTAAGATGAGATGATTGGAGAATAATTGTTTTTGTTATTGAGAATGGGAAATGTTGATATTTGGTTTTTCAAGTGGCGTCAGCAGATAGGAAATTCTGAAAAAGGGAACATTATGAAATTGGATTGAACTACAGTATTTTGTAATTTTCTATAGAATGCAATCGGTAGAGCGATTTCAAAATTCGGAACGGCGTGATTTTGAGAGAAGTTGCAGACAGAATTTCAGATTTACAATGTTGCTTTTGACTTTCGCTGATTTGTATCCTTTTTTTTTCTTTGTAAAATTTTTTTCAGGCTATTTCCAGATACAGTTTTTGAAATCCTTACACTTTCAGAACTATTTTCGGATAAAAATTTTCCCAGTTTTTTCATCATCCAAGAACTCAGAACTTTTTCATTATTTTTCCAGGTTTCTAATGATCATTTATATTTTTTCCTGACAATTACATATACATTTCCAAATCACTTTCCAATTTATTTTCATTCCCCATTATCATTTTCATGTTTCAAAATTCCACCATTTCATTATCGTATTTCAAAACATCCTTCTTGTTTTCATCACAAAAATTGTTTTTCATTTTAAAGTTATCAACCTCAAAACAATTTTTTTGGCCAATTTGTCAATTAAGCTTTACCCTGGAATCGTTTTTTTCCTGTTGCTATAGAAATGAGATGAATCACAAAAATTTAATTGGAATAACAACTTTTTTTTTATTTTACGATAAAAAATGAGGAAGAAAAAATATGGAATAATATTAAAATATTCTTCTGACGAGGGGATTTTCATTGAGCTGATTGCTGTTGATCTTCAGGATGCGCTCTAAAAATTGATGAATGTTCTTCTTAATTTCCAAAAAGCTTTATCACTCGATTTAAAAAAAAGGAATAAAATTGGCAAGCAAACACAACCAATCAAAGTGCATACACAAAATCACACAAAAACCGTAAAATGTTGCCGATGGGTCGAAAAGAGGAGTGCAAAAATGAGGAGTTGCTGAATGATAATAAAAATTTTGTGTAGTTGTTGTTATCACCATTTTAGTGTGTCAAAGATGCTGCTGCCCGTTTGGGTGGTTTTGGTATTTGCTGGCCTGATTCAGGCGCAGCTAACTAGTCGAGCACAAGCTGATCAGATTTCTACACTTCCCGGAACTATTTTTCAGGTGAGAAGATAATGGGAGAAGAGTTTTTGGAGGAAAATTAATTCTGAAAATTATTATTCTGAAAATATTCTTGTGACCTTCAGAACATTTTTATAATTTAAAGGGACATTGAAATTTCATAAACTGAAAGCAATTTTAAAAACTGAATTTCGTTCTAAAATTTTTAAATCAACATTTTTTGAAGTTCATTAAAAAAAATGTCCAACAATTTTTTTCAGAATCAAAAATGAAAAATGATATCCGATTTTTTAATTTTTTTAATGAACTGAAACGAAATTTCAGATTTTTTCAAAATCTGAAATATTCCAGAAAAGTCTGAACCATCCAAACTTTCTGAAGATCATTTTTTATCAAGAATCAGCAGCCCTATTTGTGTTGATCAAAGAAACGTTTTCCAGGTGTCATTCAATCAATATTCGGGTTACCTAAACTCCAACACAAAAACTCCAAACATCCGTCAACTTCACTATTGGTACATCGAATCTCAGAAAACACCAATCAATGACTCGCTGATTCTTTTCATCAACGGTGGACCTGGTTGCAGTTCAGTGTTTGGACATTTTGAAGAAATCGGGCCATTCCGAGTTTCCGCTGATAATCAAACACTTTATGAGAATGTTTTTGCTTGGAATAAGGTTTGTTTGTGGTCTGTGCGGAAAAAGAGAAAATGAAACAGTGATCAGAGTTCTTCATAGTCAGAAATCAATTTCTGGTCTATTCGTGTCTAATCGACTTATGTATAATTGATGTAATCTTTGAAAAAGCAACAATCATCTTTTTTGTGATAACAGAACGCCGAAAGGCAAATCGTAAAATTTTTTTATATTTGTCAGCAAGACGAAGCATTTTTGGCAAATTTTATGTTTATTTTTTTTTTGAGGGAGAGGTTTTGAGTTTTATTTGCAATGATAGGAATGGGAAAGTCTGTCTGGAAAATGCTTTATTGCAAAATTGATAAATCAGGAAATCAGAAAATCAAACGCAAATTCAAGCGGGGCAAATACAGAAACTACGGAAGACTAAAAATGAAATCAACGGCCCGCAATAAAATGTAGAGGGCCAAAATTTGATCTACAAGAATCCAGAACTTTACACCAGATTCATGGTTACTGTGGCTTGAATTTTGGTTTCAGATTAAAAAATTTTCAAACATTTACATTCAGATATTTTTTCAAATTCAGAATTACTGTAGCTCAAATTTTGGAAAAAAAATCTCGTGGAATTCAGGATTTTTTTTTCAAAATTTATGATCGCGAAATCAAACAATTTTCAAAATAAAACTTCAGAAAAAAATCCAATAAAATGTTTCCAGGTCTCCAACATTCTTGTAATCGATGCACCAAACACTGGTTTCTCATTCGGAGATGAAGACACAGTTCAAAGTGACGAATATGTCAGTACAGCTCTTCTCAACGCGCTCATCGATTTTTATACAGTCTATCCTGGACTCGTCAACAATGATTTGTATATTGCTGGAGAGGGTTATGCCTCATTCTTCTCTTCTACTATTTTCGAATCACTTTTGATTAATAGCACACCAAGAACCGATGTTTTGAGCACACCAATTCGAGCAAGAGGATTGATTTTGGCGAATGGTGTTTTGAGTGCACAATTGCAATTTAACAGTATTTTACCGTATTTGTATACACATGCTTTCGCTAGCAAACGGTAAATTTTTAGAGATGTGTATATGTGATACAGGAAAATTCGATTTTCAGACAATATGATGACTTGAAAAGCGTTTGCTGCCCAGGAAATTCAACACTGACTTGTGATTTTTACAATGGTGGTGATGTTTGTAGATCAAAGGCTGTTCTTGCTCTCCAATCTTGGTTCAATACTCAGTGAGTGAAGATTGAAACTTCATAGGAATTCTTCTTTAAAAAAATTTTCAGGACAAGCACTTATGACATCTACCAAGATTGCTATCGCTCTCAAATTCTTCTCCAATCCGCAGCCAAAACTCTTGGAATCTCTCTCGCTGTTCAAAACAACTATAACTCAAGTGATCCATTCATTGGATATCCATGCACAGCTGCTCTCTCAACATTCAATTATTTGAATCGAGCTGATGTTCAAGCTGCACTTCACGTTTCACCAAACGTTGTTCAAGCATTCCAGACTTGTAGACCACTTCAATATGGTGCAATTTCTGAAGATTTGTATTTGAGGTTGACTTCGATTATGACAACTAAAAATTATGTGACAAATAATGCCAAGGTTCTGATTTATAATGGAGATTTGGATACGGTTAATAATTTTATTGGAGCTCAACGATTTGGGGAACAACTTGCAAATGGATTGAAATTGAATGTAAGATTTTGTTTTAAAAATTCGGAACAGCTTTCTTGAATTTATTCTTCCAGAAAACCGAAGATCGAATCTGGCGTCACAATTACGATTCTGCATCTTTTGAATGGATGGACGGTGGAGTTATCACAAGTTATTCCAGCAATCTTCACGTCGCTTCAATCCGTGGAGCCGGACATTTTGCGCCACAAAATCGTCCATCTCAAACCCTCCAACTTTACCGCGATTTCGTTCTCGATCTCTATTTCAATAATTGCTTGAGTCAAGTGAACAAAGTTGCCGCTCCACTTTTACCAGCTTATCAACAACAAGTTGATACTGCCGCTAGAAAGAGTGCAGATAAAATTCAAAATCTACCCGGACTCACTTTCCCAATCAATTTCAATCAATATTCGGGATATTTGAATGCGTCGTCTACTCATAAATTCTTCTATTGGTTTGTTGAATCACAAAATGATCCGGCAAATTCTCCAGTTTTATTATGGCTTAATGGTGGACCAGGAAGTTCTAGTGTTTGGGGAATGTTGACTGAAAATGGACCATTTCGACCGAATAAAGATGGACAAACTCTTTTTGAAAATATTCATTCATGGAATAGAGTAAGTTTGCTAATAATCTGAAATTCTGAATCAATCAATATTTTCAGTTCGCCAATGTGCTCTACCTCGAATCTCCCCATCAAGTTGGATTCTCATACTCAACTACACCAAATGATTATATTTATGGAGATGATCTGGTGAGCTCCAACCGACCTCAAAAAAAAACAATTAAAAAATTTTCTAGACCGCTAGTGATAACTACAATGCATTGGTGGATTTCTTCACCAATATTTTCCCAGAATATCAGAAAAATCAATTCTTTATCACTGGAGAATCGTACGGTGGAGTATATATCCCAACTTTGTCCAAATTATTGATTACTCATATTAGTGCTGGAGATATTAATTTGAATTTTAAGGTTGGTTGGGGGAAAAGGAAAACAATCCAAAAAAAAAATACACCGATTTCGCAATACCTTTCTTCATTTTTATTTCTTCCCTCTTTATCTCTAACCAAAATTAGAAAAATAGTGGGAAAACAAGGAGAGGTTAAAGAAATAGAGAAAATGTTTTTTTTTTAATATGGACATATATACTACAAACCTATATTTAAGGTTAATTTTTTTTATAAAACTAAACTTTTCTTATAAAAAAATTGATTTTTTCAGGGAATCGCAATTGGAAATGGAGAACTCACCACAAAACTTCAAGTCAATTCAGTCATTTTCCAACTTTACACCTATGGTCTTGTTGGAGAAACGTAAGTCTTTAGCCAAATAAAAAAATGTTCCTGACCATTCTGAAAATTTCAGTGAATGGAATCAATTGGTGGCTCAATGTTGTAAAAATTATACAGATCCAACACAATGCGATTTCTACACTCCATACATTTATTTTGATTATCTTGGAAATTATCACGCTGTTGCTGGAGCGGATCCATATTGTAGTAGCACGGTGAGTCTCATTTCAAAATTTTTGAAAAATTAAAATTTTCAAATTTATTCAGATCTTGGGAATTGCAAATGATCAAGTTTGGAACAGTTTGAATGATGCTTATAATATTTATCAAGATTGTTATGCAACATCAACTTCGGCTTCAGGATCGGAAACTGGAACTCAACAGAAACGAAGAGCTGCTACTGGATTCAGGGATAATTCGGTGAGAAAAATCTTCAGCTCAAAATTAATCTGAATTTCCAGCGTCTTCTCAATCTTGACTCATCTGATCCGTTTGATGGATTCCCATGCTGGAATGATGCGGCTGTGTCGACTTATTTGAATCGTGCCGATGTTCGAAGTGCACTTCATGTTTCGAGTAGTGTTGGAACTTGGCAATCTTATAACCAAACCGTTAATGAACAACTTTATAATCGTAGTTATTTTGAACTTGATGGTGTTCTCAAATCAATTATTAATTCCTATTATTATCAACAAAATAATATGGCAATTTTGATTTATAATGGAGATGTTGATATGGTTTGTAATCATCTTGGAGATCAATGGTTGATTGAACAACTTGCTCAAGAAGCTGGGCTCACGGTGAGTTTTGATTTTCGATAAATAATCTCAAACAAAAAAAAAGTTTTCAGATTGTATCACCAAGATCCACTTGGAATTACGTCATCGCTGGTTCAAATTACCTCCCCCAACTTGCTGGATATGTCAAAACCTTTTCGTCAAACCTCAATCTTTTGACAGTCAAAGGTTCTGGACATCTTGTTCCACAAGATCGACCTGGTCCAGCTCTCCAAATGATTTATAATTTCGTCAAGGGAATCAATTTCAACACAACATTCCCATATGCTTTCTCAGCTCAACCACTTCTCCCAGCATATTCTGATATCTCCAGCTGCCCAGCACCATCATATCCAGATTCGGTGACCCTCCCAACTCTCCCGCCACTTCCACCACTGCCACCAGGATTCACATATCCACCAATGGCTGCTGACAAAAAGGAGGATTCATCAAGAGCAAGTCGAGTGAAGAGAGATACCACAACTCCAGTTTCTTATGGATATTTGAATACGAATACTACTTATCCAACAAATTTGAGTGCAAATGCGTTGAATGATTTGATCTTGAGCTTGCCTGGATTGACTTTTAATGTGAGCTATCGAATGTTTTCGGGATATTTGACACCGCCTGAGAAACCGCAAAATCATCTATTTTATTGGTGAGTTAGAAAATAGAAAATTTTTAATCCTTACAAATAGAATTCATGCACTCTCCGATTTTCTTGAAGATCTCTGAAAATTTTTTGTAAGCTCCAAATAGTTCTCCTTTGCTCACCAAAAAAACCCTCTCGATATTCATGAATTATAAAAATAGTGGGAAGTGGATCAATAACAGGAAATAAGGAAATTGTTATCGAAACAAATTTTGGAAGATATTTCAAATCTATAGATAAAATTGATGTTAAGAAAACAGTTAACGCTGGAATATGCATAAGGAATAATGGGATGATAGTTTGTAAGAATAACGCGTAGAAAAATTCGATTTGATGCTTCTGATTAACTTTTGAAATTGTTTTGAGAATCTCCAAATTTTTGATGATTTTAAAACAACTTATTCCAAAATATAAAATCATTAAAAATGAAATAGAAGTCACTGTGCAATAAATCACAGTTGGTTCGAGTAAAACATCATTAAATCCGAGAAATATGAAAGATCCTATAAAGACAGTTTGATTTAGCGAAACATTGAACTTGTTTTTCATATCATCTTGAATCAAATTCTGAAATTCTGGGGTGACATAACAAGAAGCAGCTGCAGACCAAGCAAAACCGGTTGTGAATGGGAGCGAGAGCCAGAGAGAAAATTTCCAGGTATCAAATAGTTGATTTAGCATTATAGTATTGCTGGAAGAGAGGAGATTGTGAGAAGGGAGCGGGTGTTCCGATTCAGAAACTTTTTACAATTTTTGCACTTTAGTTGACTTTCAGTTGTTTTTTGAATTTTGAAAATACAACCTGACCTCGTTATAATTTTCTAGACATTTTCAAAAATTGTTTCACTCACCCACTAGCCACCAAATATCGATATAAAAACAACACCAAAAAGAATCCCATTGATGATCCAAAACAAGCAGTGTACAAAACTGAAATCCCTCTCTCTCTCTCTCCAATTTTCTCTCACAACAAATCTTAACTCACCGAGCAAATCATGAAGAGCTTCTGGTGTAAACCAAGTATGATTTGCAATTTTTGTAAAAACAACAAATGCATATTTGTAAGAGTGTAATGTTGGAGATGAGGAATATTCAATCAATCCATAAAATATTTCAAAGATGGAAATTGTTATGATCAGTTTTTGATAAGAACCGAATGATCTTGGAGATTTAGTTCTAACTAGATAAATTAGAATGGAGTTGTTTAGAATGGAGCCAGAAAGAATTAGGATTTTTAGAATTTTCAGAATTATTTCTAAAGAAAAGTCCATTATAGGGATAGTATTGTGAAATGAAATAACATATTAGAATATATTTTTATCCCTCGAGATTAATTACTAGGAATGTACTTTTTCAAAAATCAATTAAATGGCGTTTTTTTAAAGCTTACAAACAACAGGGGGAAAGAATTCAGAGAATTTCTCTAATCTCATGAAACCAAGTCAGAAAAAAAACAAAAACAACAAAATTCCAGGTTCACTGAATCACAAAACGACCCGGTCAATGATCCAGTTGTTCTTTGGCTTAATGGTGGTCCAGGTTGTAGTTCTCTTGGAGGATTTTTCACCGAATTGGGACCATTCCATCCAAATGATGATGGAGGCAATACACTTTATGAAAATGTTTACTCATGGAATAAGAAGGCTAATGTGATTTTCTTAGAAGCTCCGGCCAAAGTTGGATTTTCGTATACCGATGATCCGAACTATTATTGGAGTGATGATACGGTGAGATCTCTAGTTTTTGTGACCACCCACGAAGTTTTTTTTTGACAAAAATCTTATTTTCTGTCCGATTCTACCACCCACGAAGAAAACAATTCGAGACCACCCAGACTTTTTTGCAGACCGCTGAAAACAATGGCTACGCAATCCGCGCCTTCTTCCAACAAAACTTCCCCCAATACGCTCAAAACGAATTCTACATCACCGGAGAATCGTACGGTGGAGTCTATTGTCCAACTTTGTCATTGAACTTGATTCAACAAATTGATGCGGGTCTTTTGAATTTGAACTTTAAAGGAACAGCAGTTGGAAATGGTATTTTGAGTGAATATTTGCAAACCAATTCTGAACTTATTCTTCAATACGGTCGAGGTTTTAATGGTTTGGAGTGAGTTGAAAAAATATTTTTTTTTGAATTTTTATTCACTGCAAAAAAAATATTTTTCCAGCGAGTGGAACAGTTTGAAACAATCTTGCAATCTCACCAACTCTGATCCAATTTATTTCGATTATTCAAACGCCAATGGTGCATGTGGTGCTGCTGTTGACGCCAACGGTGACAAATTTTACGGAATTGATGAGGCCAAGTTAGAATAACTCTCTTTCTTTTTTTCAAATTTGTTTCATTTTCAGCGGCGATCCTTATAACATGTATCAAGATTGTTATCTATATGATCAAAACTTCAATTGGATTACCCCACAAAAATCAAACAAAAAATTGGGAGCTCGTGAAAGAGCGCACAACGCTTTGAAAAATCGTAGAAAGTCATTTGCTTCTAGCTCATCATCGGTGAAATTCCAAAATTCACAAGCAAACGCGTGGTATGGATCAACTGACGCATTCAGAGGATTGAATTGTTTCTCGGGCGATGCACTTGTTGCATATCTTTCAAGAGCTGATGTTCAAACTGCGATTCATGCGAGAAATCAGAATCTTTGGGTGGATTGTGCTGATGAAAATCCAGCGAATAAATGGAATTATCATCTCCAGGAGAAATATTATGATATGAGCAATGTTTTAAATGCGATTATGGATTCGAAATGGTATACACAAAATAATATGAGATTGATGTTTTATAATGGAGATGTTGATACGATTTGTCAATTCCTTGGTGATCAATGGTTGATTGAGAAACTTGTTGTTAAACGTAACTTGACTGTGAGTTTTTAATGGATGATTTGAGGGAAGATTGTGGTATGATTTTCTTTTTTCACGTCGACCTAACTGCTGCAATTTTGAGGGTGTACGGTTTTTCAGTTTTTCCACGAAGTATTACGAGAAAAAATCTCGAATATAATTCATGAAACTTCTTTATTTCCATAGATTTGAACACGCTGATCACGAATATGTAATCAGTTTTCAAAATGGTTCAGTAGTTATTTTGTTTTTCACACCCATTGCAGCAGTTTGTTCTTTAGTGGGTCGACGTGTTTTATTTGAAAATCACGAAACGTAAAAAAAAAATTATAATCGGTTATTGGGGGAACAATAAAAAATGAAATAAAATCCTATGTTTTTTCCATTCATTTTTTTGCATAGTAAAAATGATCGAACCAAAAATTGTGGTCTGCCTTATATTATCTATCATCGTACATGTTATTTCTTACATCTTCAACGTTCTAATGATTATCCTAATTCATAAAGAGCATATAAGAAATGCCAAAATTTATATAATTCATATGATTGCCTCAGAAATTATTCTCAATTTTACTCAACATTTTATTGTTGATGCTAAACTTTTTCATTTTCTCGAAAATTTAACGGACATTGAACAAAAAAATTCTACTGAAATGAAATATATAATAGCTGTGAATTGGGCTAGTTTTCAAATCCGATATGCAATTTTATTAACTATGGCAATTCATCGACTTTATGTAGTGATGTTTCCATTGAAAAAAGATCCTTTCACATTTTCTCGATTGAATCTAACTTTCATATTTTTTTGGGTTTCTATTTTCATTCTTCAATTGTTTATAAGTCAAAATAACAATTGCTATGTTAGCTATGATTCTAAATGGTTCGCAGTCAGAATGAATTGTTTTGAAGAAACTATTTCTAGTATTTTTCAAATTGCAGTAAATATCAAACTTAAATTTGGACCAATTAGTATAATTTTGAGTTTTTTAATCAATATTTTGGCATATATCTCGGTGAAAATAAGACAATGGAAGCATAATAAAATTGAAAATGTGTCGGTTGTCTGGAGAAATTATCGAAAAATAAGATGGATCAAAGAAAAGTAAATTATCCCCTAAATAAATTTATTGATTTTCAGAATTAAGAATTTTTATTTCAGAAAATCAATATTACGAAATTGTATGATAACTTTATTTTTGCTTATCAATACGTTCTATTTTGAGATTTTTTCAATTTATGAGAAATCTTCATCAGAAAATTCTTTTTTTGAATGTATGGCAGTAGTGTTTGGATTTATCGATGTTTTCAGTCCAGACATTCTGAACTTTTTGATATTCTTTGTACTAAACAGCGAAATTCGCAAGAAAATCAAGTTCTATCTATTGTCAAAGTAAACTTGTAGGTCAATTATTTTTGGGGGTATGGAAATGGAAGCTCATTAATTTTAAATGAATGATTTTTGAAAACCAACTTTCTATGAAAAGATTGTAATTTTAAAAGTTTCAGATCCAAAAAATTTTTGATCTACACAACCCAAAAAAATATTGCAGGTAACCTCACCCCGTCAACAATGGCTCTACCAAAGCTCATCATCTTACCAACCAACAATCGCTGGTTACGCCAAATCCTGGACTCAAAACCTTGTTCAACTCACAGTCAAAGGTTCCGGTCATTTTGTCCCAATGGATCGACCAGCTCAAGCTCTTCAAATGCTCACAAACTTCCTTTCAAATCAAGCAAACTACAGTACTCCAGCCAATATTGATGTCACACCAAAATCATTGAACACTGAATATCAAACTCCAGTCACTTGCACAACATCGCAATCCGATCGAGTTATTGGTTTGCCAGGATTACCAACTGATATGACATTCAAACAATATTCCGGTTTTCTTGATGGTTTAAAGGGACATAAATTGCATTATTGGTTGATTGAAAGTGAAAATGATCCAGCTAATGATCCATTACTTCTTTGGTTGAATGGTGGACCGGGAGCTAGTTCTTTGATGGGATTATTCCAAGAAAACGGGCCGTTTAGAGTTAGCAAAGATGGATCAACTCTTTCAAGAAATCCTTATTCATGGAACAAATTTGCTAATATTCTGTTCCTCGAAAGTCCTGTCGGAGTTGGATATTCTTATTCCAGTGATGGAGCCGCAATCACATATGATGATAATACAGTAAGAATTTTCATCAGCAATTCATTAATTTTAATTTAAAAATAATCACATTTCAGACTGCTTATGACAACTACGCAGCTTTGAAAAACTTCTTCCTTGCCTACCCTCAATATACAACTCAAGACTTCTACACAACTGGAGAATCGTACGCTGGCGTATATTTGCCATCACTTGCTAAACTGTTGGTGCAAGGAATTAACTCGAAAGATATTTCGATTAATTATAAGGGTTTGGCTATTGGAAATGGTGTGATTGACAAGAATACGGATATCAATTCGCTTTTCCATTATCAATATTATCATGGAGATATTACTTATACGTGAGATTTTGAAGAATTCAAGAATTAGTTCCAAAAAGTCGATACGAAAAAATTTGAAACTTCCAGAATTTTTTTAAAAACCCCTGGCAAAAAAATGCAATTATTGAAAATTTTGCGATTTGCGAGCTATGAAAAATTAGTTGATAAGCTCTAAAAAAAACTATGCCTGAAAATTGGTTATGTAAATTAATTCTGAAAACGGAACTCAGCGACTTAACTGATTTTCCAGAACCTATAAAACCGCAATGGATCTTTGCTGCACTGGCGACGAATTCAATTGCCAACTAAGCGATCACATTTACGTCAACAATAATTCAATTCCATGGGGAAATGCCACCGATGCCTGCTATCTTTATGTCAGTTTCACGCCATCTTCCTAAAAATCTTCCAAAAAAAATATTTTCCAGGTTGTTCAATCTGGCTATCAAACACTAGCCGCCTCATTCGATCCATATAATCTTTATCAACAATGTTGGACAATTCCAACAGTTCAAAATGTAACTGGATATGGTGAAACATGGACTGGAATCAATTATGAATCTTCTGATCCATTTGGAGGATATGCTTGTTATATGGATAATGCTATGGAGACTTATCTTAATTTGCCAACGGTGCGAAAGGCTTTGAATATACCGGATAGTGTTGAATATTTCTTTGTTAATAAGTGAGTTTTGCTCGATTTTTTTTCAAAATCTCTGAAAATCACAATTCAATTTTCAGCCTCATCATTAATGCCTACAATCAGCAAATCAATTCAGCCACAGATAACTTCAATTACGTCATTCAAAAGTGAGTTTTGCATCTGAAACATTTGAATTTTAACAATTTTCAGCACCCCGCAAAACTTCAACATTTTGCTCTACAGTGGTGATGTTGACACTATGGTTAACTGGCTTGGTGCGGAAATGTACACATCAGATGCGTTAACAGGGGCTCTGGGACTTACCCGAACTCAAGAACGTACTTCATGGATTTATCAAGTTGACCCAATTTATTATCAAACTTTGGGAGGTTATCAGACTAAATACCAAAGTCAGAAGACCAAATTTGATGTTTTGACTGTAAAGGTAACTAATTCCAGATTAAAAAAAACATATTTTTTATTATCAAACTTGTGAATTTCAGGGATCTGGACATTTGGTACCATTGGATAGACCTCAACAATCTCTTCAAATGATCTATAACTTCATCAAACAACGTGACTACAGTACACCATTTGATTTATCCAATAATGTAGGATCTACTACTAATGCTCCAGCAACCACAACACCAGGAACCCCAGTTTCAACAACTCAAGGATCTGGAAGTGTTACAACTACAACAGTTCCTGCAACAACTCAAGCTGGAAATTCTTTGAATATTTTGGCAGCATTTGTTGTATTTATTTTGAATTGGATTTTGTAAATTATACATATTTTTATTATTTTTATTATTTTATTTGTAATTTAAAAATAAATTTAGTTGTAACTTGTTTTTTTTCAACTGGATACTCAAGGAAGATTAAGAGAAGAAAATACATCTTTAAATCAAAGTACAAATTACCTTTCCCATTGTCATACATAGAATTTATTAACTTCCCAGCGTACCCACGCCACGCCAACTTGACAAGTTGGGCGGAGTCCAGTTATGCACATCATAAGTTTTTCATTCTTTTCCTAACTACTTTTTTTATTCTTATGTCAGATATATTTTTTAGCGATTTTTTTATTTTCATACGTCTACGAAATATTTATTTCAGAATTCGAAATGAGTGATCAGCAAGAAGTTAAAACAACATACACTGCAGTTCAAGTCTTATTTGCTTTGAAAAAACTGAACGACGACACTTTGGAAGAATCAAATGATGCAAAAAAATATCTAGAAGATGCCATCTGCAACTCGCCCGATTATGAAGCAGTTCTGCGATTAATAACACATTTTCTTAGTGAAAATAAATGTGGAAACAAACTCGTTGACGCTTGTATTGATGGGATTGAAACGTTCAGCTTGAAAACAAATTGCGATCCATTGATATTCTTTATGAAAGAACTATATACAGAACAACCCAAAAGAGAGTATCTCAGCATCGGTGACAAAAATATTCTACTCGGTTTAAAAAGACGATACGGCAAACAACTCTTCGACTATTTATATGATAAAATGGTGACAAAAGATGCCAGCAAACAATATGTTGATTTTTGGCATCACATGATTTGTAAATCATTTAAAAGAAGTGATATAATCGAGTTCAACGCACTTTCCTCTATGACAGAGGCTTGCTGTATGCATCTTGATTATAGTTTGTTTAGAGATGATATGTTTCGTTATGAATTAGTCGATTATGAGACTATTTTAGTCTGTGTTCTCAGAAGTGATTCTAAATATTATGCATCGATAGCAATTCCAATACATTTCAAGGATTTTCGAAAAGTTGTTACAAAGCTCATTTTGAACACAAAACACTGTAACGAGAAAAACGCAGATTGGGATGAACAAGAAAAATATTACATTGATAAGGTATGTTCATTTATTCATCAATTCGTTGAAAAACAAATATAATTTTCAGTTCATAAAAATGCTTCCTCATTATGAAATGATGAACGCTATCAAATGTTTTCATCGATTCAAGATGTTGAGTGATGAAGAGAAGAAGAACATCGAGGAGAGAATCAACAAATTTCCATCATTCGAAAAATGTTGGTTGAGACCAGAAAAGGAAGAAGAAGAAGACTTTGTAGATGTGCCTAAAGCTGAGCCAACGACTGAACAAGCAACAGAAGCTGAAGATGCTGCTGAAGCTATCGATAACCCTGCAGATGCTCCAGAGCAAACTTTGTACTCTTATTTTTCGTCGTTTTTCTTGTGAAAGCTAAATATTCACCATTTCTATCGAATAATCAATCAAATTTTATTTGTTACTAATTATCATTTATTAATTTAATGCCTTGTTTTATAAAGATTTTAAAATATTCCATTTTTTTTGCTTAAAAATGCCGATTCAAATTATATCCAAAAAAAAAAACATCAGAGAATGTACCCGCACCTGCTCATCGTAATTATGAGATTATCAAGTGCCTTTATAGCAGGGACCAAATTAGAGATTAAAGTGAATTAAGAGGATACAGACGGTTAGAGATATTATTGGCAGGGACAAACATTTGTGGATCAAAAAACTTTGAACAGAAAAAAGTTCAAATTATTCATTTACAATGATAAAACGTAAAACTACCTTTAATTTCTGAATATCACGTCATTTTATATGTAGATCAATTTTTCCAGGACAGAGTAAAACACAAACTTCCCCTATAGTAAAATACAAACGCCGCCTTTTCTCTGATAAAAAATCATAATGAGTTTTTTTGTTCGGTGGAAAAAATCGGCCCGAGTGTTTTCAAAAAAAATCGGCCCGAGTTTTTTCAAAAAAAAATCGGCCTGAGTTTTTTCAAAAAAAAATCGGCCCGAGTTTTTTCAGAAAAAAATCGGCCCAAGTTTTTTCGAAAAAAAAAAATCGGCCCGAGTTTTTTTTTTGGGTGAAAAAAATCGGCCCGAGTTTTTTTTTTTGGATGAAAAAATCGGCCCGAGTTTTTTCAAAAAAATCGGTCCGAGTTTTTTTTTGGGTGAAAAAAAATCGGCCCAAGTTTTTTCAAAAAAAAAAAAATCGGCCCGAGTTTTTTCAAAAAAATCGGTCCGAGTTTTTTTTTGGGTGAAAAAAAATCGGCCCGAGTTTTTTCAAAAAAAAAAATCGGCCCGAGTTTTTTTTTTGGGTGAAAAAAAATCGGCCCGAGTTTTTTCAAAAAAAATCGGCCCGAGTTTTTTTTTTTTGGGTGAAAAAAAATCGGCCCGAGTTTTTTCAAAAAAAAAATCGGCCCGAGTTTTTTCAAAAAAAAAAATCGGTCCGAGTTTTTTCAAAAAAAAAATCGGCCCGAGTTTTTTCAAAAAAATCGGTCCGAGTTTTTTCAAAAAAAAATCGGCCCGAGTTTTTCAAAAAATCGGTCCGAGTTTTTTTCAAAAAAAAAATCGGCCCGAGTTTTTTCAAAAAAAAAATAGGCCCGAGTTTTTTCAAAAAAAAATCGGCCCGAGTTTTTTCAAAAAAAAAATAGGCCCGAGTTTTTTCAAAAAAAAAATTCGGCCCAAGTTTTTTCAAAAAATCGGCCCGAGTTTTTTCAAAAAAATCGGCCCGAGTTTTTTCAAAAAAAAAATCGGCCCAAGTTTTTTCGAAAAAAAAATCGGCCCGAGTTTTTTTTGTTTGACAAAAATACCCGCCCAAATGAAAATTTCGATTTGAGCGGGTAGCTGAAAAAAATTGAAATTTTTATTTTCATGTATACAGTCAACAAAAAAAGTAACAGATTTGGAATAATCCAAAAATGTAAAAATGAAGTCGATGAGTTGGGACCTAAATGACACTTCCTTTCAGGCTTAGGCTTAGTAAGCCACCCAGAACCAACTTTGAAGCTAAAAAAAATTGAAAGAAAATTTTTAACACTGTTAAAAAACAAGAAAATTCAGAATTTCATCCAGAAATGAAATTATTGAGAAAAGTCATGTCTCCAAACCGAAATTTATGTTTGGAGACGGTCATGTCTATAATAATGCAAATAAAAAAAGATTCAATAATTTTTTATGAAAAATAGTTTGATGACTTCATCCATGGCAAAATTAGGAAGCCTTCCTGATTTTGCGACGAGTCACTTTTTGATCAAAAAACTTGAAATTTTTCATGAATTTTTTTTCCACAGAAAATTGAAAATAATCACAGAAAAAAACGGAATTGAAATAATAAGAAGACTGTTACGCCTGGGGGCTAACAGCCCCTAGGTCATCATTGTGAAAATTCAGATTTAAAAAATGTATTATTTATTTTAAAACCGCATAATTTAAAATCTCGAAAAAACACACGAAAAAAACGAAAGCGTCAAAAAATGTCATCAGTAAAAAAGTCAGAAATATGAAGAAAATTTGGTCAAGTCAATAAAAAAGAGAAGATATGATTTTAAAAATTTTGGTTCAAAAGTTAGTGGGACCTTTAAAAGATCTAAAGTTTGTTATTAAGATAGTAGGCGTTGCCAAAATTTTTGGCATTTTTTGATGATGTTGGTTGGCCTGCTGAATTTGGATATGATCCATAGTTTGATGGTCCCGGGCGAGCATCTTGGCTGGAATTTCTTTGAGTGACAGCCTGGAAAAAAAATGAATTTAGAAACTTGGAAATGAGAAGAAGAAGAAGTAGGAAACTTACTGGTACCGATGCAAAATCTTGATGTTTGTATGGATCTTGGGTGACCGATGCGTCGCTGTAGGATGGCATCAATTCATCCGATCTTCCTGGAGCAGAATCAGCCATTCTGCAAAAAAACAGTTGGTTGGAATTTGAAAAACATAATTTTTTAGAAGAAAAACTCACTCGAAATATTCATCCGAACAATCCATTTGATTTTGCCATTCCTTTGATGCTTGTCTACTATATGATGGCTGTTGTTGTTGTGAAGACTGTGGCTGATTCGCCGCAAAATTCGAACCATAATTCGAAGTCGACGGTGCCGCAATGCTGGCCGGTCCTCCGTGATGCGTTCGACTTCCAGACGCGGCGTGCGACGAATGTCTGCGTCGCCACTCGCTTCCAATCTCCATCGCATCATCTCGATGTTGATTGTAATAGTTCGGTTGATCATGATTTTGTGTATGCTGATTTGGATAGCGATACGCTTGTCCGACAGTGGGTTTGGTGTGATGTGGCATCGATTGTTGTTGTTGTGGTGGTGGTGGTTGAACTGGTTGTGGCGCAGATGTTGGGATTCCTTGACTAATCACTTGATGACTATATGGTTGATGTGATGTTGGCGGTTGACTTGGTGCACGCTCTTTTGTCTCATCTTTTTGTTTAAGGAACGGATGGCGAACAACATAATAGGGCGCAATTCTAGTCTTTGGATCATAGCTAAGCATTCGTTTGATCAAATCCTTGAATTTCGCATAGTCCTCAACAGTATGACCAGGTTCAGCAAGACGACGTCCGCCTGGACCACCAGAAGTGACGCCCAGAATATCGTGAAGTTTACGATGAGCTGGTGCACGGTATGTTTGACGATGACCGCCATCGCGAGTCTTTTTGCAGTAGTAAAGACCTTCTGGAAAAAACATCAATCGATATTTCATTGGATTACTGTAGAATTTTTTGATTCGATTTATTTTTATTGAAATTATATCACATTAAAAAATCCTACGCATTTTAGAAATAACAATTCGGAAGAGAAAAAATAGGGAAGCTTTGTAGAATTTCAGAAAAGTTTCAGATTCCAGATTTTTTTAATGATTCAAAGTTCTAGACTAGCTTACCTTCAGTCTTATCAAAATATTTATGAGTCTTGGCTCCAGCATCCAGCATCTCTTTTGGCGGCATTCCCAAAACTTCCACAATCTTCATCATTTGATCCAATTCCGAACTTCCGGCAAACAACGGTTCACCGGTATGCATCTCCACCAAAATACAACCCAACGACCACATATCAATTTTCGTGTCATACGCAATACCCAACAATACTTCAGGCGATCGATAGAATCTTGATTGGATATACTGATAGATGCGATGACCAGTTTGACACGAGCTACCGAAATCGATGACTCGAATCTGGCTGCGCTTCGCATTTACCAATAGCACGTTTTCAGGCTTCAAATCGCAATGAATAATTGAGAGTTCTGGCGACGAGAGGAACATCAGGGTTTTGCCGAGTTGTTGAGCAAATTTTCGGGTCAGATTCAACGAGACACCACGGAAACTGGTGTTTTTCAATAAATCGTAGAGATTGTATGAGAGCAATTCGAAAACCAAGCAAAGATGTGAACGATGAACAAAGTGTCCTTTGAGGCCAACTAAAATATATTGATTGATTTATTTTTCATTAGATTTTTCTGACTCACCAATATTATACTTGTTCTCTTTGTCATGCGAATTCATGAGTTCAAGAAGATGAATCTCAATCTGAGCTTGGTCAAAGAATGTCTTCTTGTTTTTGATGATTTTGATCGCAACTTCTTCTTTGTTGACAGTATCGTAAGCCTTGGTGACTTGACCAAATGAACCTTTTCCAACAGGGACATCGGAGAGAATGACGTAGCTGAAAATATTGGAAATTGAATTGAGGGGAGAGATCTAGACATTGCTCATGTTAAGTTTTTCAAAGCAAGAATAAGTGTTTTGTAGAAAACTGAAGGTTGAACATATTTTGAGCTCGAGCTTGCAACTTTTCGGTTTTACATTGCTCAGGTTAACTTTTTCAGCTCGAAGAATGACTGTATTAATTACAGGATACGGCTCTGAGTTCAAATGGATTAATCTATCAAAACTTCGTTGTTCAATAAATTTTCTAGATCAACTGAAAAAATATTCAAAATTCCTTACCGTTTATCAAAAACCTCGCCATTCTTCAAAATATAATCATAATTCTTATCATCATATCCACCGTTATACGGTCCACATCGACTCGATCGATGTCTCGATTGTTGTTGTTGTTGGAAGTCGTTTTCGCTGCGCATTGGCACGACCATTTGCGACGCCGGTGGCGCATTGGTGTCAAGCATCGGTGGACCACGTGTTTGATCATCATATGAATTGGGTTGTGGCACAGCGTTTTGAATCGAATAGGTTTCCGATGGTTGTGATGAGCTTCCTTGGCCGGCTGTTGCTTGCGCTTGACGATCGCGTTCACCGCGGCGAAGTTGTTTCCTGACGTAGAAGGACTGGAAAACGGATGGTTTTTCTTGTGAAAACTGGGATAAGGGCCCATGGGTCTTTATCTTTTTCAGGGCCTGATTGAATTTCAGATTACAGTACTCCAGTTGTTTTTGCAAATCCTTTTCCATATAAACAACACCATTGTCCCAAAGAATGATTCATTGGTAAAAAATAACAAAAAAAAAATCTGGACACCTTAGGCAATTTTCCCACCGCTTGCTTCAAGGGCATTTGTCTTTCATACACATTTTGTCACGTAAACAAATTAGGCAAACTTCCACCCATTTTTAAGGTCCCAGATATACTCGGCCAAAAAACGACATAGCTCGGGGCGACTCGCTACACTTTTTGTCGAGACTCGTTTTGCAGCGAGTTGCCCCAAGAGCGCCTCAAAAGTGGCGAGTTCCGGGCAACTTGCCGCAAATTTAGCGTGTTCCGGGCGAGTTGCTGAATAACGGGGCCAAAACAGGGCAAGTCGCTACAATCTCGAGCGAGTCGCCCCAGGCTTGCCCGAAGTGCCTCGGGCCAGTCGCCCGAAACGTGTAGCGACTCCGCCCCGATCGGTAGCGACCTCGCCGTTTTCTGACCGAGTAGAAAATGTGCAACTTACAATTACAGCCCAGGTTTTGCGGACTGATATTCTCAGCGCTCGCAATCTCTCCATGATAATAATAATTTTTTGGTTGCACCACCAAAAAATGAACGAGGTCTCAAGAGAGCTTAAAAAAGAGAAAGACACAAAAATGATAAATTCGAGTTATGTAAAGTGGAGAAAAACGAACATCTGGTTGGGCGCTGGGTGCAAAGACCACCCAGCTTTTTAGTTAACTAATCAATAATCAGAAGACGAAACAAAACTATAGCATCCTAACTAAATAAACAGACACAAAAAACTATTCATACATACATACATATGTATATGCATGTGTAGAAAAAAATACAGAAAAAACGAACATTTGTGAATATAATGTATGTAAAAAGAGACCCGCTAAATGAGAAAAAATGGAATGGGGGGAGAGCCATAAAATGGGCGGCGCCTTGGCCAAAGAAAAAATGTTTTTTTTTCTTGTCCTTCTGTTTTCCTAAATAAATTTTTCGAACGGGGGATTCTTTTGTTGGGAATCGTTAAACTTTGGATGATAAGAGATTGAATGGTTTTTGAGCAAAGGCGAAAAATTGTTGGAGAATGGGAAAATTCCGACAAAAACAATGGAGAAAAATTGATTTTTTCGGGGGGGCAAATCAAATAGTTTCGGAAGGAATATGATTTTTCGCAATAAATTTTTTCGCAAAAAGAATTCCCGTGATACCGTATAATCTACAGTTTCTTTGAAAGGTATTCTAGGTTGCCTATTAGGTACTTTAGATCAAAAATGATTTAGGAAAAAACTAGCGAGGTTACGGTAACAATTCACGGATGGTACTGTATCTAGAAGAAGAATGTATAGAAAAATGTTTGATCCTATAATAGTGTACGGTAGACAGAACAAAACAGACAATGAAACATTTTAGATCAATAAGTCTACGAGCAACCAAAAAATTCAAGGTACGGTATTTACAGTACCCTATAGCTGTAGGCTGACTAAAATACGGTAATGGAAAGATCTGGAAAAGACTACCCTTCAAAGGTTCTACAGTATTCCTCTTTTGTATCTGGGAAACCCTACGGTATCTGAAAACAACTTTGATATACCGTATTCTACGCCCGTTTTTTCATGGCGAAAAATCCAGAGATTCCCAAAATATTCCCGCTGACAATACTCACCTCATTAATTTGCTTATAAGTTTTGATTAGATCAGTGGTGAGCTTGCGTACAGGCGCATCTTGCGGTGATCGGAATTTTCGAGCTGATGTTGGCTCGCTGTGCATTGTTGCTGGAAATATTTTCAGATAAATTTTTCGGGCCGGAAAATTTCAGATCACCTACCATCATAATGATTATTCGTGGAAGATGTGGATGATCCTTGAACATTCGTTGGGTTTGGGTAATAGACATTTGGAATTTGATACTGGAAAAATTGGGTTTGTTATGACAGTGTAGATTTCAAAGGAAATGAAAATCTAAGATTTTCAATTTCGTCCCTACAGTACCTTTTTAATATGTCCACCAGCAGTTGCAACACCGCCAACAAGACTTGCAGTCTGATTTCCAGATTGTTGATGAGCAGCAGCAGGACCACCAGCCGATGACGATGTGTCACCACTGTGTGACAACATTCCAGACACACGTGATTTACGTGGTTTTGAAGCGGTCTGCAAACATTTTTGTTTTGAAAAGTGTTGAGAAGATTTGAAACAAAAAAATTGACTTTTGTTACAAAAACAATTATTTGTGAGTCATTTTTTGTGGCGCACAAAAAATCAGTTTTTGATCAGACGCTGTTCAAGAGCAAAAAACAGAAATTGTGGATTCTGGAGAAAATTTTAATAAATTTCAATTTCTGTAAAATTTTATTTTTGAAGTTGGAAAATGTGAAAATGAAAATTTGATTTCAAAACTTTTTCGGAGACAAAATATTTCGTATATTCCTGACTTAAGGGATAATATTTTCAAACTTGAATTAACTTTGAAAAAATCAAATATTTTAAAATTGGAACTATCTAAATGTTTTCTGAAAAATCGATTTTTATTAATGAAAATCACAGTTCAAAAAAATCCTGATAAAAATTAAAAAATCGAAATTTCAACACTGATTTGGTACTTTCCAATTTTTGAGCCAAAACCAGGCTTTATTATTTTTCCTAGGTTGAGAATTACAGTTCGAAAATTTCAGGCCGAAAATTCAACATTTAAAAATTAGAAAATTTGAGCTCTCAAGTTTCTTCAGTTTTTTATGCATCAAAATTTCATGGCTCAAAAACTTCTAAATGTAAGGTGAAAATTACAGTTTCAAAATGCGGGGCAAAAATCCCTAGAAATTTATGGCTCGACATTTCATGGTTCAAAAAATCAGGGTCAAAAGTTCAAAACATTTTTCGAAAAAAAATCACATAGACAAAGAAAACTAATGTTTCTCGCCCGCCCGCCCGCCAGCCAGACATACAAAATAAATCAAATCCTCAAATATGAAACTGAAAGATTCTTCTCCCACTAAAAATATAAACAATTTCTAAAAAAATAGACTAATAATGTTTACGATGATGTTGATGAGTGATTAATATTATTATTATTATTATGAGAAAAAGGAGAAAGAGAAAAGAGGGGAAGAGTTAGAACAAATCATAAAGTGAAGGGAGCAAACAAGAAAAGAGCAGTCTCCTGCTCCAGCCTCTTCCTGCCTGCTTGCTTGCTTGCTCATCAACCGGTTTCTACTATTACCTTTTGTCTCTGTTGCTTTTGCTGTGGAGAAAGAAAGGAGGGATTTATCATCATTTTCATTTTCATGTGCTGTTCTCAACAGCCTTTACTAATCGATAAAATGATATCATGTAACTTGACACCGTTTTCTTTGCTTATGTTAAATATTCTCTCATATTATATTTATCAAAAATTAGATTTGAATTGGATTAAATCGAAAAAAATTGTTTTTTATTACATTTTTGATGGGAAAGGATGTAGCTTTTCGCTTTTTTAATAATAAAAATTGGCTACAGTACGACATAAAAATTTATTGGGAGAGCTGTTTATAATGCGTTTTGGGAGCAGGGTTTTTGAAAATTTTACAGTAATCTTGAATTATTCTACGTCTACAGTAGATCTTGCAGTTAAAAATATTGATTTTGATAAAAAAAAACCTAACTACCGTACTTTGATTACGCATGGAAAAGCTTTTAAATTACGGTACCAACAAAATTTGAAAAGTCTACAGTAATCAACATCTATGAATTTCCAGAATACATGATAAACTACAGTATTCCAAAAAATTCTGTAGGCTGAAAGTACGTTTAAAAATCATCTACAGTAACCACAAAAAAATATAAATCAGACTACAGTATTCAAAAATTGTTTTTACAGATTTTGTCAAAATTTGATCTACAACATGAATTTTGTTTAGAAAACAGATACAGTAACCTACAGTAATCTCTCATCCGAACAAAAAAACCAACACAACCCACATTATAGGAAGCTCGAAAAAATTAAGAACTACAGTAACCCAACATTTCTGAATATGAAATACATAGATCTACAACTTCCAAACCTCCAAAATTTTGTCAAACAAATGTTCAGAAATACAGTAACCTACAGTACCCTCATATCAGAATAAACATTTTAGTGACCCTGCAAGCAGCAAACAAAAAAATAAATAAAACAGGTGGTTCAATTTTTTTGCATCTTGTTCACTTTGAAAATCAAATTCTCAGAACAAATGAATCAAAAAGCGTCCACTTTACGAAAAATTTACAAAAAAAAAATTTTTTTGTTCGCAAAACTCAATGTGTACATTTTCGAAACAGAAGAAGAAGAAATAAGAAGATAAAAAGATGAAGAAGCATTGAAAAAGCGGGGCGGGAAAAAGGTGTTCCTGCTCGACTCTCGTCGTCTCGATTTTTGTAGAGACGCAGAGTTATAAAGTTATGAGTCATGAAGGATGTTCCGAAAATTGTTTTTTTTTTTCAATTTCATTTCATGAGTGGTGTGAAAAAAAAATTGTTTAGAAATGTGAAATTTTATGAATCATATGGATTTTTTTTCAAAAAACACATGTCAGTTGGAAAGTGATGACACACCGTGTGACTGAAAAAAGTGCAGGAAATTGGATGTGCTTTTGTTCTAAAAGCTTTGGTGAAAAAAATTGAGGAAGATGTGAAATTTATGGGTGTTCTTATTGGATTTTTTGGTGTGAGCGCGAGAAATTTTGAACAAATTTTCAATGGAATTTTTTTTTCAAAAAAAAAATAACTCTTGGGTTTTGTAAAATTCAAAAAATTAGATTTGAAAATTCAACATTCGGCTTCTATAAAATTTAGAAAAAATCAATAATTGTCAGGAAAATCAAGCCCGGATTAAAAAAGTGGAAAAAAAAGTTTCTTTTAAAATTTTACGGATTCTGTTAAATTTGAAACTTCAAAATACAATTTTGAACTGTAATTTTTATAAAATCTGAAAGTTTTTTCAACAAACATTCAAAATCAAACTGAATTATTTCTTCAATTAATACTCTTGAATTAAAAAAATTCGATAATTTTCAGCAAAATAAAATCCAAAAAAATAGGTTCAAAACTAACCTCAGCTGGAAAATGAAACGCATTTCCCTGATGTCGAATAGCAGTAACCGGCGGTTGTGGATGTCTCAAATATCCCTCACCACGACTCGAAAATCTTGGGCTATGCTCAAAAGAAAACGCCCTCGAAACTCCAGCTCCCGCTCCACTCGAACTGCTCGATCCTTCGCCACTTCGATATTGATGATGTTGTTGTGGCGGAGCAGAAGGTAGGGGTGGCGGATGAGCACTCGAGAAATTTGTAGAGATTGGTTTTGGTGGCGCTTGTGGCGGTGTTGTCTTATTGGTGGGGTTCGTTGAGGCTTGTGGTGGTGGTTGCGAAGATGCTGGCGGCCATTCGGCAGGCGGTAGATTTGAAACTGTGTGCATTTTCGAGAACCCGTTCGTTTTTCGCTTCTGGAAAATAATCAGAATGTGAGCTTCAGATTATTTCTCAAAAAATTTGGACTTGGCCCAATTATTTCTGATCTAATTTTCACCAAAAAAATGAATTGGGCCTATTTAGACATCCTGAAAATTTTCCACAAAATTTCATCACATTTTTCTTTATACTTTGCTCTCTCTTGTCAAAAATTTTGCTCAGCTGTTGGTTGATCAAATGACCAACACTCGAGGAGGTTTCAAATTGTGCGTTTTTTTTTGAAATTCCGAAAAAAACCAACCTTTTTCTCTAACTCGTCAATTTTGACCCAGGAATCGCGTGATTTTGAGAAAACCAACAAAATAACCGTAGCAGTTCAAGCACCTGGAAAATAATAATAATAATAATAATAAAAATGGAGAACCGGAAAAATAATCAATATATGAATGAATGAAACAAGAAAAACATGAATATTTATGAGGAATTATGGAAATTTTGAATGTGGAGATGGGTTATATCAATTTATTTTAAGAAAAGGAAATTTATAGAAAAAACAGAACAATCAGAAAAAGGCTCTATTTTTTTAAAAATATATTTTAAAAATCTGCTGCTTAATTTTGAATTTTAAAATAAAAAAAATATTCGAAAAACAAATCAAAGTTCCACAGATTTTTTTACGGTGATTCAAATCAACATTGAAAAAAACCAGGGTGGTCAAAAATATAAAAGAGTGTTTTAAACAATTATCAATTCACTGGGAGGTCTGTTTTAAAAAAATTAGAGTGGTCCCTAGAAGAATTCTAAGCAAGGTTGTTTTTAGAAGGTTTCTAGAATTAAAGGTAGATTAATCCAAAATTATGGCTAGGACATTTTTCTATCTTGAGGTTAGCAATATTTTCAGCGGAAAATCAAAAAATTTTAGTTAATATATACTTTTTTAAAATTAAGAAGGTTCACAAAAAAAACAAGCCAAGTTTAACACAATTTAAAAAAATTTCCAGGAAAAATATTTTTAAAAAAACCTTTCAGAATTCAAAAAAAAAAATGGATCAGAGTGGTCAAAAATATAAAAGAGTGTTTGAAACAATTATCAATTAATAGGGAGGTCGAGATATTATTGTTTAAAAAATCAGGGTGGTCCCCAGGAGGGTTCTAAATGTAAGCAAGGTCGTTTCTGGAGAGCTTCTAGAAATACTAGGTAGATCAATATCAATATTTTCTATTGAAAAAAAAATCATGAAGGTTCACAAAAAACAAGCCAAGTTCAAGACAATTTGAAAAAATTTTTTGAAAAAAACCTTTCAGAATTAAAAAAAATACAGCATGGTGGTCCTAAAACCTAGTCATTTCTTCAACAAAAAACCCAATGTTAATCCTATTTTCCTCCACCAAAAAAAAACAACAAAAGCAAATAAAAATCTGCACTCAACTCTCCCTTATCATCCATTCAGCGCACTAAATTCAAAAACAAAAACAAAATAATCATAGGACAGTCAATTAAAAATCAATAATTTTTATCATCATTATTCGGTCATTAACAAAACATATCGCCACCCAAAAGAACAACAGGAAAAACCGAAAAAAATTGAGAAATGAATGAAATAAAATATATATGTGTGAGTGTGTAGTATACGTATAGAAAAGGGTCAGTCAAAAAAAAAAGGGATACGGATGAAACGAGAGAAACGAGAGAAGTGAACAGTTAAGAAGAGTGGCGTTCTGAGTGAGAGAGTGTGAAGAGTGTGGAGAGTGACAGAGACCGCTACGCGTGACCGCTTTGCATTAGAGCAGACGTTTTTTGGGGGGAAAGGGAAAGACGAGGAAGGGCGAGGGCAAAGGGACAAGATTGTTGACTAATTGGCTACCTGTTAGTTTTCTGTACTTTTTTTTTGTATAACATGCCGTGTATGTTTGAAGTGTGTTAGCTAACAGGGCGCGGAACATTTATTGAGAGGTTTTCTTGAGATTTGGATTGCTTGAGGTGCAAAATGTGATGGGAAATGGAACTGGAATTGGAGAAGGGGGGGGAGATAAACTTCTTGGGTGGTCCAAACATCGATTTTGAAAACATAGGTGAAATATTGTGACGGGAAGTATTGACGAGGAAGATTTGAAAATTTTTTTGTTGAACCTGAGATACATATTTTGAAAAAATCTCTCCCATAAACTTCCTGGGTGGTCCAATTACCCGCCATTTAAAGAATAAAAAATCACAAATTATTTTTGAATGAAAAAATTGCCTAAGAATTCATGATATGAGATTTTAATTTAAAAATTCCAAAAATGAATTTTTTAATTTTGTGGAGCTTCTTGTGTGGTCTAAAAATTAAAACTGAAAGAATATTCTGAAAGAATTCTTGGGTGGTCCAAATTTGAATCCTGTGGGATTCTCAACATAAATATTTCAAACTTCGTGGGTGGTCCTAAAACTTACAAAGTCAGCCTTTACAGTTTAATTGGTCCGTGACAATTTCAAAATCATGAAAAAAACAAAAAGCCAATTTTTTTCATTTCATTTCATTTGATTTTCTGTCAATAACATGTTTTTATTTTTATTTTTGTTTTGATGTTTACCAAGTAAGAGAAACAGATGTGACAAATAACTCAAAAAATACAATTCGAACACAAAAAAAACATTACAGTTTTACAAAAACCCGTCGCTACTACAAAAATTCTCATGGGTGATCCAAATAATAATGCAAAAAGAAAATGCAAAAAAAAATTATTATTAATATTCAGGCAAACATTCCATTTCGGGTAAATAATCGCCTTGCATTTTAATAAGTTCGGCGTGTATCAAAACTTGTTGCAACTGTTTTTCTTCATCTTCTTGCCGTCGTCGCCAATCTCGATCTTTTTCTTCTTTCAAACTTGCTTCCAAGTCACACCTAGAAATTTTACAAAAATCATTTGACCTACATTTCAAGATTTCAAGTTGAGATAACTTACGTTTTATATTCCCGCGCCGTATACCAGTCATACGCTTTTTTGAACAATAACGATACAATCAACTGAAAAATGATAATGTAAAATTTGCCGCGGGGAAAAATGTGGCCGCCATAGCTCAGTCGGTTAGAGCGTGGGTCTAATAAGCCCAAGGTCGCAGGTTCGACCCCTGCTGGCGGCAAACTTTTTTTGTTTTACTACTTACGATCAACAAAAAAATGACGGAGATTGCCAAAATAACAACAATCAAAATATTATACAAATGACTATTTTGATCTCCAACAAGATCCAAATTTTTGAGCGCGTATACAATTTCTTCATTCGCTTCCAGTGGTTTAACTATGATCGCGATCAAAATAATTGAAATGATTGAAGACGACATAATGCATTTATGATGAATTTTGATCTGGAAATTTTGAGTTAGGATAAATTGATTGAAAGAAAATATTCAAAAACAAGTTTTTTGAGTTAGAACAAAAAATTTGAATCATCAGATAAAAAAAAAATTGGAATAGTTTTTATGGAAAAAAATCTGAAATCTTCTATCATATGTTTTTAGAAATATTATCATCAAAACCTGAGAGAAGATACAAATATTTTTGTTTTTCTCCACAATCTTGTGATAATTTATCAAAGATACTGTAACCGAAAAAGGGCAAATAATAATTCTCATACAAAAATATATAAGTTTCAAAAATCTATTGTTTTCACAGCAGACTGGATTTGAAAAATAATAATCAATAATCTTGACAAGATTCTAACATAAAAAAAAACTAGTTGGAAGAAGATTTTATGTTTGTGTATTGTCAATTTTTATGACCACAGAGAATCCTGGATTGAACTATCAAAAAATTTAAAAGAAAATCAGATCAACTTCAAAGGGCATAGGGAAAATTGTAGTTGATCGAAATGTTTTCTGATAAACCAAACAAATTTTGAAAAACCAACAATTGACATTGATTAGGACCGGTTCTGGAAACTGAATAATATGTATTTTGCCGTTCTAGCGCACCTTTTCGCCCATCTTCAATTTTCACGTTTTCAGCCATTTTAAGGCTTTTTTTAACATATGAGTGTGAATAATGAACTTTTTGAATTGAATTTTTTATTCTTCGAGAAGATTTAGGTGTGACCAAACTCGTCGAGTTATCTTACAGATTAACGGCTCTCTCTTTCTCCTTCTGTTCTTTCCTTTGGTGTGACGTATAAAGGTCAGCAGTGTTCCCTTTCTCTTTGTGTGAGCTTCTTTTCTCTTGAGCAGAGACGCAGAGGAAGGAGAGAGAGTGCCAACATTACATTCTTTCACCTCAGTTTAACTTTTGTGAATAGAAAAGAGACTTCCTTTTTTTCTGTAGTTCGCGTTTTCTTTCCAATTTTATTATATTTTGAAACAGCGTTTAATTCTTGGTGTTATGTTTCATATTTTTTCAACAATTTTTTGTTACGGATTAGATTTGCTACGAGATGTTGATTTTTATATTAATATCAATTGACGAATATTATTTAACGATTTATTGTTTCGGAATAAATGGCTAGTGGAGATCTTCCTCGGATTTGGAATCAATTTCTCGACGCTGCAAAGAAGGGAACTAACAAAGGACGATCTCGTTCTTATAAGAAAAGCTTATGCAAGGCTGCGTTGAAATTTTCGGATAAATTACTTGGAAGCGGATATATCAACGAAGACAGATATGATTTGTGGGAGGAATGCATCGGCAAAGTTTGTGCGGTTCTTGAAGGAGACGATGATATGATTCAGAGTAAGTACTTGGCTATGTTTTCTAAGTTAGAATAATTTTTACAGGAACCGTTCGTGAATACTTCTTGGGCCTGCATTCTGGAGAATTGTCAGATTTTTCGATCGAATTTACTGGTAATATAATGTTTATATTGATATGAATACTATTTGTTTTTTAAATTTTTTAAACAAACATTATGTTTCAATTAATCTTTTTTTAAGCCATAAAATTTTAATAAAATTCGTTTTTAGATAAAAGCGAAGGGACGTCAATTGGTAATATATGTGAAGTCATGTTTTCTGGCATGCGTCGGCGATTCTTCATCAAATGCCACCAGAGAGGCCTACGTTCAACTTCCTTATCCATTGCGAATCGATACAGTAGCGTAAATCGGCCATTCGTTCAAGAAATTTATGTATACGAGGTATTCTATTGAATTAATTGAACAAAACTAACATTTTATTATATTATAATATCTGTTTTAATTTATATTTTTAGTTACTGTCGTTGATCAAAGTCGGCGGAGAAGTCCATTTTCCCCTCCCAATAACCGATACCAAGAAAGCTCTATACATTGCAACAGAGGAGATCAACTTTACAATCGCAAAACAATTGACGGCACAAACCGTGAATTCCAACGCCATGATCCTTGTGGACTTTCTCCAATTCATCCTGCGTTTGGAGGACGTCGGTACAAACGGAGGAAATTACGGACAAACCGATGAAGGAGACGCAGTTGTCGTCGATTTTTGGTAATTTTTGTTTTGTTAAAAATTCTAAATATAACCTGTTTTATTTTAGGGTTATTCCGAAGGATGATTATGTGCATACGGATGATCAATGTTCTCATTTTTGGAATGCGCTACACAACTGTAACTCTCGACTGATCTCCGATGTCTTGAAGAGGGTGACCATAGAGCAAAGAAAAGAAATAATTAATGGAGCAATCGAAAAATGGAATCTGCTACAAAGCATTGAACAGGCTAAATCTCTGGTAGAACAATTTCTTATTAAAAATGGAGGAAGGATAGAAGTCAGTGGCGATCTTAGTCGATACGTTCGCGATGTTAAATCCAATGTAGAGAAATTGATTAAGTAGTTTGTTTGAATACCGAAATGTGATTATTACTTCATGTAATTGTTTGTTTTTCATTGATGCAGTAAAATAAATAAAACACTTTTTATTGCTTTGCAACAGTTTTAAAACCATGACCAGTAATTATTCCTTTCAGAAATACTTGGTTCTCTTTGGTTAATTTATATTTGGTCTTTTATGTTTTGGTCTTTTAATTGTAGTATGACTGTTCTCATTTTATGACAATTTTAAACTCTGATCGGAATCAGCTAATCGTGTCTAAATTTATAATACCTACTTCTTTTTCTTCAATTCTTTGTGGTGGTAGAGTGTCTCTCATAAATACTCGGAAGTTTCTCATCTTTAATAATTTAACATGTTCTTCAAGATCAATATTTGTTAGACTTGCTAGGTTTTTATCGAATCTTAGATTCTCAAACTATGTATAATTTTGTTGATGTCCACACTACGCAGAACATTAATAATTCCGTTAGGAACTTTTTGAAGTTCTCGCGGGAGACATACTTTCTTGTGATTGTACAATTGTCATTACCCATTACCCATTACGAAGTTCAAAATTTGTTCAGAAGTTAACATTTTGAACGAGAATTTAAAAAAACGAAAAAAAAATGATGACAAAAAATTATAATTCAAAGTCTGTATGTAGACGTCTTTACAGGTTTCGAAAAAATGTTGGAGGAAAAAATAAAAAAATTTGAAAAAAAAAGTTCGCCTCGGGCCGGGACCGAACCCGAAACCTAAAATTTTAAAGACGAGCTCGCTAACCACTCTGCCACCCGTTGTTATTTTTCTTGCCCGCAAATGTTTGACATATGAAACAATGAGAAATATGGCGTATTTTCGATGGTGAAAAACTCGTTTTGGGTGCAATTGTGGCAATTTTGAAAACGAATTCGAGATCAGCGAGTTCGAATCTATATGTGTACCAAGTCTCATTAAAAGTTTATTCCGGGACCTTATACACTTTCCTTGTGAGGAAAGACGTCAAGAGTTTGTAGATTATTACAATAAAAGAATTCAAGATGAAATAGAGAATCCTAAACTTCCAAAAGTTCCAAAACCTGGAGATGAGGTTAAAAAGAGTAAAGGAATAAAGAAAAATGTTGTCAAGAAGTTAAAAGTTGAAGATTTTCGAGAAAGTCTTTTTAATAAGAGTATTGTTAGAAAGAAACAATGTTGTATTCGAAGTATCAAACAACAATTATACACTCAAGAATAGGAAAAAGTTGTATTTGATAATGAAATGACTCAAGCGAAAATGCTACAATTCAAAAGAGTTATTATTCCAGATTCTTTTGAGACTCTGGCATACGGTTATAAAAATTGAGATAAAACACTACTTTGAAAATCATATTTTTCTAATAATAGAAAAGAAAATCTAGACTAGAAGTTTTACTGATCTTAAAAAAGCGAATTCAGGAAAAAAGTTTGCTGCCAGCAGGGGTCGAACCTGCGACCTTGGGCTTATTAGACCCACGCTCTAACCGACTGAGCTATGGCGGCCACATTTAATTCAATGATAAAAATCTATTTCATTTCCATATGAATATTTGAAAAAAGAATTATCAGAGAAAGGAAAATCGATAAAAAAGGTAGGAAGTAGTGAAAATATAATGTCGAAAAAATGTGGGGTGAAAAATATCTATCAAAAATTTTTTATCAACATCTTCATCATCATTTTTGTCATGTGTTTACGAACATTCTTCCCCTTTTTTCTCGTCTTTTCTTTTTTTTTCCTACCTAAAAATGTCTCACCCCCCCCCGGAAAGTTATCAATAAAAACTGGACATTTTTCATTTTGGAAAAAAAGAATGGAACATTTTCAAAAAAATTATTTAGAAACAAAAAGAAAAAATAAAAAAAGGAAAAAAAGTATTTACTGTTTATTATTCGAAATGATACGCATTCTTGTTTTCTGGATAATTTGATAAGAATCATCAAACCGTTTTGTTTCAGATGACTAATTTGACGATGACAGAAAAATAGAAACATCAACGCAAAACATCTTGACGATTTTTCGGGTCACGTGGGAGAAAAGGAGTTATGAAAAGATTATAAAAACGGAAAATGATTGTAGATTTATATAGGGTACGGTAGATGTTTTATCGGAAATTACTTGAAAGTAGAGTTATTTATAGAAATGAAAGCGTCTCTGATTTAAGGCTAATTTAAAACGCTCAGACTAGATAGAGAGTCATTCAAATCCAGAAATTTCTGGGCTTAAAAATTTAGTCTATTTCAAATTAAAAAATTTTTGAAAATAGAAGGTTTTTTTTACTTTTTAAAAATTGCTCATAATTTTAACCTCCGGATTCTCATGAAAGAAATTTTCACTTACAAAATACCTTTTGGTTTTTTCATAACTCCCCATGAGACACTATTTGAATATGAAACCGAACTTTTTCAGAGGGTCTTATGATACTCATATCTATTCCTTGTGAGATTAATTTTCGGTTTCCGCTGAAATATTTTTAAGACTTATTAGGTTTTAAATTTTGTATGACTTTTTCAAAACATAAGAGATGAAACCTATCAAGAAATTTTGAAAAAAAAAGGACATCGAGTTTTGCGTTTGAGTCTCGTTAGGAATAAGGGTGCCAAAAATTAATTTTGGTTTTATTTTTGTGGTCGTTTGAATCACATTTTTCAACGCTGTTTTTTTTCTACGCGCGCTGAAATCACACCAAACCGCAGCACAAGATTAAAAACATAAATCAATTTGAAACTGATTCTTCTAGGCTCTGAAAATCAAAAAAAATAACTTCAGAATATAACTTTCATTTGCTCTTAAACTTGCTGAAAAAAGCGTGAGGAAAAAAATATGTAGTTACTTTCTGTAAGAAAATTCCAAGAAATTGAAAACCCAAGAAACACTTCAAACGACATTTTTTATGAAATACTTTAATATACAAAGAATTAAAACGGTGTTGCTTAGAGTGGATGGTTGCCAAGATTGAAGCCGAAAATAGTGAGAATGGAGAAGAATATTACTTGCTAGATGTATCCTCATCTCCATCATTTGATTTTGCATTGAATTTGACACTTTCCTCATGCATTCTCTCAATACACATCTCCAATGTGACTGCTAGGGCTGCACGATGGGGCGTGGGGGCGGCCCCCTCGCCCCGCCACGTTTTTCCCCCTCGCCCCTTCGCCCCCTCGCCCCTTTGCCCCCTCGCCCCGTTGCCCCCTCGCCCCGTCACCCCTTCGCCCCGTCGCCCCGTCGCCCCCGCTTGTAACTGTGTGCGCGCTTCTATCTTCTTTTTTTTCTTCACCACACACAGTTACAAGCGGGGCGAGGGGGCGACGGGGCGACGGGGCGACGGGGCGAGGGGGCAAGGGGGCGAGGGGGCAAAGAGGCGAGGGGGCGAAGGGGCGAGGGGGCAAGCGATTTTTTGCACGGTGTTTCATCGCGGGGTGCCCCGCGTGCAGCCCTAGTGACTGCTTCAGTTTCGGTTTCTCTATAAGAATGCAAAGTTTTTGCAATCAATCGAATGAGAAGTCCATTGTCGAAAGTGTCCTTATTCTCTAATCCTGTCGCGGTGACGAGTTCCTCGGCTAAGTCGTGAAGACCTAAAATCACATCGGATACTAACGATTGAAAAAAATCGCTTGAAAAAACTTACCTCTTTCTTTCAGATATTGGTAGACGAGAGAGTCGACATCCTCGAGTCTGATTGACATAATGACAAAAGGTGAGCCTGCTAAATACAGAAAAATTTAAATTTTAGATAAGTACGAATGAAGAAGAAGAAGAAAAATATATGGAAAAAACAAGCAAATTGAAAAAAGGTATATAGGTGGAGAAAAAAAGAAAATCAAACAATCTTCAAATAACATGAAATGATAGAGAATAGAAGATCCTAGAAAATAGTTAAAAATTAGATATTTGTAAAAAATAATCAGCTTAAAAAAACTGAAAATCAGGCAGAGACAACCCAAAAATTATTTAAAAAACAATGCAAATAAGTATTGTTGTTGCATCTAGACTAGTTGTTCGATAGAGCGTGTTTGCTCATCTCATGTCAGGAAAAAGAGACAATGGATGATGATTCTACATGAATAAAAATGAATAAGGAAACAATATACGGAAAAATCACTATGCAATTTGTCTCATTTTTGATATTCCAATCGAATTGAAAAAAAAAAAGATAAAATCAAAAATTTTCAACTTTATTCAAAAAATAATCAGCAGAGAAAAACTGTTCAAAAAAATCAAGCAAATGTTTTCTAGAAAAAATGCTGTTCTAGAAAAACTAAAACAAAACAATATTTTATTCGAAAAAAACAAGGCGGGAACAACAAGAACATTAATGAACAAACAATGAGAAACAAAAATGTCTTCTTGCATATATTATCATTAGAGCGCACTTTCTCTACTCCTCTATATTTTCTGAGGGGGAAAGAGAAGAACAAAAAGTTTGATTTTTCTTGCCGTGCGATAGAAATTGCCGCGGCAATTTTACGGTTTGATTTTCCGTTTCCCGCTTGCAATGAAAATCGTTTCAAATTTTTCTGGGTCAAAAATTAATTGAAACTGATGCTTCTAGCTTTTCTAATCTCTGAAAATTTTCTGACAAATCTAAATTATAATTTTCTAAAGAGAAAACTCTCAAATTCTCCATAACTCACAACATTTTTATTAAAGCAAAAATACAGCAAATAAAAAATACAAAAACAGAAAAAACTTGATTTATTTGCCACGTATCTTTTGATATTCTTCAAGGGTGTCGACAATCATAACCGCCAAAGCTCCGAGTTTCAAGATGACGTTATCTCTTTAAAAATCAATAATTTAAAATTTTTTCCGAAGGGTGAATAAGAAAGAGAAAGCTTGAATGCTAACTGTAAAAGAATAGTGTGACTCACTGTTGTACACCGAATCCAAAATTGGCATAAAATTCCATGATTGGTCTGCAGAGTATTTTGCGGAATACTTTCATTTCTTCTCGTTTTTCGCATTCTTCGTTTGCATGCAAATACTTGATTTCCCGATTTCTTGCCTTCTAAAACTATTTTATACAAATAATATTTGTACTATACAAAAAACTCACATTACGTTCTTCGAGAAACTTTGGAAGTTGTAGCATTTTTCTTGAGATTTCTGAAATTATAACACTATATTTCTTTGAAAAGAGAAACATGTTCGAAAAATAAAAATAATGAGGATTTTAAAGTTACAACATTTCAAAAATGTCGGCCAAACAGTTTTCGAATGATAAAAATGTTTTGTCTCACCGTCTGGTTTCTCCTTGATTTTTGAACTCTCTTGTTTTTGCACATTTTTGTTCCCCTTTTTTCAGATTCATTTTTGAAACCATAAAACAAGAAAAAATGGGATAAGAATATGGAATTTATTGATTATTTCGTGGTTTTGATTGTTCAGAATATGTTAGAATCTGATATGAAAAACAAACAACAACCATAATTTTACTACAGAAGTGTTTATTGAAATTAAAAAGTAAACTTCAGAAACATTTTCCAATAAGACATTATTACAAGCCAATAATATTACAAAACCAAATAATGTTATACATAAATAAAATAAAACATCAGAAGAATTTTGGGATAAGTAAATTTTTTATAAATTTTTGGAAAAGAAAAAATAAAGCTTACAGTTACGGGGGGATTTAAAAACAAGATTAGATAATTTTCCGAACATCCATCAAAATAATTTTTCCATCGGACGCTGATGCAGCCAGACGATTTCCAGTGTGACTCCAGCTAACTTCAAAGATGCCACCATCATTTTTGTCTCCAACGTATTTGCCCACACAGGTTCCGGTCTGAAAATTTATTTTTATTAATCAGTGTTTCAAAACTCTCTGAATTATTTTCTTATGAAAAATCTCACATTAACGTCCCAAACAAATACAGATCGATCAAAACATCCGCTAGCAATATAACGACCATCCGGTGAAAACGTAACACTATAGACAGGATCCGTGTGTCCTTCTAGAACTTTGATGCATTTTCCTTGATTCACATCAAACAGTCTGACTGTGTGATCGAAAGAGGCGCTGAAAAATGTTGGATGGATTTTTGGAAGAGATCAATAATCTTTCTTACCTAGCAACAATATGTCCATTTGGATTCCATCGCAAAGTGTAAATTTCCTTCTCATGATCACTGAAAGTGTACAAAGCGGCTGCTTCTTCAACCGACCAGATCTTGAGTGTTTTGTCATCCGAACAACTTGCGATTCGTTTCGAATGTGAATCATATCGAATCGCATTCACCTCATTTTGATGGCCAACCAGAGTTTTAATCGGAGTAAAATGATTGACTTTGCAAATCATAATTTTCTTGTCTGTCGAGCACGATGCAAACGAATCACGCGAAACCCAATCAACATCAAGCGCCGAGCTTTCGTGGACTGTGTAGCTTTGCTTCATAGTTCCATCAGAATTCCAGACGACTGTACTTTTGTCAACGCCAGCTGTGACCAAATACTCGCCGGTGACATTCCATTTGACAGCAAAGATTGGGCCCTTGTGGAATTCCAGACATGACTGCAGATGTCCTTCTTTTGACCAAATTCTTGCATAGCCATCGTAGCAGCCTGTCGCAAGCTTTGATCCATCATTTGACCAATCCAACGAGGTGACATCCTGCAAATCATCATTCATTAGGGAATTTTGAAAACCTGGTTTTTCAAAGTCTAGGGTCAACTTTAATAAGGGTGCTTCAAAAATATGATTTCTGATCATTAACTTTCATAATAATCATATATTATCGATCATCTGAAAATTTTCATTGCGAAAATTAATTAAACTGAAGTTCTGGCTGATTTTCGAAATCTCTGAAGTTTTAGCGATTAAAAATAATTTTCGATTTTTCATTCAGACTATCTTTTAAACGTGGAAATTCCTCCAAAAATACATGTAAATTCCAAAAAAACCAATCAGGCTTTTCATTTTTCAAGTCGCCTAATTTTTAAAATCACAGAATGATTTTTGACTTTGTGCGTAGAGTTCGGTGTTTTCTGTTTGCACACATTATGGTTTTGAAAATGACAATTTTGTCCATAAATTTCAAAAAAAAACAAACTCACATGATTAACTTGTTTGTTAGGCGTTGACATGATTCCAGAAAATGTGTGCTTCAAAACCTTCGATTGTTTCTCCAATGATTTCGCAGATGATGTATCTATATTATGAAGATACCAGAGTCTTCCAGTTGAATCACCAGATCCACTCGCAACAATACTGTCTCTCGGGTTCCAGGAGCAAATAAATGCTTCAGCATTATGCCCACACAAATATTTGATCATTGATCCCTCTATATTTATTGGAGTTTTACGTTCCGGAACTTTTTGAGGTTTTGCCACTTCTTTTCGTTGCATCAATTTCTTCTCAGCTAATGTCATTGGTGCAGGTTTTCTTGTTGTTGCTGATGTTGAAGGTGTTGATGTGGAAGCTGCTGCTGTAGTGCTCTGGGAACTTGGTTTTATCCGAACTAATCCTCGTGTAGTCTTCGATCGCGCTAGAATAGATTCTGTAGATGGAATTGATGGTCTTTTAATAATCTCAATATCATCATCCGAATCATCCTCTTCAGTTTCATCATCTTCTTCCTCCTCCTCTTCTTCCTCATCTTCACCGCTTTCCTGTTCACTTTCATCCATTTTTTCCGGCTCATCATCACTGCTATCAGCAGCTGCGGCTTGTTGATTTGCGTCAAGTCGGAAAACGGCTTCTAATAAACTGTATGATTTTTTATCATTGTCTTCAGCTTCTGTGTACATTATTCCTTTGTAAACGAGTCTGACAAGTGCTCCGATTGGGATTAGAGCCGAATGTGCACAATCTTTTTCGACTTCGGTTATTGAGGATTCGAGACCAAATGTATAAGCAGCATGGTTATAACCTAAAGATGTTCATTATAATTTTAATTTAAAATTCAGAATGAAAATATTTAAACAAAGTATCGTCCCAAAAATGTTGTTTTTCTTCCAAATCAAAAAGAACTCACCATTTTCCTGCAAATATCTCCAAATCAAAATGTTAAGTTGATCAACACAAATGCTTGGCATCGTGGATTCACTGCAAAATTGAAGTTTATCAGCTCTTTTTATACAAGAAATTAAGATTGAGAAATATTCCAATTCAAACAGCAAAAAAATAAATAGCAGAAGAAACCAGCGTCTTTGCAATCACAGGGACGAACATAGAAGAGAGTGTAGGGAATGAGAGACGTTAGACGGGTAGAGATGAGATGGGGCGCGTTTGCGCGTGCTTATGAAAAAGGGGGAGAGTTGGAGAAAATGGGGAACGGATATTGAAGGAAAGAGGAAAATTATTGAATAATTGCATTTTTTCGAGCTTATTCAGGAACTTGAATAGAAACTATAAAAGAAAAAATAGATGTTGTGTTTCTGGGAACTAAAATTACCTGAAATGTAGAGAAATTTGAATTTTCTAGAAGCTGATAAATTTCTTTTTTAAAGTTTTGTGGTTCTGAACTTGAGCTAAATTCATAGAAATAAGATTCTTCTGAAAATTGCATCCAAAACATTTCCTTGAATGTCTACCTTTTTAACAAAATCACGATTGGGTGGTGTCTCGATGGAAGCAGCATTTTTTAATGGGGTCCCCCCTGTTCTCATTTTTTGGATGTCTAAATTTTGGACATTTGCGGCTTTTTTCCGAAAATCATACCTTCGCGAACGTCCAAAAAGATCCGATCCTGGACCTTCTGATCAAAAAACACGTGATCTAACCACTTGACCATTTCTGACACAAGAAATGACCATCAGTTTGCTTAGAAATGCTCGATGAAAAATTTTGACGTGAGAAAAATAGTCCATCTTTTTTCAGAAAAAGAATTTGTCTAAAGAAATTGCTATTTTTTATCAACTAGGGGCTGTTAGCCCCCAGGCGTAACAGTCTTCTTATTATTTCAGTTCCGTTGTTTTTTCTGTGATTATTTTCAATTTTATGTGGAAAACAAATTCATGAAAAATTTCAAGTTTTTTGATCAAAAAATACCTCGTGGCTAAATCATGAAGGCTTCCTAATTTTGCCATGGATGAAGTCATCAAACTATTTTTCATAAAAAATTAATGAATCTTTTTTTTTATTTGCATAATTATAGACATGACCGTCTCCGTCTCATGACCGAAATTTCGGTTTGGAGACATGACTTTTTCTCAATAATTTCATTTCTGGATGAAATTCTGAATTTTCTTGTTTTTTAACAGTGTTAAAAATTTTCTTTCAATTTTTTTAGCTTCAAATCTGGGTGGTTTACTAAGCCTAAGCCTGAGAGGAAGTTTTTAGGTTCCAACTCATCGACTTCATTTTTACATTTTTGGATTATTCCAAATCTGTTACTTTTTTTTGTTGAAACTCATCGACTTCATTTTTTCATTTTTGGATTATTCCAAATCTGTGAGTTTTTTTGTTGAAACTCATCGACTTCATTTTTACATTTTTGGATTATTCCAAATCTGTGAGTTTTTTTGTTGAAACTCATCGACTTCATTTTTACATTTTTGGATTATTCCAAATCTGTGACTTTTTTTTGTTGAAACTCATCGACTTCATTTTTACATTTTTCGATTATTCCAACTTTTTTTTTCGAAAAAAGTTACATATTTGGATTAATCCAAAAATGTCACAATCTTCGACCGATTTTTTTTTTAAATCTCGGGCCGATTTTTTTTTTGAAAAATCTCGGTCCGATTTTTTTTGAAAAAAAGTTACATATTTGGATTAATCCAAAAATGTAAAAATCTCGGACCGATTTTTTTTTGAAAAAAAGTTACATATGCCGATTTTTTTTTTGAAAAAAAGTTACATATTTGGATTAATCCAAAAATGTAAAAATCTCGGGCCGATTTTTTTTTGAAAAATCTCGGTCCGATTTTTTTTTGAAAAAAGTTACATATTTGGATTAATCCAAAAATGTAAAAATCTCGGGCCGATTTTTTTTTTGAAAAATCTCGGTCCGATTTTTTGAAAAAAAGTTACATATTTGGATTAATCCAAAAATGTAAAAATCTCGGTCCGATTTTTTTTTGAAAAAAAGTTACATATTTGGATTAATCCAAAAATGTAAAAATCTCGGGCCGATTTTTTTTGAAAAAGTTACATATTTGGATTAATCCAAAAATGTAAAAATCTCGGTCCGATTTTTTTGAAAAAAGTTACATATTTGGATTAATCCAAAAATGTAAAAATCTCGGTCCGATTTTTTTGAAAAAAGTTACATATTTGGATTAATCCAAAAATGTAAAAATCTCGGACCGATTTTTTTTTTGAAAAATCTCGGTCCGATTTTTTTTTGAAAAAAAGTTACATATTTGGATTAATCCAAAAATGTAAAAATCTCGGACCGATTTTTTTTTTTTGAAAAATCTCGGGCCGATTTTTTTTTGAAAAATCTTGGTCCAATTTTTTTTTGAAAAAGTTACATATTTGGATTAATCCAAAAATGTAAAAATCTCGGACCGTTTTTTTTTTTTTGAAAAAAAGTTACATATTTGGATTAATCCAAAAATGTAAAAATCTCGGGCCGATTTTTTTTTGAAAAATCTCGGTCCGATTTTTTTTTTGAAAAAGTTACATATTTGGATTAATCCAAAAATGTAAAAATCTCGGGCCGATTTTTTTTTTTGAAAAATCTTGGGCCGATTTTTTTTGAAAAAGTTACATATTTGGATTAATCCAAAAATGTAAAAATCTCGGACCGATTTTTTTCTGAAAAATCTTGGGCCAATTTTTTTTTTGAAAAAGTTACATATTTGGATTAATCCAAAAATGTAAAAAATCTCGGGCCGATTTTTTTTTTGAAAAATCTCGGTCCGATTTTTTTTTGAAAAAGTTACATATTTGGATTAATCCAAAAATGTAAAAATCTCGGACCGATTTTTTTCTGAAAAATCTTGGGCCAATTTTTTTGAAAAAGTTACATATTTGGATTAATCCAAAAATGTAAAAATCTCGGACCGATTTTTTTCTGAAAAATCTTGGGCCGATTTTTTTTTTGAAAAATCTCGGTCCGATTTTTTTTTGAAAAAGTTACATATTTGGATTAATCCAAAAATGTAAAAATCTCGGGCCGATTTTTTTTTTGAAAAATCTCGGTCCGATTTTTTTTTTGAAAAAGTTACATATTTGGATTAATCCAAAAATGTAAAAATCTCGGGCCGATTTTTTTTTGAAAAATCTTGGGCCGATTTTTTTTTGAAAAAAAGTTACATATTTGGATTAATCCAAAAATGTAAAAATCTCGGGCCGATTTTTTTTTTGAAAAATCTCGGTCCGATTTTTTTTTTGAAAAAGTTACATATTTGGATTAATCCAAAAATGTAAAAATCTCGGGCCGATTTTTTTTTTGAAAAATCTCGGTCCGATTTTTTTTTGAAAAAGTTACATATTTGGATTAATCCAAAAATGTAAAAATCTCGGACCGATTTTTTTCTGAAAAATCTTGGGCCGATTTTTTTTTGAAAAAATCTCGGTCCGATTTTTTTTTTGAAAAAGTTACATATTTGGATTAATCCAAAAATGTAAAAATCTCGGACCGATTTTTTTTTTGAAAAATCTCGGGCCGATTTTTTTTTGAAAAATCTCGGTCCGATTTTTTTTTTGAAAAATCTCGGGCCGATTTTTTTTTGAAAAATCTCGGTCCGATTTTTTTTTGAAAAAGTTACATATTTGGATTAATCCAAAAATGTAAAAATCTCGGACCGATTTTTTTTGAAAAATCTCGGGCCGATTTTTTAAGTAAAAAGTTACATATTTGGATTAATCCAAAAATGTAAAAATCTCGGACCGATTTTTTTCTGAAAAATCTTGGGCCGATTTTTTTTTTGAAAAATCTCGGTCCGATTTTTTTTAAAGTTACATATTTGGATTAATCCAAAAATGTAAAAATCTCGGGCCGATTTTTTTTTCAAAAAAAAACTCAACTGAAAATTCAAAGAAAATAGAAAATTTGAATTTTCCCCCCAAAAAATTACTTTTTCAAAATGTTTGTATAAAAAATGAGGTTTTCTAATTTTTCATTCATGTGGATTTTGTAATCTCATTAAAAAATCTAAAATTTATGCAAGTCCGAGTTTTTTTATCAAAAAAATTGGCCCGAGATTTTTTTGTTATCGAAAAAATCCAAAACAAAATCGAGAAAATTGTTCTGGAAACGATAATTTGTCATTTTACTTTTTCCGAATTAGAAAATTCTTCGTGAAAAAAGACTTCGCTTGTAAAAAAAGATTTTTCAGGTTTCAGCTGGTCTACGAATTTATTGAAAACCTATACCATTTTTCAAAATTTTTCAGATAACAATTTTTTTTTCAGATTCACCCAATTGAAGATATCATTCACCATTCCGACCGAGCAACAGATTTGATTGCGAAATCCTTTGATTTATCATTGATATTTATGTTTTTTTTGTTGTTTTCCCATAAAAATTCATTGCTCACTGTATCGTTTTATTACACAAAATCCGCGTCTCCAAAATCAACACACTATTTTTTGAATGATGAAATCTACCATGTTCTAGAAAATAGGCGTGGTCAATTTATCTGAACAAAAAAAACAAAACATTTGAGGCTATAAAAGAGCGACGAAAATCGAGTATTTTCATTCTCCAATATTTCGCCTTCTAATATTTCTCCTATTCTTCCTTTTGCTGACCCCAACTGGCGCTATGTGTATCCCTATCTTCAAAATTGCTCCTGATGTCAATCACCCTCTTCCAAATTTCTTGACAATTGAAAAACCAATATTTCACCCTAACCCCCAAATCAATCAATCCTCCCCTTTAGATCAACCCTGTCGTCCTAATATTTAGACTTACTACCCTTGAGCCAGCTCAGAATTGAAGTTAACTCACATTAAAAATCAATCAGATATTCATTTTGGTTGATTTCTTCTGTTTTTTTCAAGCTCCAACCAACACTTTAAAGCACTCAATCCAGATTTAAGATTCACTTTAGATAGAAACTCCCTAATCCACCTTGATTTCTAGATTCACCCTTGAGTCAATTTGAATTATATTAATTCAGATTTAGCAAAACTAAATGGTCCTTGATGATTTTTTAATTCTCGCATTATTTTTTTTTCATCCTGAACTTCTACCCCAGCCATATAACATTTATTCCTCATTTCAGATTAACCGAACCCTAACCCACTACACAATGTCGTCCAACAAAAAAGTGCTCACAAATGCTGTAAGTTTGTTGTTTTGTTTATTCGAATGCGAGAATCCCAATCATTTTTTTCCAGCAAAAAGAAGCATTGCACCACGCAGATGAACTCGAAAAGGAGGCGAATCGCCGCAGAAGTGTCGAGGTTTGTTTAACTAACAGTTTCTTGCATGTCAATGAACATGTAAAAATTTCATGTGAGCTCAAAAAATCTTGATTATTTCCAGAAAAAATCGACAAGCTCTTACACTGAAGACCGAACTCAGTCTTCAAGATCCAACTCAAGATCTCATCACTCGAACTCGACCACTGGAGGTGGATCGAGCAGCAGCAGCTCGAGAAGAGACAGAAGCTCTCGCAGATAATCAACTTCCAAATTTATTTCTTCAAAACTTTTCTTTTCTGTCCATAAACCTAAAAAACCCCAAAAAAAATCTATTTTTCCCATATTTTTTCTTATTTTTGCACCCGTATCTTCCCTAATTCCATCCAAACCGACGTTTCCAATTTGAATGATATTTCTTTTTTTTTATTAATTGAGCTTCAGCTCAAGTGAAAAACCTAGAAGAAATTCTACCCATCCAACCATACTTTGCCTTTCCCCCCTCACTTCATTTCCCCCCTCAAACGTATCTTCCCGTTTTCAATTTTCATGTTTTTATAATGAATTTCAAATAAAAATTTCATTTCGAAAAATGTTTAAATGGATTTCAGAGCCCCATTTTCCGTAAGAAACTAGGGGCTGTTAGCCCCGAGGCGTAACAGTCTTCTTATTATTTCAGTTCCGTTTTTTTCTGTGATTATTTTCAATTTTCTGTGGAAAACAAATTCATGAAAAATTTCAAGTTTTTTGATCAAAAAATGATTCGTGGCAAAATCAGGAAGGCTTCCTAATTTTGCCATGGATGAAGTCATCAAACTATTTTTCATAAAAAATTATTGAATATCTTTTTTTATTTGCATAATTATAGACATGACCGTCTCCAAACAGAAATTTCGGTTTGGAGACATGACTTTTTCTCAATAATTTCATTTCTGGACGAAATTCTGAATTTTCTTGTTTTTTAACAGTGTTAAAATATTTCTTTCAATTTTTTTAGCTTCAAATCTGGGTGGTTTACTAAGCCTAAGCCTGAGAGGAAGTGTCATTTAGGTCCCAACTCATCGACTTCATTTTTACATTTTTGGATTATTCCAAATCTGTTACTTTTTTTTGTTGACTGTATACACGAAAATAAAAATTTCAATTTTTGTCAGCTACCCGCTCAAATCCAAATTTTCATTTGGGCGGGTATTTTTGTCAAACAAAAAAAACTCGGGCCGATTTTTTTTTGAAAAAACTCGAGCCGATTTTTTTTTCACCAAACAAAAAAAACTCGGGCCGATTTTTTTTTGAAAAAACTCGGGTCGATTTTTTTTTGAAAAAACTCGGGTCGATTTTTTTTTTGAAAAAACTCGGGTCGATTTTTTTTTTGAAAAAACTCGGGCCTTTTTTTAATGTTAAAAAAAGGATAGAATACTTGAGAGATCCTACTTCGATGGAACTTAGCTCCGATTATAATGGATTCAATAACCTACACTTAACCAACGAGGGCACACTCAGCACATTTCACAAAAACAAGTGGCTGAGTTTGTCTGGTTGATTAAGTGCGGAATATCATCTGAAATATCTAGAAGCTAGTCAAATTTTATAGTGAATCATGGGTTGCTATAAAAAAGAGAAACTGACATGATCTCATTTTTTTTCCATTTGTGTTTTTTCTCCTAATGTACATATTATCCCATTTTTTTCAGAAATGGGATTGTGTGGGCGTTAACAGGCTCGAAGAAAATGCGGATGTGAGAGAAATAACCAGCGCTTTATTTCACACCGAAATATCACAGAAAATCAAAAACTGGAAACGTTTTCAGATTTACGAATTCTGACCTAAAAAAGTAGAGAAAAAAAAGGTTTTTTTCCAGATATTAGTCAAAAAATGAATATCAATTTCAGATTGAAATCATGCATTTTGGCTCGAAAAAAAGGATTCATAAACGCTCACAATGACAGCTCAAAGATGCTCAAGAATCTTATTTTTGAACTCATAATGTTCAATTATTTTTATGTATCTTCTATGTTGTTTGACGACCACAAAGATGTATTTGAAAATATTTATGTGAGAAAAAAGTTGTACATTTTACAAATATAAAAATTGGGCAAAATTGTTTCTAGTTACATTTATTGTAAACAAAAGTTTCATAATCAATTTGAATTGTTTGACGTAAAACGAACGAATTTCATAACCTGCATAATAAATAATTATGGTTATATTCCCTCATCACATTTTCATTTTCAGGAGGAAGGCTTTCATATATATATATATATTCGTTTTTTCGTTTCTACTGGTTATTCCTTACGATTCTGAAACCCAAAACGCCCTTCAATGGTATACATTTTTTGACAGCATACTTCTATTTCAAAGCTGTCAACATTGTTTCATGTGTTTTTTTCCTTCAAAATCTATTGTGCACGTCTAGAGAATTCTCCAAAGAATTGTTGTCAAATCAGAAATTAATGCAATGAATGAAGAAATGAAGAAACAACGTGCCAACAAGAGTATTTCTGACGTCTAGGGTAAAGTTCATTTGGAAGGAAAGAAAAAAGGGGAGTTTCGTTTAATTTGTTGCTCGTTTCCTCTTTTTTCAACGTATTTTCAACTGCACATTTTTCATTCATTCTTTGCAGGATATTAATTCACTTGTTGAACTCTAACTCTATTAAAAAAGTTCTCGTGACATATGAGAAAAGTTCAAACAGATGCTTTTTCAGCTGTTTTCTAGAAATCTGAAAAGCAGACGGTCAGAAGGAGGATTAGTTTTCTAGAAGATGAACGTTTTCATAGAATTTCAAAAAAAAAATGTTATATGATTTTTGAAAAATACTCTTCCGGGTTGCAAGCAGATATAGTATCTGAAATTTAATTTTTGAACTTATTTTTGTAATCTTTCTAAGTTTCAGGAAGAATCTTGTCTTGGTCTTGAAACTTGACTATGTTATCTAGTTTCAGAAACATTTTCAGATGAAAATTGAACCCAACATATTTTGATACTTCCTTGTTAATTATAGTGATATGTTTTGTAAACATCTATCACAAGTAACATACAATTTTTAATTAACAAAAATCTTTTTTCGTGTGAATCATTAATTTCGGTTTTGGTTCCAAAATTCACTTATAAAATATAAAATTTTCCCGTTCAAAATACATATTTTTCAGAAACAAATCAATAGGAAATAAATGACGAACCTTTATCTGTCACTAACAGGAAATTAAAATAAGTCTGTCTGTTCTTTTTTTATTCAACTTCCAAAGTGTTCTGAAAATAGAGAATTCATATTTTCACGCTGTAATTCACATGGACAATAGGAAACTATTTTGTTTTCCGCTAGTGCATCAACAATTGTGATGTGAGTTGTTATAAATACACCTGCTGACCAAACTTTCTTTTTTTTTCATTTTCTTGAGAAGGAAGTGATTTTGATGAATTTCAAATGCTTTTGTTTCGCGAGAAAATCAGAAATCAGACTAAATCCTTTGAAATTGATATTCTTTTTTTATGATATCATTTTCATATAGATTACCAACACCCCCAATGCCCTTTTTTTCTAAAAAAAAAATAGGTCCAGTATAAATAAAGCTAAAAAATTGTTACATTCAGAATCTTAATTGTAGTTTAAAGAAGTCTTACAACAATTTTTTTTTTCAAAAAAAGATCGAAGTTTGAGAATTTCTTATTAATTTGCACGAAGTCGTTTTCAAATTATCCTGTTTATTTGTTATTTCGTGTATTTTTTTGTTAAGTGATGATAGTTGGACACGCAATCGAACTTTCAAAGATTAGTCTTTTTTCTGCTTGATTTTATATTTTTGGTGGGCGTGAGATTCCAACCTATTTAAGAAAAACGAAAGAAAATTTCATTATTCTATGTAATTTTTGCAAAATTCGTCAAGCGTATTGTTTGTGTTGTTTTTGTTTGACGAAATTTTTTCTTTCCGGAAAAAAAGTGTTTTATCATGCGTGAATTTATACTTTCTTGATGTTGTTGTTTTTCATGTAAATTCGTATTTTTCAACGGGTAGAAGAACTTTTAGATTACTTATTTTTCTTGTAAAATTTCAAGATTCTTGATTTCTGAAACCTGGAGATGATGAACTTTTCACTCCTCAAAAATAACGTCAATTGACATTATCACGAGGTATATTTCCAGGTGAAAATCTATCTGGAATCAGAAACATTTACAAGCTCTCTTTTTTTGTTTGAGAAAAAAAGTCGCTTTTTTCAATTGAAATAAAAAGTTTGTAGTTTGATCCCAAACCTCTCATAATTATTCTAGAAACTTGTTCCGGTTAGGTAATAAAAATGTAAGATCTCGTTCAGAGCAAAGAACTTTTTTTCGGATTATTTTTTGTGGTTTAGAACAATCCAAAACCACGTTCTAATGTAAATAGAACTTCTAGAATATTCTGAAGATTTTTTTGAAAACAAGATTCTGAAAAATGGGAAATTTTTAGATTAATATTTTAAAAATTGTTGTTTTCCAGTGATTGATTATGATTCCGAAAAATTTCCACCGTACTCAAAAAGGTTTTTGTAGTATCTCACATTTTTTGAATTTTTAAACGCCGCCCACAAACTTTATAAATTCCACAAGTCAATTGTTTTATTCTTAAACAAAAATCTATTTTCGTAGCATTTCCTCTTCGTCCAATAATTTTCCACACGTCACTTTTTGTTTTCCCTAATAACAAATTGAAAGAAACATAAAATCTGACCTCCTATTTTCACTCACTCATTCTGCCGTAACCTTTGCTTTCATCATAATTTGGCGATTAACCAACAACAAATGTTTTGACAATGTTTACAGAGGTAGAAAAAAATGAAGTAGAGGAGAAACATTTTTTGGAAGCCATCATCATCACAAAAGTGGTTTGTGTTCTATTTCTTTTTTTTTTGCTGTCGTTTCTTCTTGGCTGAAAAAAGAGGTAGCTTCTTCGTCTTCTTCTTTCTTTTCTTCCTCCAATCCAATCGCTAATGGCTTCAATTAGTGCACACATCGATTCTGGCCAACTAACTTTTCTCTATCTCCATGTACTTACTTATACCTCACCTGAATTTGTTTTGCATTCTTTCATTTTTGATTTCTCTCTGATCTTACCTCAATTTAATCTAACTGCAAAAAGGAAGTTATTCTACGCAACCCACAATTTCCGGTCATTTTCAAAAAATCAAGAAAAATGAAAGGCTTGAAAAAAAGTTCTAGGTTTAAAAGCCACTAGAGAAAATGCGAAATTTGATAGTAGTACTCTGTTTATTTGTTCCTTTTTCGTTTTTTTTGGTATTCCGATTTTATTTTTCCTGCGAATAGTGTTCTTATTCTTTAGAATATGATTATGGATTGTAGTCATAATTCTATTTTTCGTTTTTTTTTATTTCGGAAATCTTTTTGATTCAAAATATTTGTGGTTTTTAGATAAGTTAGACCCATCTATAAAGTTAGGCGATTGGTTTTCGTTTTGTTTTTCAATTTGTAGGCGTATTTGTACCACCTCTATTCTTTTGGATTTTAGTTAGATAATTGGTTCAGTATGACCAACTTTTTTTTTTAAATAAGAATATTAGTGTAGTCGCTCTGAATTTCTTACATCTGAAATTTCAAATTTTTTGAAATTTATAATTGGAACATTGAAATTTGTTTAAAATTTAGAAAATATTAGAAATTCAGAAAATATAAGAGTTATCAAAACTATAATCTTTTTTATCTGAAAATCCTCGATTTTCTGAAATTCAGACAAATAAAATAGTTTTTTCTTCGGAATCGTTTCTCCAGATTGTTTGTCGTTTCATCGTAATTTGATTTTTGGCATCATGTTTATTTTGATGATTTTTTTTCAGCTCAAAATAAAACTTTCAAGATAGTTTTTCTTCCTTAAGATTAATGTTTTCCAAACATGAAATTACTATTTTATGTCTAACGACTGTTGTTATTCTCCTTATTATTTCCCTTTTACATTTCAAAATTCATGTTTTTTCTCTTTTCTTCTTCTACGTATGTTTTTTCTTTTTTCTCAAAAAAAAAAAGAAAATCTTACTTTTTTCAGAGTTTCTTTCTTTTTTTTTTCTGATAAAAACAACACCACTCACATTTATCCGAACGAAAACAAAAACAAAATGTACTCTAAGAGATTTCGCTCACTCGGTTAGGAATATTTTAAAATTGTATTTTTTCGAACAAAATACTTTGCACTTTTTACTTTCAAGGGTTATTACAAATCCCTTCTATTTTTGAGATCTTTCGCCGAAAATGTGTTTATATATATTTTTTCTTGTGAAGAACATAGCGAAAATATGTTTATATTGGATGAAAAAGTTCATGAGACCATCTTGTATTGAAAACATCTGTTTGAACTTTCGATCCAACATTTTTCTTGCTATTCTCGGAAAAAACGCCGAGTCAATTATTGGGACGCTATCCAATTTTCCTTAAAATCATAATCCAGTTTTATTTGTCTATAAAACACAAATCCGATTTCATTTTTTGTCCACATTTTTTAGATGCTCTTACATATGGAATGTTTTACGAGAAAAGCGAACTCGTTTTATCTGTGTTCAAAATAATTTGAAACAGAAGAAAAATCTTTTTGTGTATGTAGTTTGAAAAAAACCAAAGATATAAAAAGAGGCAAATCAAAAATTCATTCCGTGAAAAATTGAAGAAAATGTTAACCATCAATAGAAATTATTTGATGCATAAAAAATCACCGATTATTTATTTTCTGCCTTCTTCTTCTTCTTCCGTTTTCATTTTGAATCAACCATTTTTTTTCAAATCTGCCCATTCATTCTTGAATAAATTATCATATTCATTTCTGCTCGTACCCAACTTTTTTTTCATCTCATCCAACCAACTCTTTTTATTATTTTTTTTATTATTGGCTTCTGTATTTTTTATACTCAAGTTACTCATATTTCAACTAGACTCTTTTTATTCAGACATGTTTCTTATTGCTAAAATTGTACGGGGTCGACGACTTTTACACGAGTTGGAAAAACAGGAAAAGGATGAGCATTTGGCAGCCGATGCATCAGTTACGGATAAGGTTTGTTTTTTTATTACGGTAGTTCAGACATTTACAAAAAAAAATAAACATTATGGAAATTTGTAATCCAAGACAATGAAAGTGTTCATGTCAAAAAAAAAACAGCTGAACCAGAAATCGAAACTTGATACTTTCCAAAGTCACACGATGAAAACACATACATAAAAAACTTTAATATCATTGATCAAAAATCGTATATTTTACAGAATCGCGCTAAAGAATCGAGCCCAACTGAAGCCGAGCAACCAGCCGGTGAACCGTCACAATTCCGACCAAGGCGGAGGTTTGATTGATTTTATTTGTTTTTATTGTATAGTATAGCTCATTATTTTATACCCCATTAGTTTTAAGAATAGATTCATATAAGGGCAGATCCACCGCTTTATTCATTTATTCCACAATTTCTGTGCGATAATGTGCAATTTCTTGTGCTGTGCTAAACCTAGAAGAACGAAATCGGCCGTGCAAGTTTCAATTTTTACTTGGGGGGAAAATGTACTTTACTAAAGTATATTTGAAAAATGAGTAATACTACTGTAGTTTTCTTGAAATGACATGCAATTGTTTCACGCGATTTGCGATTTTCAGGAAAAAAATCGTGAATAACAAAAAAATTGGGTATAAAAATACGAACACTTCCTGATTTTAGTCATAAAATACATATGTCTTGTAGCCGCACTGTTCGTAAGAAGGCTGGTGGAACTGGATCGGTTGATTCGTCAGCTGTTATGGAAGATGGCAAAACTGCGAGAAAATCGAGTAGTATGCCAAGTATTTATGATTTGCAGCAAGGTATTTTCGTTGATCTCTGTAAAAAAAAATAATAGTTAATTAGGAAAATGTTTGCAGCATCAAGTTCGGTTGTTCCATTGCGTCATTATAATTATGATGGAAAATTGAATAAATTGCAAAAACGCGCGATTCGTTTCACTTGGCATCGTTTACAAACTCGCAATGGTGGAAAACGCGTTGAAAATGTTTTTGAGGAGGTTTTCGAAAAACTCATCAAAATTTTGCCAAACATCCGTGATATGTTTTCAACAAGAATGTTCCTCTGTGCAATGTCTCGTGGTTCAACATCTTCACTTCGAGACCATTCGCGGGGTACTGTAAAAATGATTGATGTGGTCGTTAAGAATTTGGATGTGGAGAAGAGCAAGAGAAGCGACACCGGAACGGAAAATGATCCAAGACATATTGGTGGGTTATTTTTTGAGGTATCCTCGTATTCATAGAAAATGTTTCCAGGCCGCGCACATAGCAGCTTGAAACCATATGGGCTAACTGGCAACTATTGGGAGAAGTTTGGCGAAGTGATGATTGATGTTGTTTTGGCGCAAGAAGCTGTTCGAGATCTCCCAGGCGCCGGGCAAGCCTGGGTTATCTTTACTGCATGCCTCGTTGATCAACTTCGTGCAGGCTTTGATGAATCACGTAGAAATGATCATGACGCTGTGATGAAGAAGAATACCGTACTTCATCATGCCACTCAACAACTTCTTGAAGATGTTAGTGTAGCTCAACCACAACCACAAATGCAACAGACACCAATCGTCAATGTTCAATTGCAAACATTGAATGATCGCAGAGCTTCAGTTGTTGAATGTCCATTTGCCAAAATGTCTATTGTAAGGGAATTTTTTATCTTTAGCTTAAATGAAAATGAAGATTTATCATTTTAGGCACCAAAATCAATCGATAGTTCGACTACAATCTCACCAACATCCACACAAACAATCACCGAATTGGCTGATGGAAGTGATATGTCAGAAACTGTTTATCTCTAACCTACATAAATGTTTTTCTTTTCTCTATCCCATTTTTACTAATTTTTCTCGGATAAAATCCACCCATTTCTTATCTTTTTAGGTCAATGACCTAATTTTTGTCTATCTTTCTTTGCCGAATCATTTCTTGTGTCGCATATTTTATTTTTCTTTTCTTTTTTTTCATTTCTATATTTTTCTTGTGTCTGTGGAATAAATACATATTTGGGGGAACAGTTTTGTACATTTATTTTCAGAAAAAAAATGGATAAGCCACAAACTGGTGGCAACCATGTTGCTTCGGCAACATTGCTTATCAGCATTTTCTGCATGTTGTCAGTGGTTATTGTTGTGCCAGTTCTCAATATGCAATTGAATGAGGCTCAAGAGAGACTTGCCAATAGAATGGGAGCTTTTAAGGTGAGATTTTGGAGATAATTCTGGAAAATATATCTGGAAATTTGAAAAAAAGCTCATTTTTTCAGTTCACCGCTCGTAATATCTGGCAAGATATTATGGTTGTCAAGAGCAATGGAAGAATTAAACGTCAATACGGTGGATATGGAAGTGATAGCCAATCGGATAACCAACAATGCACATCTTGTGTTCAACTTCGTTGTCCACCAGGGCCACCAGGTCCACCAGGAGTTGGAGGAGAACCTGGAATTGATGGAGCATCCGGGCGTCCAGGAAAACCTGGATTGGATGGGCTTGATGTTCCACTTGATCCAGAACCAGCTTTCCCATGTGTGATCTGCCCAGCAGGGCCACCAGGAAATCGTGGACCTCAAGGAGAGATTGGACGACCAGGACAAACTGGAGAGCCTGGGCATCCAGGACTTCCAGGACGACCAGGAAAACCAGGACGCGTCGGAGATGCTGGGCCACAAGGTGAAGCTGGAGAGCCAGGAGAGCCAGGAATCAAAGGTCCACCAGGAGATGATTCTATCGGAGGTACAGGAATCAAGGGACCTCCAGGGCCTCCAGGGCCAAGAGGACCAAAGGGGCCACCAGGAACCAATGGATTGCCATCGCAAAACAGTGGACCACCGGGACCAATCGGAGAGATGGGACCACCTGGGCCACCAGGGCCACGTGGAGAGCCAGGGCCACCAGGGCCATTTGGACCGCCAGGAGATTCTGGAGAACCAGGAGGCCATTGTCCATCGTCTTGTGGAGTTCAAGAAATTGTTGCACCATCAGTCAGCGAATTGGACACCAATGATGAACCAGCTAAACCATCCCGCGAAGGATACGGTGGATATGGAAATTAATAAATTTTTCTGTGTTTGTTCTACAATTCTCCATAAATATTCCCTTTTCTCCAATAATGTTTGATTGTTTCCAATTTTTCCACAAAATTTATTTGTTATCCCGAAAAAGTCTATAACTCAATTTCTGATATACGGGGGGTTGTCAACCCGTAACTTTTACGACCATCTATGTATAGACACACATAGGTATTGAATAGCAAATTTGTAGAGGGGGGGGTTGGTTAACGGCGAAAGTCGTAAACTGCAAAGACATAAAACTCGGATAGCCAAAAGAAGCTGCCAGGCAGCTGTCCCCCTTCTTTCCTTCTCTGTTTTTTCTTGCCTTCCAACACAAACAAGACTACAATAATTGGGAAAAAATGGACTACTGTAATGAGTAAGGGGTGCCAAAAGTAAAATGACACTAATTATATGCTGGCCATTTTAACTATGAGGAAGGAAAGAAGAGTTGTTGCCAAAATGTGAAACACATTAGTGTGAGACATGTTATTATTATTATTACTATTAAGCTAGTGGAGGAAAATGCGCTAATTTTTGGTGGCTGGGTTTTTTTTTGGTAATGAGACATGGAAATATTTATGATTTTTGTTGAATAGTTGAGTTGAAACAAAACATTGTTGGGACTTTTCTGAAAAAAATATTGATGTTCTGAAAATTTTCTTGAAATTAAAGTAATACCGTATGCTTACAAATTTGATGTCAAAACATTTGTGAATAATTTCGCATCTTGCTCTTTCGGATCTGCTAAACCTTTAACAAAAATTTTCCTACTTCATTTTGAGAAAATCGCTCATGGTTTTCAAGGTGCTCTGATTATTTTATATTTTGCTCACATTCAGACTCCACCTTTGAAATTTTATGAATCGGTTAATTTCGAGTCCCTTTCAAATCGCAATCACTAGATTTTTGTTTATTCAGTCACAAATCCGAATTCAACTCTAAAAACAAGAATCACATTATACTTATAATGTGTTTATTTACCCGATTTTACTTGATAGACTTCTTAACTATGATTACGTCAAAAAATCCGGATGAGTAACTGCATATTTATCTGATCCCGTCTTACCCACAAGCCAGAAAAAAAGAATAAGAAAAAAATTAGAGATGGGGTGGCGTGAAGAATAAATCATAAAATATTCACATAACTACGGTTTCTTTTTTTCTCACATGTCATTGTGTGTTAATTTAAAAAGAATGATGAAGCAGCACACACACAATTGAATATGAAAACGACAAAAAGGCACGCGTTTTCGTGTCATCAAATAATACTCATTTTAATTTCAGATGCCGAAACATGTCTAGTCTTTATGGAATTTGGAAAAGAGTTGAGAAAACAATATAAATTTTGTTGGATGAGGTCCAAAGCGTTATCATTTTTTCAATCCTTTCAGGATTTGGAAAAAATTAGGATTTTACAGGATCATCCTTTTTAAACAGAGTTTGTTAAAATTCTGATTTATTTCAAAAGCATTTTCTCCCAACTACAACAAAAAAAGAACACCAACTCATATCCATCAAATTGAGCAATGTTTCATTTCATGTCTTCTTCTTGTTTCAAAAATGTGCACTAAAATGCAACAATAACCTAATTGATCACCTCCTTCTTCCTCTTTTCATACCCCATTTTAGCACCAATTTTATGACACGTTGTGTTGTTGCTGTCAGCTGTCCCAGTTAGAAGCACCATATTGGCGCACTTTGCGAGCGAAACGTCATTATTATATCAAGACCATTTTGACTTGATTTATACATACACTCACTATTGGCAGCTTGGATGTGTCGACCCCATAGCTACAATTACCTAATTTTTCCGAAATATAGAAAAAGAGAGAGCCTATTCCGTTTCTCTGACTCTTCCTTCTATGTTCTTATGTTTTCTAGTACTAGAGATTTTTCTGGAATTTTTCGAGATTCTCCTTTAAAACTTCTGAATTTTCAAATGTTTTTGATCTCCAACTATTTTAAATTTTTTGCATAATTTTGGATGGAGATTTTCATAATAGAAAAATTTGAAGTTTCAAATTTTTTGGCTGAAAAAAAAGTTGTTCAGGTTCAAGAATTTAGAGAAAATCACAGAAACATTATGATTAATCTTGATGAACATAATCATGAAAACAAATTTGAAGAAATTCAGAATCTGATTTCTGGACTTTGGGAGATACAGTTTAAGGTTTTTTACGAGCTTTCATTTGCAAATTTTTTAAAAAATATGGTAGTTTCCAAGAATTGTTTCAAATTTAATCTCGGTTCTTATTATAACAAATTTTCACATCCTTGCTCTCACTTTCAAAATAAAAATTTCAAAAATGTATGAACAAAAAAACTTTCCCCCAACTCTTTGTGTGTTTTCTACCAACATGAAGTTTATCGAATGTTGCTTTTCATTATTACACAAAATTTTGGTATCCCACTGTTTGCCCGTGTTCTTTTTTGAAAGCACAAAAATGTATCATCGTTCTCAAAACATATCTAGCTAAAATAACTTTTTTTTAGGAGAGTTTTACTGATCTTCCGATATTTTTTTGTTTACTTTTCTCAACTTTGAATTCACTAACAATAAAAACCAAAATCTTAAGATTAATTAAATTCCAGAAAAAATACACAAAACTTTTATGACATTCCGTCATTCACGAAATTAAAAAAAACTTTTGAAAAAAGCTGCAAAAAGTGCTTTTGGGGCAATATGAACAATTTCGGCTGAAATCTTACCTATTTTTAAATTTTTCGTAACTTGAGTTTGATTAACACAATGTTTTGCATAAGTCTCATTAAAAATTTTAAAAATAAGATATACAGTAATCTAAAACCAACTGCGATTGGCTTAAGACGAAAAAATAGGCGTGGTCTTACCCATAATAGAAAAAGAAGAAGGGGGAAAAGCTTTTTTGAGCTCGTGTATACACATATAGGGTTTTATTTTATTTTCATTCCAACAAAAAAGGAAATTGCGGATAAATATTTTTTTCCTGTCGAATTTTTTGTTGTCCGAAATGCAACATTTTTCATAATTTGTTTTTTTTTTGCAGAAATGAATATGAACCATAGTTTATTAACACTTGGTGCATGTGATTTAACTGATAGTCAATTGGTAATATGCAGTTCTGGTATGATGTCTCCACAAACCGATTATGAGAATTGTATGTTTTTTATTCAAATTGATTTGATTTTATAAAAATGATAAGATGGGATAATCGGCTACAATTCTTTTAACAAAGCTTGAGGGTGTTAGATTTTTCTTTTCTTTTTTTTTGGTAGACATTCTTCATGATTTCCTATTTCTTTTCATCTAATATATTCATTAAAAGAGCAATTTTATCCAAATTTCAATCAAATAACTAAATTTTCTGAATGTTCGGTAATTTTTTTCTTGATTTTTTTTAATTAAAAAAAAATATTCTGTTTTTTTTTCAAAAGTTTCACACAGAAATACGATTTATTAAAAATCAGTCATAACAAACAACAAAAACGACACCTTTTTAACGTGCGAAATTCGATATTTTAATGGTTAGGTTGGCTAAAAATGAGGAGTCGTCACCCCCGTATAAACACCCCCTTTTATACCTCAAAAACTAATGCGAGCTCATCTTTTGAAATTGAATACAGTCTAACATCTGCTTTTTTTTGAAATAAAAAATGAGTGGGAAAAGTTGGACTATTGTTGAAAATAAGAAAATTTGATCTGATTTTGAGCTTAAGATTGTCTGAAAATTCTTCAAACTAAAAACTATAGCATCACTTTTTCTCCGTTCCGATAAATCACACAATGATATTCGGTGAGCTAGTTCAGATTTGAAAAGTTTTCCAAAAGAAATGAATTCATCAAAACTAAACTCTAGTTTGTAATAAAAAGAATTATTGATGCGCGAAAAACAGTTCTTGTTCAGAAAATCAATATTTTTTTATTTTTGGATTTAGAACTTGTTGTGTAACTTTACTAGAAACATCTTTTTTTCACTAATTTTTTGATAGTAATACCTACTTTATTATGCTTGAGTTGCGCGTCAAATAATGTGTGTCTGCACACACTCGAATAAGATATTCCTAGAATTATACTTGAAGATGATTGTTTCTAGATATCATAGATTTTTGGGCCAAGATTTTGATGAGTTTGCCTAACTTTTTTCAATTTTCAAAGGTTATTTTCATATATTTTTCAAATTTTACAGAATTTTTTATCGATTTTATCAATTTTTCTGAAATCCCATCCCCAAAAACTCACCAATCGCTTCTATTTCTCAAATTACACAAAAATCAATCAAATTGTCCATCAATATTCAAATATTTACCCTGAAAACTCAAAAATTTCAATCAAAACAGTGTTTCTCTCGAAAAAAAAACCACCTTTCTTCGAGAATCCTCGGATTTTCCGCTGTAATCGATAATTCCAGCCTTCTACAACATCTAAAAATGTAATTTTGACTGAAATCCACTGATTTTCCCTGGAAACCTGACAACCCAGCGAAAACAAAACGAAAAATGAAAATATTGTCGTGTTGCGCTAAACAGCGGGCAAGCGGAGTGTCGTTGTAAAAGTCAATTACTAAATTCTATTTTTGTGCCAATGTTTGGTGTTCCCAATTGTTATACTTTTTATGTGATCCTTCCTTTTTCTTGATTTTTTTGAAAAAAAAACGAAGCGGTAGAATTTCGCAAAAAATATACTCTATTTTTATTTGCTGACCATTTTGAATTCTCCGAAGCCATTTTTGAAATTTTCGAATTTGTGATTAGGTTAACTTATCAAGTCAGTTATCAGATATATTTGAAGCTGCAAAATCTTTTTTTTTTCGAAAAACCTCTCGTTGATAAGAAGTCCAAAACATTTATTTTTGTAACATCAATTCAAAACATGAGCTTTGGTTTTTAAAAAGTTTTGGGACCAACGAAGTGAGGTCAAAAGATGAATAAAAATTAGAAAATTAATTATCGATGCACAGTCAATCAAAATATTCCAGGTCATCCAAATTGTGTTAGCGGAACTGCTCGTCTGATTGGTGATGAAGCAATTTGCCGAGCATGTGATAAAGAAATTCGTGATCGTTATGTGTCAAAAGTAGTAGACAGGTATGTAGATGCATTTCATATTAGGAAAAAAAATCAATAATATTTTTATTCAGATCATATCATTCTGATTGTTTACGATGTGCAGTCTGTAATACTGAACTTGTCGCAACTTGTTTTCTCCGCGATGAACGATTATTTTGCAGACTACATTTTTATAAGTCAGTTTGAAAAGAAAAAAAAACATCTGACAATGAAAAAAAAATCAAAATTTTTCAGGAAATTCGGTACAAAATGTGCATATTGTACTGAAGGAATAGTTCCTGATCATGTTGTTCGAAAAGCTTCTGGACATATTTATCATGTTGAATGTTTTCAATGCTTTATTTGTAAAAGGTAAGATTTTCTTGAGAATATTTGGAGAATGAAAATTTTGTTTCAGATTATTAGAGACTGGAGAGGAATTTTATTTGATATCTGACGATGCTCGATTGGTGTGTAAAACAGATTACGAAATGGCCAAAGAGAAGCGTAAGTTCATTTTTTATTGGGTTCGTTAGATTTCCCCTTTTCAGAACTACCAGAAGCTGACAACGACGTGAATAACAAAAGACCAAGAACAACAATATCTGCAAAATCTCTGGAAACTTTGAAACAGGTAGATAAATAACGGAAATTAAAATATTATCTACATATTCATATCCTTCCGTTATGACCTCACAAATTGCATATAATTTTATTTTAGGCGTATCAAACGAGCAGCAAACCAGCTCGACATATTCGAGAACAACTGGCATCGGAAACGGGACTCGATATGAGAGTTGTTCAGGTAGTTTTTTCATTGAGCTTTTAGAACATTTGTTTTTTATTCAATTTTGTTGGTTGGTTAAGTGGATGTCTGTTGTTTCGTGGTTAGAAAAAACATGTGTCAGGCGGCAACAGAAAATGGACAAGTGGTTTAGAGATGTTTGGTTGAAAAAAAAGTTCTGAAATAAATTTGGAAAAAATCCTATTCTTTCCAGGTTTGGTTTCAAAATCGACGAGCTAAAGAGAAACGTTTGAAAAAAGATGCCGGTCGCCGCTGGAAATGTACAAATCGAACAGATAGTGATAGCAATTCCCCGATTGAAAGTCTTAATGGGCAAAGTCCAAATTACCGTAAGAAATTGGAAATTTATTTGAAATTGAATTTAAATCAGAAATATTTTAGTGTACCTCGATCAAAGTATGGATGATGCAGGAGGCGTCGACAGTAACTTCATTTACACATCAAGAGAACCATCGCCTGATAAATGTGAGTTTCGAGAAAAGATCCCCGTATCTAACCCTCTGTTGTTTATTTAGAATATAATATTTGCAGTTTTCCTCCCATCTGACAACCCTACCTCAACCGATCCATCAACATCTAATTCCTTTGATCTCCAAATCCCGCACCGGTTCATCTAATAAACAAAAAATCTCTTGCAGAAGGAAAAAAATATAACAAAACCGTTTTTTGTGCAAAAAAAATTTGCTTCAAACATTCTTGCCAACTGAAAAATCAATAAAAGTTTTTGTAGATGACCCGCAAGATGAAACACACACACAAAAAAACATGGATAAAACAGCTGTTTCTTTTTTGTTTCTGTGTAAAGCAAAAAATTTTTCGAATGATTTATTTGATTTTTTTTTCTCGTTGTTATTGTTGTTGAATATTTTGAAAATGAATCAGGTGAACAAAAAAAATGAAATCAGAAAAATAAAATGAAAAACTTATGACGAATCGACATAAGGAAGATCACCAACCACTAGCTTGACAGGATCAAGTGATCGCTATAAAAATGGGGTTTTGTAAAAAAAAAACATGGAATGATATTGATTTTTTCTAAAGGGTTGGATAATGTAAACATTTATCTATGTATCTTGAAAAAAGGGAAAAATAATAGCTTTGGAATAGGGTTCAGAGACATTTTTTTTAGAAAAAAATTGGATCAAACATGTATTCACAATGGACACGGGAGAGAAACATAACAACAAAATGTATATAAATAATTAAAAATAGTTTTCGGAATCAATGATTACCTTGGGCAAATTGGCTGTACCACGATGGGACATATCATTTGTCAATGATGTCTTTTTTTCAACTTCTGGCGAAATTTCCGATGACTCATTTGTGTAAGGCTGAAAATTTGGAAAGAGTTAGTTTGGAGCATGTTAAATGGGTTAGAGAGGAGGCTCAAAATTTTTTTGTTTTAATTGTGAACGTTTTTGACAAATAATTATTTACTTTCATGCTAATTCTGACTGATTCTTTAATATTTTTGAATGAAACAAAGTATTTAGAGACTATTTTTTTGGAGATTTTTGTGTTTCCATTGGTTAAAGTAATATGTATAAATATATATTTTGTTACAGTGCTTCACAAAAACGGTGCATTTTGGTTAAACGTAGGTACATTGTTTTCAAACTAACAGGTAACTGTAGATTTTCTTGAAAATTGTCGCATATTATCGAGAGATTTGGTGTTATTTTCGGCCTGCAAGTTTTTTACTACCCTATATTTTTACTCATCATAAAAAACTTTCTAAAGTTTTTTTTGGAAACCTGTTCATTGATATTCACAAGTCTTACCTTGTAATTGACTGATCCATTTGCTTTGAAGTCAGGGCTTCCGTTGCGCACTTCATTTTGTTTCTTCTCATCAAGTGATGGGCTGAAAATAGGCAATTTTAGCATCAAAATAATTAATTCGAAAAAAATCAATTTAAAAATCAACCAAACCAGGTTAGGTAACGTAAAAAGCGGGGGAAATGATTAAAAATTGTTTCAAATATTAGTAAGCCTTTGAACTCACTCATGAACTATGATACTTCCAGGTTTTCTAGAAAAAAGCAATGCCACACTAGGTGTTTTTTGGAAAAAAAAGGTGGTTTGGTTAAAAAAAAGAAAAACAACTACGTGAAAAATAAACTATCTCAACTGTAATTCTTGGAATTCGGGATTTGTCGCTCTAAAAATTGACTAAACGAGAGACAAAATCTTGATGATTGGTCTTACCTGTAGTTGTGTTTCGGTCGATCCCATGGTTCTGGTGCGTATTGTGACGAGTAGTAATATCGTGGGGCTGCTGGTGGGTAACCTTCTTCGATCTGAAACATTTATCCGTGATTCGAATTCAGGGAAGATCCTATTTTTGTCCACCCTTATGCAACCCTAATCTAACCTGTCGCTGTATGGATCTTCGTTTCCTTCTCGATGATTTATTATGCACCAATTTCAGAATAATGAAACAAACAAGACCAAATGTTGAAATTGCCAATACTGCCAGTGTCAAATTTCTCAAATCCATTATATAATCTGTCATTCTGTGCATATCGTCGGCAACCTAAATTATATAGAAATTAGGAACAGGAAAAATGTGTGAAACGTGGTCATCTTTTTTTTGTTAGGACAGAATCTCTCCAGCTGTGAATTTTGGTTGGCTAAACACGTTTTTTACTACATAGTGGTTTTTTCCTCTGTGTACAGATCATTCAGAGTTTCTCAACTAACCTGAAGCATTTTTGGGATTCCTTTAAAAATCATATTCATATCTGTGTATTGTCCACCGCCGTGATGTTCCATCAAATCCATTGGATTATGATTTGTACTTTGGCTACTTCCCATATTTACTTCTGCAAAAAGAACCACATGAAAATAAATAAAATAGCCGCACAAATACACAAATTTAATCTAATTTAAAATGTGACTCTTTTTTTTAAGAAAAAAAAAGAAAAAGGGTGGAAACGAAACAAGCAGAGAAATGTTAAAATGAGACATATCAATCACAAAACAACAACTGATTTTTTTTTGATGTGAGGAGAGGAAAGGGTCCGGGTCCGGATGAAGCAAAACACGGAAATTTATAGGATTTTGAGGAATTCGATCAAAGGATGAGCAAAAAAGAGAGATAATGTTGAAAAAATGTTTGTCATCGGATTTGTTTTGAGATTTTTGAAATAAAAAGATGTCATATTAAAAGTGATGGATAATCTTGAAAAACTGTTAATCTTGAAAAAAACAAACATAGATTTCTGTGAAAATCAAAAATTATTCTTGACGATTTCTGAAAAAGGAATATTCATGTTTCTTGGAAAATAAAAGTAAAAATAAAAAAAAATAATTCTATTCCTCCTCATGCTGTATAAAAAATACTACTAATAAAAATAATAATCTAACATGAAAAATAATAAAAATATACTCCTCATTAATTTTAGCCGATATCCTTTTTCGTACCCTTTTTTTTCGAAAAGACACAAAATAAAAAAATTCAAGACAAATTGAATAAATAAATAAATAGAATGTGACATTTGTTTCACGAAAAATTAGAATTTGAATAAAATGTGGTGAAAGAAAGAAAGAAAGCAAACCAAAAATTTTCAAATTTGAATCAGAAAAAAAACAGGTGGTGCTAGATTTTTTGCTGATCTGGTGTAAAAATATGTATAATATATTGATGTGTAAAATTTTTGATATCTGGTGCCAAAAATTGAAACAATTGTTTCATTTATTATTAAATTTTTCAAAAATCACATTCAGAGATTTTTCTAGTGAACAAAGCAACCGTGTAATTTTTTTTCGAAAACATCAATTACAAAATTAGATCTCTGGCAAGCAAAAAAAAATTGAATACAAAAAAAATTCCCCAAAAACCAAGTAAGTTAGTCAAACAAAAATCAGAGCCAAAACGAAAACGAGTGTGTGTGTGTAGAGCTCGTAAATGAACCTCATGGGACGAAACAATCATCAAAACTTATGAACAAATGTTCGTTTCTTGGCATTCAGTCAGTACAATGAAAAATGAGTGATAACTCGAGTTTTTTTTTTCACAAAAATGTGTGCTGACAAAAAATCTTGGCTTTATTTCAAACAGCTGACCTACTAGACATGTAAGCGTTTTTTTTTGAAGAATTTTCCGGAAACTTGATGAGCATTTAAAAACTCCAATTTTTTCTAAAATTTCTTTTCTATATATAAAACTGAAATAATACACTGCTCCACATAATATAAACCTCACTTCTTTTTTTTGAACAATTCGTATTTTTGAGTTTCTCGCAAAAACATCAAAAATCGAAAATATGTCAATATCCGATACTAATTTGAAGTTTAATCGGAATTTTTTATTGTTTTTCAAAGTTTTGCTTCAAAAAAGTTAGAATTTCAGCAATTTTCAGAAAGTGAGGTTATAATTATGTGCAATTGCGAAACTGATTTATTTATAAAATTCAAGATTTCTCTTTCGGGAGTTCCACGATAGAAAATTTCGATTAAACTTCAAATTAGTATCGGAAATTGACATTTTTTCCATTTTCTAACTTTTTCCAAAAAACTCAAAATTTCGAATTTTTCAAAAAAATCAAGTGAGGTTATAATTATGTGGAGCAGTGTATATGATGTGACAAAATTGAGCAATTATAAAAAAAAGCTGCTGCTCTCCGAAATATCTGCCGTGCCCCCATCCAAAAGCAACAACATATGGCAAATGGTGCACATTAATTATACATCAAATTTTTTCGTCGTATTTGTTGTTTTTATTTATGCAAACTCCCTGAAGATGTGTGGGAAAAGGTATTAATGACAAATTCTCTTGACATTTCGATTTTTTTCTAAATTCTGATTAATCGGATTCATTTTTTTGATAAAATCAATGTGAGAAAAAACAAAAATCACTCAAAAATCTATTGTTCAGGGATTAAATTGAAATGGAAAATTTTGACGTTTTCAACGCCTCCGATTTCTCTTCAGATATATTTCACAACAGAAAATAAAAGAAAACAATTTGTTGTAATAAAATAGATTCGCAGACAAATCCCATAATTAAAGATTGTCCAATAATGACATCATACAGTAAAAAGAGCCGTATTACATAATAAGATGGGGTGATGCGGAAAATATGTTTTGTTTTCCTTCTCGCACTAAAATTATACATGGATGCTTGCTTGCTCTTGCTCAATGGAACGTTAAAGATCATTCAATTTGAAACTAACATAAAATTATAAATTTTTAAATTTTTTTCTGTTGATAATAGCTTTCAATGAAACAAAAGGAAAATTGTTGACGTTGAAAATAATTGCTACTTTTTTGAACTTTTTCTAGGAAAAAAATGTACGAATAATTATGGGAGACGTTTTTGGAAGTAGGAAATTTTTCAGCTGATATTTCACAGCTTCTGAATTTGAAAATCCAATTTATTTTTCAGATAGTTCAGCTCATTTGACTACAAAAATTATTTTCTAAAAAACACAAATGCAATAATATTTTCTAGTCTAGAAGAAATTTATTTTAGAATTTTTTTGAACACGTCAAAAATCGAAATTGCAAAATTTTCCTAGACTACTTCCTTATTAAAAATATCAAAAAACAGCCACTGAAAAATAAGGACGTGCTGAACTTTTTCAGACCATTTCAGACCAAATCTAAAAACAATTAGAGATCAAAAATAAACAAAACAACAATGATAAGGAAGGTAACTGGTGGTGACAGAAAAATATCTCGAAGTGTCTGTCAAGATATAAAAGATGAGTGGAATGGACGAATAAAAAAAAGAAAGAAAGAGTTGAAGGAACGCCAGAATAGAGCACCTGTTGTTCTTATTTATGAGTCGAGAGGAACGTTTACCGCACACCTCCAAACTGCTCGACTCATTATGTAAATATCGAATATATATTCTCCATAAAAAATGATGTAATTGGCAAAGCAAAAAAACTAGGTTATGCAAATAGGCTGATTGATTAGGAAAAAAAGTTAGTCGAGAAAGAAATATAAACACTTGGCGTCGATTGGTTTTTGGCAAGGTTTGGAGTTTTTGAAAATTGCCGACGATTGGAGAAATACGATATATCACACCTACTTGTTGGCTAAACAAAGGAGTTGATTTTGGTGTGTTTAGCGGTTTTTTGAGAAGTTATTGCGGCTTGGTAAAAAAGTAGAAATTTGAGGAGTTTTTGGAATTGGAAATAGTTTATCGGATTCGAGATTAACACAGCTTTATGTTATGAATTTTAAAAATAATATATGTTGATTACAATTTTTACTTTTTCTCAACTCACAGAAACTTTAAAAAAATCTCACATGATAATCCCACGAAAGAAAAAAACATAAAGATCATCATTTGATGTAATTGACTCTTGTGAACAAGCTCTCTTCTCAAATTTCAGCAAAACATCATTTTTTTTCCTTCTAGTTTCAGTCGAACAAAAAAAATTGTTCAGGTGAATTTATGAGCACAACAAAAAAGAAAAGAAAAATAAAATATTTTCAGTTGAGTTGTTTATTCATATGTAACAATACAAGTGTTTTCAGACAATTCGTATACTTTCGGAAAAATTTTAAAAATATATAGTGTGACAAAAAAATTATATAATGCCAATAAAGGTCTATTCAAAATTTTCGAGAATCATTAAAAATTCAAGATTTTTACAATTTTTCATTCATTCATTCATATTTGAATCTCATAAATATAATATAATATATCTCTTATTTTTTCTTGCTCAAAAAATTGTGCATCATCTCACCTGGAAATTCAAATATACTTGAGAATTGCATATATCCCAGTGATGATTCTGGAAAATAAAAAGAAAATTTGGAAAAACAAGAAAAGTTTATGAAAAACGTTTTTGTTTATATTTTTTTTTGTTGAAACGGATGGAAAACTTTACTTTGAATCCTCAAAAAAAAATGAAAAAAAAATCAAAACTTTGTGACATTTTTTGACTTTCTCAGAAAAGGATTAAAACGTTTTTGAGTTTTTTTCCTGGAAACAAAAACATATGGGGGTAATATAATGTAATTTTATTGCAACCAACTAACTAAATGAATAAAATATCTGAAATTTTCTCGTTTTTTTTCTACTTCACTTGATTGAATGAATAATCCAATTGTATATAGTGATTTGTTTCAAATAATTTTCCGCATATAACAAAACAAACATTATTTTGAAACAGTATTTTTTCAATCTCCAAAAAAAATGCTTTCCTATTTTTAACCCCCAACGGTCATTTTCAACGGCCATCAAATTGCTGCACGTTGTTCATTCAGGTGGTCAAACAAAGCTATTACTGTGGGCAGCAGGAGATACAGTAAAAAAGAAGCAGCAGCAGAGAAAAAATCAACAATAATATTAGTATTAGTAGTAAAGGAGGAGGGGTGTCTGTGAGCAAAAAAGGAGACGAAAAGCCAAAGGCTCGCGCATCGACGGTTCTTCTTTTATTATTATTATTTTTCATTTTTACAGTGCCACAGATGATTACTTGTCGAATTTTTCTATTATTGTTATTCTATATATTTTCTGATTTTGTAAATGGTAAGAGATTGAAAAATGATTTTCATAGAACACTAAATATTCAATTAATTTTAATTTTTTTGGAATTTTTCAGGGGGGTTCAGATTGAAAAAAATTGGATAAAAAGTAAAAAAAAAGAAGAATATTTATTTTCTAGAAATCTGAAACTCTAAAGTTTCCAAATTATTCTCATTTTATTATGGAAAAAATGAGGTTTTAATTTTTTCATTCAAAATTTATTTAAATCCTGATTTAGGAAGATTCGACTCACAAAGATTTAAAAGTCCGAGAAGTTAGGCTCATTTGAGATAGAAAGTTGCAATTTTGAATTTTTCCAACAGTAAAACACCGTGTAAAATGAGTTGAGAAAATGTGAAGATGCAAAGGATCTTAAAATGAAAAAAATCTAAAAAAAAATAACCAAACTTAGTAATAAAACCACATTGGAAATGGTTTTCTAGAATTTTATTCAAGATTCAAGACCAAAAATCATTTCCGATTGTTTTTTAGGAATCAATTCTGAGGGTCAAATTGGTCAAACATGCTTGCTTGATGGAGAAAAACAATGTCTACCAGATAATTCACAATGTATAGAAGGAATTTGTATGTGCTCCAGTTTTTATAAATTTATCAATGGAAGTTGTGTGACCGAGCAAAGTCAGTTTGTTTCATCATCATATTTCTTTCTCCATTCAATTCTAATAAAATTCCAGGCAAAACACTTGGTAAACATTGTCGTGGCGGTGCGGATTGTCGCGGTCAGGGTGAATTCTGCTCATCGTTTTCAATTTGTATGTGTTTGAGCACTCATGTCGACGTCGGCAGTCAATGTAAACCGGGTAAGTTGTGCATTTACCGCAAAATAATCTTCTTTAACGGTTCACCTCACTTAATAAGTAACCAAATAGAGTAACTGATTGTTGTTCAAATAATACAGATACTTGCGGACGGCACTTTTGTTATGTTCGGCTTTTGATGGGGTTTGTTTTGACGAACTGGATAAACAAAAAGTAACCAATCACAATAAAAAATGTGCTATAAGGAAAATAAAACTAATATGAGTAATTACAGTAATCTACCCGGGACAATTTGGATGTGAAGATTCATTACAATGCAACAAAGGTTTCCCTGGTGCAGAATGCGATGTTTCTCGAATTTGCGTCTGCCCCCATGGAATGTTTGTTAATCAGCAAACATGTGTGAGCTCTGAACATCCATCTTCAAGAAATGCTATAATTAATGGTGAGTTCATCTCTTCAACAAAAAAATCCGATCCAACTGATAAGCTATGACTCATCTTCTCATCAATCATTTTTCTGTCGTTTCAAAAAAAATTGCTCTTGTCTCATGATTTCTTGTTTCGTTTTTCTCTCATTCCAAAAATCTTGCAAGCAAGATGCGGTTAGCACTACTAATAATATTATGTCTAGGTTTGCTTTTGAAAATTCGTTTTTTAAAACTTGAATATATTTGTTTTTTATAGAATTAATGCTGCAAAATGTGATAATGGCAGATCATCGTCAAGTGAATCGATCTGAAATGAAGGGAAACTTTTTCCGCAGAAGAAATTATGATAACTCGCGAAGCTATCAGATTAGCCCAGATGCTACTTGCTCATATGATAATCAATGTGCTGGATATCCTTTGGCAATTTGCAACAATGTTTGTCAATGTGTTAAAGGTGCATTGAATACTGGAACAACCTGCATCACATCATCAGCTGGTAATTTTTTTTGAATATAATTTTTGAATAGAAACGAGTGAACTTCAAGAAAAAAAAGCGAAAAGGAAAAAAAAATCTGATGAATTTACTTTCATGGATAGAAATTTTAAGGGTTCCCAGTTAAAATCCTAGATGAAACGACTTACTTCAAATGCCTGCGGTTCCGTAGCCAAATAATAACTGTTTAGGTTAGAAAAACTTAATCCGGGTCTCCAAAATCCCGATTTCCGGGTTCCCAAGGAAAAAAAAAGTAAAACAGCGACACTCGGCTTGCCTGTTGATTAATTTTCTCACACTGTTTGAGCGGAGTGTCGTTAGTTTATTTTTACAAAATTGCGCGTAGGATTTTGTGTTTGCGGGCATTCGGTGTTGACACACACTCTCATTTTTTCCGTTCTTTCTTTAGGTTTTCGATTTTCCATTATGCAGTGTTTTTTTTTAATAAAAAATATGTGATTTTTTTGCTAATTTGGTTCAGTAAGAGTAAATCGATGAGATTTTTCCTCATTTTTTCTTAAAAATCCACTCGCTTCTGTTTATCTTGTTATATGTTGAAAAAATCAACAATATATACAAAAAATTCCAATTTTTTCACAGCTCTCCAATCATCAGTTTCGTGTCCAGCTGGTCAAACATATGTTCGAGAAGCTGGTGTTTGTATGACGGTTCAACAGCCAGGAGAACCATGTCAATATTCGCAACAATGTTCAGCTTTAGAACCTGGTGCATATTGCTTGAAAATGCGATGTGAATGTGTATACGGAATGAAAAAATCGAGCAACGGTTGCACATTTGTCAATAAAGATTGTAAAGAGAGAGGACATATATTTATCAGTGAACTTGGAGAATGTCGCGAAGTGATTCCACCTGGCGGAAAAGGATGTTCACATAACTCACAGTGCTCTGCAGCATATCCAGATGCGACATGTTTTATGCAAACTTGCACGTGTCCACCAAATCTTCCTGTTGCAGCTGACGGAACTTGTGGAAGAGCATGTGGAGATGGATTTGTGTATTCTGGTGTGACTGGAGAATGTCTTCCGGAAGTTCAACCAGGTGGCACATGTTTATACTCTTCGCAATGTCAATCAACATATGGTGGAATGGTTTGTGATCAAAACACGTGTAGATGTCCAAATGGTTTGATTTTTGATGGAATGAAATGCTCACAAACCTGCCCGTCTTATAAAAGATTCACCGAGAAAAATCAATGTGTTGAAATGTGCTCGTCAGGAAATATTGATGTCAATGGAGAATGTTTGAAAAAAGTTGCGATTGGTCAAGCCTGCGTTGCAAGTGCTCAATGTACATCGGGAAGTTTTTGCCAAAAAGGGAGCTGCCTTTGTGCTCCAGGATTTTATGTTGTTAACGATCAATGTCAAGCAGTGGAAGCTGAACCAAACACAAGTTGCTTGAACAATGAAAAATGCACAAAAGGTTCAGTTTGTTACAATGGAAGATGTACTTGTCCAAGAAATCATGAACTTGTCAACGGATATTGTCAAGCAAATAGACCAGGTTGGTTTTTTATTGCATTCTGAAAATAAATTTCATCTGCATGCAATACTAACAAAAATTTTCAGCAGCTTACAATTCTAATATATATAACCCAGCCCTTAATAATATTCGACAAATCCGCATGAGATTTGCAAGTCATCCAAAGTCTTCAACTAATGAAACTAACACAGATTTAGGTTTGATTTTGTCGATAACTAATTTGAAACTAGATGTTTTTCTTCAGTTCCAATTGGAAGTGCCTGTGTGCGAGTTGGTGTAAGTTGTGACGGTGGATCGGTTTGCGTTGCTGGAATCTGTGTTTGCCCTCTCGGAAAAACTCCAAGAAACGGATTCTGTATCAAACATGTCACAACCCTCCCAGGAACATCCTGTGCCGATGGTGAAGAGTGTATTGAGAATAGTGTTTGTAGTGAAGATCGAATGGTTTGTGAATGTATCAGTCAAACACAAATGGTTGTTGGCAATCGTTGTGTTGAACGTCTCCGATCACATCCAGGATATGGTTGTACTATGGGTGAAATGTGTGTTGGAAATTCGATATGTAACAATGGAAAATGTGAATGTGCACCGGGAAAAGTTGAAATCAATAAAGTTTGTGTGGATCAAGTGAATGCAAGGATCGGTGAGACTTGTGGTAAAGGAATCAATTGTCAAGGGGGAAGTTATTGCAATTTGGAAAATGGAAAATGTGCATGTCCAAAAGGTCAACGAGAAATCAGTGGAGAATGCAAACAAGTTGTCTTGGCTTATCCTGGAGAATCGTGCACTGAAATGACGGCTCGATGTGCTGGAGGATCATATTGTGTTCGAGGAAGATGTGAATGCCCATTTAGTATGACACTTGTAGATAAAAAATGCGTTGTTCAACAAACCGGTAAACTATTTTCTCATGAAAAAAATTTAAAAACAATAAAAAATTTTCAGCAAATCCTGGAGAAGGTTGTAATGAGAACACTGCCTGCTCTGGATTCTCGGTCTGTAAAGATAATACTTGCACCTGTGTGAATGAGATGGTTGTTCGAGACAAGGTGTGCATTCAAAGAAGAAAAGTGAACATTGGCTCAAGTTGTGATAAATACGATCAATGTCTTGGAAATTCCAACTGCTATGAAGACATCTGTCAATGTCCTACCGGCCACGTTGTCACAGGCAATATGTGTACCCCACGAAAAACTGTTACTCCAGGATATCTCTGTAATCCAGAAGATATTTGCACAGGACAATCGATGTGTGTTAAAGGAGTTTGTCAATGTAAACCAGGTTATAAAGTGATGCATAATATTTGTGTGAAAAATGTGATTGGATTGGAAGGAAGTGTGTGTTCATCAAGAGAAGATTGTGGAGAAACATTGCAGTGTGAAAATGGATTATGCTCGTGTCCAAAAGGAATGTTCTCTGTTAATGGGAAATGCCGAAGTTACAGTAAGAATTTTTCTTTCAAGATTAAAAAAAATATTTTTTTTATATAAAATTAACCTATTCTATAGCAATTTTCAAAAAATTTATGGAAAAACTATCAGATTTGATCTTATTTTTTCAATATCCAGAAAATAGTTTGTCCCTTGTCATTTTCCAAAAAAAAAAGAAAAAAAACAACGAGACTCCGCGTTGACGACAACCTGCGTGGTTTGAATTTAATGGGTCTTATTGAATTTCGCTGAATTTTTTCTCCGAACTAGAAAACAGTAAAACTAATTTCAAGATCTGAGAACAATTGAGATTTTTCCAAAAAAAAGTTATACCAGAGTGTTGCTTTACTAAAAAAAATAAAATAAACATAATTTTTTTCCAGTTTCACTTGGCCAAACTTGCACATCCGATGATCGCTGTTCGAACTCTGACGCAATCTGTTTCGAAAATTTATGTACTTGTCGACCTGGTTATGCTATCATAAATGGTCAATGTAAAATCCCGCCACCATCTGCACCAATTCCAACACCAACAGAGCCTGAAGTATTAGCGCAAATGAAAGGTTAGTGAATTTTTCTGGTGTTTTTTTCCTGAATGCATGTTTTTCTGTTTTAGCTGGTCATATTGGTCATTTTTGTTCACTTGATAACGAATGTGTTGTGTCGAATTCTCATTGTGCTAGAAATGTTTGTATGTGTAGAGATGGGTACCGTATCTTTGGTTCAACTCAATGTATCCCAAAAATCACCAAATCCAAAGAGCGAAAATCTAGCAAGCTTGTGAATTTGGGTGAAGCTTGTGGAAAATTAGAAATCTGTCAAAAAGGCGCACTGTGTGTAGAAGACGTTTGTAAATGTCCAGAAAACTTTGTTGAAAACAATGGAGTTTGTGTGAAGAGTAACGCAACCATCAGAGGTAATCTTGGAGTTTTTTGATTGAAATTAGATTTGTGTTTTAGTGATTGTCCCACCCTTATCTTCTTGTTTGAATGGTGAAGTGTGCAGTGGGAATAGTGAATGTGTTCATGGGTTGTGTTTCTGTAAAGAGGACTACACATTATTCAATGGAAAATGTCAGGCGTTAAAAAAAGTGGAGACTCTACGAAAAATTGAGTCAGAAACAAAGAGAATGCTGCCAACACCGCCACCCTCAACAACAACTACATCGACCACAGAAAAACCGACAACTGCTACCACAAAAATATCACCGACTACCAAACCAACTACATCTACCTCCACAACTTCAAAACCTCCGACAATGAATCCAACAGCTATCAAAATATCGATAAAGGTGTCTTCTTCATCCACTTCTACAACATCTACCACAGCTGCACCATTCTGGTTCAAAAGTTTGTGATACATATAAAAGTCCTTTCCTAAACTCAGTTTTTGTGTTTTGTTTTTTCAGTAGTAAAACCTGGACGCGCTTGTGATTCTTTGAGTTTCTGTACAAATTGTTCGGTGTGTATTAGTGGTTTTTGTGTGTGTCCCGAAGGTTTGGAACTTCTTGGAGAGAAGTGTGTTAGTCATATTGATGGTGTGTTTTTGTTTGGGGACAAGCTAAATTTTTTTAAGTTTTAAAAATCCCTGAATGATTTATTGTAGCCCAACGATGTGTTGCTTCGAACCAGTGTCCTTCTGGAGCTAATTGTGTTCGCGGGGAATGCAAATGTAAACCTGGATTGGGATTGTCACGATTAGGATTCTGTATACCAATAAACTATGGTAGATTTGTTTTTCCTCTCACTAACCCTTTAACGATTTTAAATTTTTAGCTGACCCTGGAACTTCATGTGCCCACGGTGAAAGATGTCGAGGCGAATCACAATGTATCGATGGAATTTGTGTGTGTAACAATCCACTTTTACTAAAGGAAAATAAATGTGTTCGATCGCCAAGAGGTTAGTATTTTTTCATGTTCATGTTCATGTTTTCTTAACCCTCACTCACACTGCAAAAAAAACAATTCAATTTTAAAAAAATCACATTTTTTCTCTAACCGCATGCTTTTCGTTTAGTGAAACGTTATATTAACACAAAATCACATCGAAAATTGCTGAAATTCACGCCAAAGAAGCAGGCGAAATTGGGAGAATATTGTTTTCGCGATGATCAGTGCGGTATTCAGCGTCCTTGTTTGAAAAATGTTTGCAAGTGTCCGAAAAATTATGTGCAAAGTGGCAATTCGTGTGTTCCAAGAATGTCAGGTTAGTCGAATTTTTTTTGAAAGGTATTTTCTGTTAAAAAAATCTTTTAGTAATTGGAACTATTTCACTGCCCGGGGAAGCTTGTGGCTTTTGCATCGGTGGTTCTTCATGTCAAAACGGTATTTGTAAATGTGCTGATGGTTATTACAAACAACAAGATTCTTGTGTTCGATCTGAAGCGAAAATTGGAGCGCCTTGTGGTTTGACAACAGGATGTTCTTCTGGATCGGAATGTATTTCTTCCTACTGTCAATGTCGTGAACAATATGATGCTGATAACGATGAATGTTATCCTCCGGATGTTACACAAATCAAAAGAGCAAAATCCCTTGGAGCCAAAAATAGTGGAGCCAGAAAATTGAATAGAGTTGTGAATGGTAACGAAAATAAATTTTTTTTTGAAAAAAATTTAAATTTTTTCAGCAAACAGTGTTATCTGCCCAATAGGTTATGATTTGGTGAATGGAATGTGTGTGAATAGTGAAAGTCTCTCAGTTATCCAGCTTGCTGAACCTGGAGGTCCTTGTGAGGATGGAAGAGTGCTGTGCACTGGCAATTCGGTGTGTGCAAGCAATATCTGTATTTGTCCCGGTGGCGAACTTGTTCAAAACGGAACTTGTGTTTCAATAAGTTCTTACGCGAATCCTGGAGAAGCTTGCAGTTTGAATAACACAGTTTGCACCGGAAACTCATTTTGCATCGATGGCGTTTGTAAATGTAATGCAAATCAAGGAGCAATCAACGGTGTCTGCTCGAATATGGGAAATTCTCTATGTGGACAATCACAATGTGGAATGAATCAAATATGTGTTCAAGATAATTGTCAATGCCAAAATGGATATACATTTCAACAAGGAACCACTAATTGTGTTCAAGTTGACACATCATCTTGCGGTAATTGTGGGTCGAATCAAGTTTGTATCCAAGATCAATGCCAATGCCAAACTGGTTTCAATCGTTATTGCAATAGTAACAATCAATGTAGCTGTGTTCAATGTGGATCAAACCAAATATTTATGCAAAATCAGTGTCAATGTCAACCAGGATATTATGCTCCAGAAGGTAGTTGTTCCGCAACAATGTCCATGATTTGTAATTGTGTGCAAGCTCAACAATCTTCGGGTTGTGTTTCAAACCAGCAGTGCGGTCAAAATCAATTATGTGTTCAAAATCAATGTCAATGTCAACAAGGTTATTCAAAATCCTCCTGTACAACTGAAGGTTGCAACTGTATTGCGAACTGTATCGGAAATGGCTGCTCCGTTAACACACAACGTAAGTCGCACAGCGTCACGCGGAGTCTCGTTGTTTCACATTCATTTTTTTTGTTTGTCGAAATCAACAAACCCAAAGAAACCGCGAGCAAGTTTAATTTTTTTTTCTTTACAGCATCCGGATTACCTGGTCAAATGTGTTCTGAAACAACACAATGCCAAAACAACGCAATGTGTATGAATAATTATTGTGTATGCCCATCAAATCGAGTTCTCAGCGGCAATTCATGTGTCCAATATCTAGGAGATGCTTCACCTGGACAAAGTTGTCAAACAGCTGGAATCATCTGCCGAGGAGGCTCGTCTTGCTATAATAATGTTTGTCAATGTGCCAATGGGTTATCACCACAAGGTGGAAGTTGTGCACCAGCTATGGAAGTGCGCTTTACAATTGTGCCCTATATCTACACAACTGCTCAGAACATGTTTGATTGTTAGTTTTGCATAAATAATTCAAAATTAATCGATTTTTTTACAGTATTCCCTGGCCAATCTTGCAACCCCAATTGTGCTTTTCAACCATGCCTTCAGAGATGTTCTGGTGGATCAACTTGTAGTAACTCAGTGTGCACATGTCCACAAGGAAGTTATGTGAACAATAATGCTTGTGTGAATCAAATTTCATCGGATATGGTGGGTGAACTTTATGAATTCCGATCATCATAATAAAAAAATATTTCAGGGAGTTTATACTAGAACTTCTCGCCCTGGTGATGGTTGCGATAACACGATTGTTTGTACTGGTGGAAGTTCGTGTGTTATTGGAACATGTTCGTGTGATATGGGATATACACCAAGTTCGGATAGAACATCGTGTGTTCTTATTGATCGAGTTGGTCTAAAATCAAGATCATATCCAAAATCGTTCTGCACTTTTGATAAGGATTGTAAAGATGGTGCAATTTGTATTGATAAACGATGTAGTTGTAGAATTGATCAGGAAATGATCAACGGAAAATGCCAGCCAGCGGTAAGCTCTTTTTTCTTTTGCTCCGAAATTTAAAAGAATTTTTTGAATTTTTTGTTTCAGAATCAACCCGGTTCTCGATGTCACACTGATTTCTGCAACAATGGTGCTGAATGTCAAAACGGTTATTGTGTCTGCACCAAAACTCATAACGCAAATTCAACCCTTCACTGTGTTAATGAGAAAACTCTTGCATATCCTGGAAGTGCTTGTCGAAAAAATGATCGAGAATGTCAAAATGGATCGACTTGCTTGTTTGGTTACTGTGTTTATCCATCAGATGATAAAGATCAGGAGTTGAATCCGAACCCTGTTGATTCAAAAAGTACTCATCTCTGAAAACAATTTTTTCAAAAACAAAAACCTGTCATTTTTCAGAAGCCTGCAGTTCATACAAAGATTGTAATCACTTGGAAACCTGCTCAAAATCTGGATTCTGCGAATGCACTTTCAATACTAATTTAGTGAATGGCGAATGTGTTGCACGATTTTAACCATTTTTTTCTAACCATTTTTGTATATTTTGAAAACTAATAAAACTCATTAACATAAGAAGCATTTTGAGAATTCAGATCCAGCTCCGCCAGTTCGTCGTCCATCTGGCTTGACAGAATGTCCGTTGGATGGAAGTTGTCAACTTCCAAATTGTTTCTGCACAATGTAAGATTATTAAAAATTCATGGAACATCTATGCATTATAAACAAACGGATTGTACTTTTTATAGAACTTATGAAACATATTAAAATTTTTTTTTGAAAAGTAGCATTTCAAAACAAAAAAATCTGAAGTTATGAATATTCCAGATTTAAAAACATTTTTTCCAGAACTGGTAAAACTCCACCAAACGATATGGAAATCAAAAAAGTTCCACAAATGATAATGCTTTCATTTGACGATCCAATCACTGATCGAATTATCAACACTCTCAAATCATTGTTCAGTGGAAAAATCAGAAATCCAAATGGTTGTGCAATCAAAGGAACTTTCTTCATATCTCATCAATGGAATAATTATGATCAGAGTCAATGGTTATACAGTAAAGGAAATGAAATTGGTGTCAATTCTATCACGTGGGTTTTTCATTTTATTTTGAAGAGTTATACTCATGATAAAAACATATTTATCCAAATTAAAACAAAAACATTGATGTCATTTTATTTACTCACCCACATTTTATTTAGAAGAGAAGATTTGTCGGAACGAACTAAAGAGAGATGGTTGCGTGAGCAAAATGGAATGCGAGACACATTAGCCGAATTTAGTTATATTGAAAAATCACAAATTATTGGAACTCGCGCACCTTCTTATCGACTTGGGGGAGATTTACAATTTGAAATGTTGTCTGAAAATAATTTTACCTTTGATAATTCAATGTTGGTCAATGGTTTGTATTGGCCACAAACTTTGGATCATAAACTTCCATGGGAATGTGAAGGAAAATGTCCACAAAGATCATATAAAAATGTATGGGAGATTCCAATTCAAAATATGCAAGCTAATGATGGTAACTGGTATACAACTTTAAGTCAAGCTCTCAAGGTAGGCTATATATTTTTTTAATTTTTATTTAAAGAAAAAAACATTTTTATTTTTTAGCCAAGTGATTCACGAGTTTCTGTTAAACAAATGTTGATGCGTAATTTCTTGAGTAATTACAAATCAAATCGCGCTCCGTTTGTGTTGACATTGAGCACCGATTTCTTGACATATCTTCCGGACAATGGAGCGATCTATGCACTAGAAGATTTTTTTGAAAGAGGTTGGTGAGAAAAATTTTATATTTGATTTTCAAATTTTTATCAGGTTGTGCAAAAAGATGATGTATATGTCACAACTGGAAGTCAGATAATTGACTGGATGCGTCGGCCAACACCAATCGAATCTTTGAAAAAAATTGCGATCTTGGCAATGCACATTTCTAATGAACGACCAAGTTCAACCATGTGAAGTTGGTTAACAAAATGTTACTCGAAAAAAAAAACAATTTTTGTTGCAGAGCCCTTCAGTTTGCTCATACAACTCAAGATCGAGAGGACAACTAGCACACAGTTTTAGAATTTGCGGAAGCTGTCCAAGAAATTATCCATGGGTTCAATAAATTTTTTACGTCAAACACATAACATTTAGCTTTAAGATCTCGTACCTTTACTATATGAATATATTTTTCATTCACTATCTATCAAATTGTTAACAAGTTTTTTTTTTACAACTGTAGCACATTGGTAAAAGACACAAGAAAAAAGCGAGAGGCGAAAGAAGTCTAAGGTCAATATTCCCACAGTCAAATACTTCATCCAATGCAAATAAATGGCGTGTTGAACAAGACGATTATTCTTCCTCGGGGCTGTGATATATACCGGCAGAGCATTTTTGCGCCTAACATTTTTTCGGATTTTTTTCGGCTCCGCCCACTTTTTTCAATACTTTTGGCTATTTTACCTTTTACCTTTTTTTCCGGGTTCTGACTCATTTCGAACTCAAAATCGAACAGACATCCGCTGATTGATTATTTGCTCGACTTGGATCAAATTGATTATTTGCCTCGCAAAATAAATTCGTATTTTTTGACATACATTCAACACATATCATATGAACCGATTTTTAATCGTTTTTGCTCTTCTATTATCGGTTGAATGCGGTAAGTTCTACGTGTTTTCTTTTTAATGTTGTATGTTTGTGATTTTTGATTAATATACATGATTGATTGTTGTGTCTAATTGTGATGTATGTCTTCTTAGCATGCGGGGGAGATGGTACACTTGATCTACTATTTAATCAAACACACCAAACTACAGCGGGAAAAAACGACGTCGAAAAAAGCGAACGCGAATTGGCGAAACATTTATTGACGGACTATTATCCGTATGCGAGACCAGTGAAAAACTATTCAAGCGTTTTGAATGTCACTGTTCAGCCACAGATTTATAATCTTGTCGAAGTTGTGAGTTTTCTTTTGGATAACGGAGAAGCAGAGGCTAAAATTCGAAAAATTTTTTTAATGCTCTTGATAAAATGTGTGCTTTAGAAAGCCTTTGAAAAAAGTCGAATCCCTGGGGATTTTTCTCGATAAAAATATTCTGTTTATAAACTAATTTAGACCTATATCGAAAATATTCCATGAACTTTATCATAAAAATAGTTTTTTTTTCAGAATGAGCAAAACGAGCAGATAAAAATTCTAATCTGGTTTCCACAAAGTTGGAAAGATGATTATTTAACCTGGAATCCGAAAGATTGGGGAGGTATTGAACAAATAATTATTCCAAAATCACAAATTTGGATACCTGATGGTTATATTTTCAATACGTAAGTTTTTTTATTTTCTGGCTCAACAGCATTATGGAAAAAAATTTTCAGAGTTGAAGAAACAAACCCGCTGGAAAATCACAACGCCAGAGTCCGATTTGATGGAAAAGTTGAAGTAGATTTCAACAAGGTATTCAAAAGAGTGTGCAAAAAATTTTCAAAAATATTTCTTTTAGCTTGTCGATTTGACATGTCCAATGTCTGTTTTATCATTCCCATTTGATAATCAGTTATGTGCACTGCAGTTTGGATCTTGGTCTTATCAGGCTCACGCGATTAGTTTCAATGTGCTGGACACTTTTGTTCCCAAGAAAAGTGTACGTTTTTTTTTTACAAAATTTCAATTTGAAAAAAAAAAGATTTTTTCTTCTTCAGAAAAACTCCGAATGGGATATTGTATCTTTCAACGCAACAAAAATGGTCACAAAATACGAAGACACACTTGGCGGTTTCAATGTCTATGAAGAAATATTTTATAACTTGGTAAGTTCAGCGAAACAAAGATTGTTCCAAATATTTACAAGATGATTTTTAAAATTAGTTTTGTACACAGATTACAGTGTAAATGATATGTTTGATTTGAAGATTACGCGGTCTAAAGAATTTTGAGCGTAGACAAATAATTATAGAACAGTTTTCGATTTGAAGGAAAGTTTTCGAACCTTTTAAAAATAGATTGTGTTCTAGAGTAATTTGATTGAGAGTAAGAAAAAACAATTTGGAATTTTTTTGTTGGTTTGTACAAAGATTCTTGGATGGATTTGGATCTTTAACATTATCTAGATAGGGGAGCTAGAAATGAGCCTGAAAAAATGAATATCAAATTTAATTTACAATAATTTTCCTACTGTGAAAGAAAATAATAAGTTTTCGAATTTTCTTCAATCTTTTTTTCTTGAAATTATTATGTCCCAAATTTCTGTTTAAAGTCGAGACATTTCGAGTACTTTTTTTCAAGTAGTGAACAATTTGCAAACAAAAAATCTGTTTTCTTTGATTTTCAACCGTCTTATCGAATTTCAAAAGATCCGAAACTTTCAAAAGTATCTCAATAAAAAAACAAACATCAAATTACCACAGGAGCTTCGTCGAAAACCTTTATACTACATTGTTGTCATCCTTCTACCATCTTTCCTAATTGTTACTGTATCCAATATTGGTCTGTTCACACCGCACGGAGTACACGGAGATCGAGAGGAGCATGTTTGTTTTACACTTTGCTTTGACAACTAAATTGCCATTTTTCTAGGTATCTCTTGGACTTACAACAATGCTCACAATGGCTGTTATTTTGGATATGGTAACTGGGCAAATGCCAAGAAGTAGTGAAGGAATACCTCTTTTAGGTTGGAATAAATGGGAAACTGAAATTTTGAACACTATATTTTTGCAGGAATGTACGTGTTAATCGAATTTGTGATATCAGTTATTGCGGTTCTTGTGTCAGTGGTCATTATTTTTGCGCACGAACGAATGTTATATTTAGAAGCAACACCTCCATATTGGGTGTTGAGATTATTTTCAGATGATGCAAAATGTTCAGTTGAAGAGGTAAGTTGTAACCATTATTTTATTCAATGTTCTAAAATTACCCGAATTTTGATTTTAAAATTCAATTTTTTCTAAAATATTCTTTCGAAATTTCACTCAAAAATTATATACCATGTTTCCAGATCGAGGAAGATTTTTGTTCGAAACCAGCCGATCTCGTGCAAGAGCTCAGGTTTTGTGTAGAAGAACTCAGGAAATTTATAGACGATCAGGAATCGTCGGATAAATTGCAAATTGTATGGCAACGATTTTTCTCGTGGGCCGACATTATTTCTAGTATATTTTTCTTTGTTTTAAATTGTATTGTTACATTGTATATGTTTATGGAATTTATGTGATATCTCTACCTTGTGCTTTTGCTGATCTGAATATAAAATTTTACAATTATAAAAATTTCCAGAAAATTGCCTTTCATTTCAGCCAATTCCTTGAAAAATAACAAAGAATCTCCTGAAACAAAAAAATTCGAATTTTTTTTGGTTCCTGTTAATTGCCTAAAATTATTATATAAACAGTTCAAATGTTCTTGGCGATATAATTTTCAATCTTTTTTCAGAGAAAAATTGTCTGAAAATGGCTTTTGACTGCTTCAGAAAAAATAAAAGAAGACTAATATTATCTTTGATATCATGTTCACTTTCTATTTTTCTGATGTATTCAGAAAGTAAGATTTACTTTGAAAAATAATAGCAAGTTTCAAAAAAAATATTTTCAGAAATCGTGATGTTTATCAGTTTTTACAACTGGGTGGAAGTTCATTATTGTGTATTTTCATTCGATCATTGTATAAATACTGTGAGTTTCCGACGTTTCAGAAAAAAAAATTTCAAAAAATTGATTTTCAGGAAGATGTTGTTAGATTTATTGTTCCTGCATTAGTTCAATTATCGGTTATTTCATCATCCTGTGCAATAATTGCTCTTTTGATGATGACTTTGTGAGTTCCGGGCAAAAATTTCTCTAAAATTTTAAAATTTTTCACAAAGATTGGATAAAAAAGAACATCATTCAATTAATGATTTTCAGAATTAATTTCGAAATTTGCAAAACTCTAACCCAACAACTTTTCTATGAAATATTTTCTGAAGATTTTACGATTCTGAACTAAATTTTCATTAGAATTTGTTTCAGCTACAAATCGGATATTCCCAAAGAAATTTTGCTTTTAAAATTATTTTCCTGCCTCACAAAACTCAACCTAATAATTATCATTATCATAACCATAATCGCTTCTTTGAAATCAATTTCTCTGCATGAATCACCTGAGCATATAATTGTTAATGAATCAACAAATATTCCACTACGAAACTCGCATGGGAAGTCAAAAGGACGTGATCATCCATATTTATTCATAAGTACTTATATTTACGTGTTAATTGTTTCCTTGTATAACTTGATTTTTTGTTCTGATATATTGGTCGGCTTGAAAACAAATAAAAAATTGAATGTGGATTTGAATCTCATGAGAATTCAGGATAAATTGTCAGTTTTTTTGTGTTTTGGTTTATTTTTGGGCAAAAATCAATTTTGAAAATTGCCTAAATATGTACTCCAAAGATCAAAACACACTCTTTTCATTTTTTGATCTTCATAAAAAATATATTCAATCATCAAAATTCCTAATCAATACACAGTCTTCTTACAAGCTGCATATCTACAACTTTGAGACGAGCAATCAAACATTCGCATATAAGTTGTGTAGCCCATTGGATTTGTGAGAATGATCTGTCCTTGTAATGTGAGAGAAGATGGTTCTCCTGGAGCAAAACCTTGTGGATAATCAAATGGTGTTGAATCATCCCATTGCAATGTTCTGTTATCGTAGTTGTAGTTCAAGCCAACGATGATGTTATCTCGACCAGTTGCGGTATAAATCCAATAATCCGATTGTTTCATGGCAACACCTGAAATAATTGATTTTTCTGGTTTTTATATTAAAAAATTAAAATAATCGGCTCTCTCGAATCATCTGATGTTCATAGTTCAAACCTTTGAGTTTCAACAGATTTTCGTTTAAATTCGCCCATGTAAATATTTTACCTCTAATGAAAGCTGCTTCCCCTGATGTATGAACAGAAGCGAGATATCCGCCCAAAGCACGGCAATAATTCAAAGAATTGTAGTATGTCATGTTGGAGATCACCTGGAAAAATAATCAGAGAACACTCAGATTTGCTGTTTTGTTGAACTCACTTTAAAGCACGAGCAAGTTGCTGGATAATAATCCCAACCACTTGGACATGGAACTGTGTCTGGAATTTTGTGGAATAATTTTGAGAAGAGCTGGGAACTTCCAGATTCAAGTTTCAATAAATTTTTCTGACAATTCAACTTCAAAATTTTTCACCAAAATTTTTGATTTTTGAAAGACTGGTAAGATTTTTGGTGGTTCAAACTGAACAACAAATGTGGGAAAATAATTCTGCGTTCAATGAGAACAAAAAAAAGCTCATATTCACATTTTCCTGAAGTTCTCAAATTGAATTGGAAAAATCCTTAAAATTCAAAATCAGCTGGTCTTAAAACATTCAAAAAAAACTACAGTACAGCTTCTCAATGTCAGAATAATTTTTCAAATTCCAGACTCACTCAAATATTTATACATGCAACTTGGATATCCTTGTTGTGGCGCCGTAGTTGATGTCACTTTTGGTGTCGGCGTTGTCTTTTTCGTGGTAATATAATAATCCAATTCACACAAAGCACTATGATTTTCTGTGCACGGTTGAGCATACCAGAATCCACTCATTCCAAGTGTCAAGCAATAACCAGAAGCAACGCTGAATGGCTCGCCAATAGCGAAATCAGTGTATTTTGGGGTTTGGCCATTTTCGTCAACGAAGTATACACCATTTGAGATGTAATCAAGCCAAGTGTACCAAACAGCGTTTGCTGAAATTAACATTTTCTATAAAAAATGTATTTATGTTAAATTGAAAATTTCGTTACTTTGCACCATTCTGGTCAAAAAATCATTTTCAATTTTGCTTGTTGGTTTGGCAAGTCTTGCATATGGTCCGTAGGTTGCTTGACAGACGCTCAATGAATTGTTGCGTGAGAAATCCATACCAAGATAAGCGTAACATCTATAACTTTTGACATAACATCAAAATACATACAATATTTGCACCTACTTGCTATCATGTGCAGTCATACCCGATGGGCATGATGCATAGCAAAATGCTGACAAATTCAGTAGCAATAAAGATAATAATGTGCTCCTCATTTTTTGAATGAATGCATGAAAATTAATTTTTTGATCGTTTATTTAAGCAACTCTTATCAGAAAACATGATGATGATTTTATTACTTTGTTTAACATGAAAAATTATACGAAGAAAAACGTCATTTTGCATTTGAATCTACTTTGATTATGAATGGGTTGTTTCGACAAAAAAAAAGAATCTAGGCATCATCAGCCAATTTCAATGGTTGGTTTGATTCGTCGACAAGAACATAGGTTCTATCTGGTCGTTGTTCTGGGATGTGAGCTCCAACGAACAAATGGTAAGCCCAGGCTCCGAAAACTCCTCCGAACAATGGGGCGATGACTGGAATCCAGAAATAATAGCTGCTGTAGGTGAAGACGTCCGATCCGTAGAGGAAGTATGAGAAGATTCTTGGTCCGAGATCACGAGCTGGGTTGATTGGATATCCCAAGTTCATTCCATAAGCAGTTCCGATCATCATAACGATGAGTCCGAAGAAAAGTGGGTGAGCAGAGGCTGGGATTTGGTTGCGCTTATCAATGACGACGCAAACGAAGAGAACGAGAAGAGCGGTTCCGGCGAATTGATCGAAGAATGAGGTGATGTTTGAAACATGAGCAGCTGGATATGAGCAGAAACATCCAGCGGTAGCTTTTGCTCCAGTAACAGCACGAATATCTCCAGCGAAATGGTTGAATTGATCCAAATACAATCCATAAGCAGCAGCCGATCCAAGAATTGCTCCCAAAGTTTGGACGATAACGTAGACGATAAAGTCCTTGACAGATAATTTTCCCAAAGTGACCATAGCAATTGAAACAGCTGGGTTGAAGTGTCCTCCGGAGGTTTTTGAGGCAGTGTAGACGGTGAAAGCAATAGCAAGACCCCATCCAAGGTTAATCTGAAAAGTTATTTTTTTTTTTCGCAAAGATTTACATATCATTTTCTAAAAACTTACATTGATCCAAGTGTTCAATTTCTCGTGCGAAAGAATGAATTGCATAACAATTCCCAATCCGATGAACAAGAGAAGGAAGGTTCCGAAGAATTCCGAAAGAGCATTTCTGAGCAATGGATTTCTTACTTGAATCTTTGATCGAAGCTTCTCGCTTGGTTCCAAGTGATCGACAGCCATCTGGAATTCGAATATCTTTTCCTTGTCTTTCTCCATGATTTTGAGAAAGGCGAAAGAGAATAGAATAAATAATTATAGGACTGGGAACAATATTTTCAATATACGAAAAAGGCGGAACTTATGAATATTTGTATTCTATATTTCCAGACGCGTTACCATGACACTTACTTACCCTTTTATTAATTGCAATTCCAGCGCTAGAATTTTCAGGCTCCATTTTTTGGTTAAAGTTAGGAGAACTATAGCTGGGAAAATATGTGCTTTTTTGAAAAATAAAAGAACAGAAAAAGTTTTTGGGGCGTCCTAACGAGAGAAAAGTTTTAAACAGCAGAGATTTTCGACCCTTTTATGCCAACAGATAAAAGAAACAAAGCTTTGTTTTTTTTAGTTCAGAAAAAAAAAGAAAAAGAGACAAAATCATGTAAACAAATTTGGAATTGTGTACGTGAAGATATCAAAAATAGCCTTTCTCTCTCTTCACTCTTCCCTTTTTAGTAAGTTAGGAAAAAAGAGGAAATATTGAAGCTTGTGGTTACGTGACTTCGATTCATTTTTTTACGTTCAAAAGTGAGAAAAAACATCTGGTGCATCTGTTGAATTTATATATTTTTTTGAAAACAACAAATGATTGAGTGCAAGTTTCTCACGAACGAAATTTGATATATACGATTTTTCTATTGAATTATTCTCAAAGATGTCATAAAAATTATCATTTTTTTTGCTTTCTACGATACGATTTTTATGGAACAATTATTATAACTCGATTATATTTATATATATATTTATTTTTAGCCACGTACAATATTGAAAAATAGAGAAAATCCAAACTAAACTAGAAAGTGGACCTCCACAATTGCATCATGCGTAAAAATAAGCAAAAGCAGAAGAAGGACGGAAAGAAAGAGCACTGGCACTTTTCACAAAATAAAAAAAAATATGAGAGAGAAAAGAGAGGGATGAGAAATGTTGTTGAGGTCCCATCATATTTATACTTTATCGCTTTTATCTTTCACAAAAAATTGCGACTAGAATGAAGGAAAGAAAAAAAGACAAAAGAAATGAAATGAAAAACAAAGTGAAATTTGAGATGCTGTTTTGTGAAATTCAGTCAGATTTTGAGAACGATTTTCTCAAAATATTACAAAAAAACTTTTTTTTCAGACAATTTCAGAGAAAGTTATTCTAAAATTTAGAAACCGAATGGATCTATGAGCCACGGATTAAAAATATTTTCTGATGGTCAAAAATAATCTCTGTATAATCTCTCTATAAATGGAAATTGATAATAATCTGACAAAAAAGGCAGCGATTTTACAGCTCTGAAATTTTCAGTGAGTTACGAAACATTTTTTGAAATAACATTTTTAGAATCTCAAAGCCAGAAATCCCTATCAATAAAAAAATGTCTGAAAATGCACGTGGTTTTAGTTTTAGTTTTGGTTTTATAGATCAATTTTTGGGTGTGGCTTGTACATATTAATCAAAAAATATGAAGCTTTTGATAAAAAATGATTGCATTCTCAGATTCGAGATATTGAAAAATCTGAAAGAGTACAACACCTGCTTTGTAGCTAGGAAAAAATGAAATGATTGATGGCGAAATGTCTGATGAACACCAGAAGCGAGCAAAAATAAACTAATTTTCTCAAGAACTGGCTTGCTTTTTACTTAATTAGTGGTGGAGTGACATAAATAGATTTTTCTCTTCATGTTTCTTGGAAACATACTAGATACATACATACATAAATTATGAGCAACATCCGGGGATTAGCCAAATTTCGTTTCACAAACCACCATTTTTGCATCATTGTATTACGAAATTTGCCGAGGACAAATTTAATTATATACGTTTTGCTTTGACAGATTTGTTGGTTTTTCTGTCTTTGACAAGATATTTTTTATAGAGTTCGGCGCGTTTTGTTTCATCTTGAAGAAAAAAAATGAAAGAGCACGTGGGGCTTTGTGTAACAACAAAAAGGTTTTTTATTGGAAATCAAAGTGTTTGTTACAAAAAATATCTGGAAGATCCAAAAAATAAAGTACAGCATCTCAAAAATAAAAGTAAATGAATTGAAATTTTTCAGTCTGTCAGATTGGCAACATTTTTATCAATCAATCATCGTTTGATTTGATTGAAACATTTATCAACTCAAAAAACTGTTTAACTTTTTCCTTGATAACCTTCTCCCTCCCCCAAGGTCGAAAGATCCCTTGTTTTCGTCTATGTATTTTCGCGAATTGAAAAATATCAACAATTGCACCATAACCTCATGGGTATTCAAAAAAGAAAACGGAGAAGTTTAAATACTTTTTTTTTCGCCCACGAGAAATTCGAAGAAATATGACGTTTGAACCAACCAAAAATTATTTTTTTCTCGGTTTGAGATATTTTTGTTTCTTCTTCTTCTTCTTCTTTTTTTCATCTTTAGTTTATCTCACGTTACAATGACAATTCAAAGAACTATAACGTATCCTTGAACCCAGTGAAACTGGAAAAAAATGGGAAGATGCTTTCGGGTGCAAAAGATGATATTTATATGAAAGAAAGAGAGAGGCAGAATATAAATGGCACCATTTTGAATGAAAAAACGATATCTGATGTATGATTATGGAAGTTCAGAACTCAGTATCAGAAAAAGTTCAAAACTAGAAACATCAGATCTGGAAGAAACCTACAAATCTAAAACAATGGTTTTTCAAATCTGAAGAAAACAAATTTAACATCAGAGTTGTCAGATTTGAAATTACAGAATTAAGTTTTTCAATTTTTTAAACCAACTACATTTTAAAATGTAATTTTTTCCCGGAAAAACGACATTCCTATCAAAATTGTACAAAAACAAGAAGCAATTTTCAATGTTCCAAAAATATCATAGCGAAATGATTCATAAAACAATGCGCTATTGAAACAATAACTTTATGATGAGCAATTCATCAATAGTTCTCATAATTTTTTGTTTCAAACCCACTTGACTCTACAACCAACTACGGTAGATTCTTGAACCAAAAAAATAAAAAGAAAAAAGAGTTATCAAATAATGAAATGTCCTTCAATGAACCACAACAAATTGTTGTTTTTATTTTCATTTTCCTATCAATCTTCTTGATAATATGATATCTTCTTCAATGACCTGTGAAATATAAAATATTTTTGCAAGATCTTTGTATTTTCGATAAACATTATTTATTGAAATTATAATAAAGATGATGGAAATTTAGGTTATTGGAAGAATGGTTGAAAATGAAATTGAAAATAATCTCTATGGAGAAAAAAAAAGGTTTGGTTACCAAACCGGAAAAATTTGGTTTTACCTTGGAAATTTTGACTTTTTGATTTCAAAAAGACCGACAGTACGAAAAATGATTTATGTGTGTAATTGAAAACAGGTATGAAAATTAAAAAAATTTTTTTTTGGAAAATAATTATATGTTCAAATGAATCTTCAGTGGAAGTTTTATAACTGTCATTCCTGGAATCAAAACAAAACATAGCGTCTAAAAGTTACCGCTTTCATGAATGAAAAAACTAATTTTTCTACAGATTTGTTTTTCTATTTTTTCTTAATGTAAGTATATTTTTATCCTTATATTTTAGAAACAAGTAATTCAGAAACTCAATTTTAATTATAGAGTTGCAAAATTTAACTTGATACCAAGAAAATATGATTCCAAAATAAATTACTGGTGGTAAAAGTCTTGTTGGAAAGCTTTGTGCATTCTATTTTTTAATTTTCTAAAAAATCCCTTTTTCTATTTTTTCAATAATTCTGAACAATAATTTTTCCAAAGAACCCGACTCCAAAAACTCCTACAACTTCTCCTACAAATTAAAAGTTATCCGATATCTTGTAATATTATCTTATTGCAAATGTTTTTCCACCACCCCCATAGACTCTTCCAAAATACATTTTTGTAAAAGCAGGAAAATTAACAGACAACTTAAAAATGACGTTTCTTTTTCTTCAAACACATTTTGCACAATTAACTTTGAATTATTCTTTTGTGGTAGGTCAACCCAATTTGCTTCTGTTTCCAAGAAAAACTAGCAACAATGTTTCAAGAACTATGATGTACTACAATAAATTTTCGCTTTCTGAAAAACATTTTTCTTGTTTAGTTTTTTTGAATTTTTGTTCTGATGTTTGAAAATGCAGGAAAAATAATTGAAAAAAAAAATCTATTTTTGAAATCTTGTTTTTTTCACGCGCGTTGATTTCAGTTTGTAAATACCTCCCATTCAGTTTGCTCTTCTTTTTTTTCCAAAAAAAAATCGTCACATAAGTCACGTAGATCTAACCTAATTTCAGAAAAAGTAAACCAAAATCTTTGTTGGACTAGATGAGTTTGGACATGTTGCATTGTTCTTTGACCCGTTTTCTGACCAATGTTCAATGAATAGAAAGCGTTTTAGTTTTTGTTCTTCTACAAAAGTTATCCCAAGAGATTTCATTTCAAAGTTGTGAAAAAGAAAAAAAAACTATATTGAAAAATTCATCTTTTTACTACACATAGTGTTTCAACTTCAATTGTCTAACTAAAATGAGCCTTTGTAACTCATTTATTTTTCACTATACGTTTGGCAGGAAATAACTTTTTTATTTTCATTTTCATTAAATAAAACACATAGTTAATTTCCAAAATAAGGATAAATAAATAAAAAATCTTTATTTTTCCATTAATTAGATTCATTTAAAAGTCACAACAAGAGGTCAAAAACAAAAGTACCGTATTATATTTTCATTCATCACGAGGTTTTAATTCAAACCGGATGCACAATTTTTCGAACTCACTGACCTTTTCATTTTTTTGTTTGATTCGCAACACTCGTGTTTTTTGTTACCCTTCTGTTGAAATGTGGTCCTAATTTTCTTCAAAAATTTTTCGAGCGTGTTAATTAGAATTTTTGCTGTCCTCCTTTTTCACTTTTTTTCTATGTAGCTTGTCACCTTATATCAAAAAATACTAATAATAATAATAATGTTATTCTGAATTTTATTGAAAGATTTTATTTATTTTGATAAGCCGTTGTTGAGAAGGAAGAAGGATGTTATTTTTTTACGAATAATGTTGTTGTTAGGATGAGAATGAAATGGAAATTGCTGAATTTTATTCATTTTTTGTGTGTGGGGTTTGAATTTTGTTGCACTGGTCAGCTACTAGATTTTCTTACTACACATTTGAAATTGTAGTATGTTTTTGGGTGTTTTAAAGTGCTGATAAGATTCTAAAACTTGAAATTTTGCTGAAACTGTGATCCAAGCCTGTGCCGGAAAGATCAATCGGACAGTTTGTTGAAGTTTTAAATTTCAAATTTCAGTACTAAATCGGTTTTGAAACACATTTTTATCTGAAATTTGTTCCAGATAAAAATGAGTTTCACGGAGATTTGCTTGGGATGTTTTCAGTTGCAAAAATAAACAAAATTTGAAAAAAATTCAGAAAACTTTTTCGAAGAATTTTTTTGAAAAGCGGCCAGTCTTGAAAATTTCACTATTAAAAATCACCTTCCCAATTTTCGGGAAAACCGGAGAATTCTGAGCAAAAATCGATTTCCGGCACAGTCAATATTTTCTCAAAATAAATTTGACCTATGACTTCAATCCCCTTTTGCAAAACTTTGAAAATTTTGACCTACGTTCCTAAATGCACTCTACCGTAATGGCTCTATTTTTCTTCTATTCCCCTCTCTTTTCCAAATAACCCTTGTGCTAAACTTTGTACTTCTTCAAAATTCCAGAATAAAAATAGGCGCATATTATGCCAACCATCACATAAATCTGAATAACACGAAAATTACCATTTATCTTCATCGTTGAACTTTCCATACAAAATACTTGAGAAAACGATTAAATTCACCCCTCTTCTCTTTTTACTCTCAATATAAAAACATATAAATATCTTCACGCAGTAAGTATTCACCAAAAATCTTTATTGCTTGCTGCTTCAAACGCCTCGCCCCTCACAAATTTCCAACAAACTACAGTATTATTTGTTTTGAAAAGACACGAAAACACACGTCTTCGAAATCTAATAGAATTCACATTAAGTTGACAACTTGGACATACATGACTATTTTTAGAAGTGATGAAAAAAAAGGAGAAAGTGAATTTTTCTTGAAAAATATACATCACTTTTTTCTAACGGATCTCAGGTCTTTGTACTTGCTCTTTAGATATATTTTTTGATGGTTAGTGATGACGATGATTAGCCAACTGGAATAATGGGGCTTTTCTTAAGAAAATAAAAAAAAAATACTTTGATTTTTCGCGGCCTGATGAACACTTTCTCTTTCCTGTTCTGTTTTAAGTTCCGTTATAAACCAACTAAAAAAAAAAAAGAAAAAACGGCCATCAAAACAAATATTTTCTACATTTTGCATATTGCAATTACAAAATCGGGTACATGTATAATAAACATATTAATCAAATTTGAAGGTGGGGGCGCTAATAAATCTATTTCCGGAGAGGTTGAATTTTTTCACGGAGGAGGGAAATATGAAAAAGAATATGAAAAAAATCGAGTCAGTGCATCATCAAACATTAATCTATTTATCTCGCAACTTTTTTTTATGTTGTTTTTCTGTTTTTGGAAATTTCTAACATTTGATGGACTAGAATTGTACTAGGATTTTTCTAACAAGGAACACGAATGTTTTTTGTTTTAAATTGGATTATGTTAATTTAGGAGCACTGGAAATTCTAGTCATTTTCTTGTTGAGATTTTGATCTCACTGAAATTTGAATTTTTTTTTGAATGAGCTAGATTAGGTTAGATCCGCTTTTCAGTGAAGTTTTGAAATTCATTTCAAAAAAATCGGATTTTTGCAAATCAATTTGAATATCTAAACTTCTTGGTCATTTTTTGCGCAAATATATTTTTTTAGAAAATTGAGTTTGAAAGGTTCAGCTTTCAGATAAACGTATTAACTAGAAACTGACGCAATTTTGACATATTTTCAGTCTAAGTTTAGTTGATCGGAAAGCTTTTCTCAACTGCCAATTTTTTCTGAAATTCTAGTTTTATCCAAATACAAAGATCTAACCCAAATATTTTCAATTTTCAATGTTCCGGGTCCAATTTGAATCAAAAAATTGTTCCTCGAATTGCTTCCAATTTTTTCCTGCAATTTTATTTACACAAATTCACGACAACAAAAAATGCTTTTTTAAATGCCTTTGATTTTCAAAATGTAATTTGTTTTCACCCCCAACCCTCCCCCAAATTGCCACGTCATCATCTCCTGAAAAGTGTAGGTGGGATTTGAGGGGAAATTGGATAGGTATGTATGTATCTATTAGATAAAAGTTGCGTAGTGAAAGAAACAAAAAAAACGTAAATTGAATGAACCCAACAATCTCGAAATTGATTCGGTGATTGAATTTAAACTTGTTTCTATCTATTTTGTTTTATTTTTGAGTGTATTGTGGTCCAAGATTTTCTCTCTTTTCTTTTTTTCACTCTTCCAAAAAGTAAGAAAAATGACGTCTGAAGATGGCCAGAAAAAAAGGGGCGGGACCATTGACGACGAAGACGTTCCCTCTTCTTGCTTCGTATATAAATCCGACACATATGTAACTTTCGTCTATTTCACTTTAATGAATTTTTATCCACTTGATGAGCTGTCTTTTACCTGTCACGCGGATTCTCTCTGTCACGCGGATTCTGTCATTTCTTCCGATCTTGTTTTTTATTTCAAGTTTTTCTCACTCTTAAAATATCATGAACATTTTCAGGGTGAGAATGCAACGGTGGTCGAGCGTCATTCTAATTGTATTATGCTGTTTGTTACGGGAAGCGCTCTCCTATACCGAACCGAGTAAGTTTTCCGAGAGAGCGAAAAAAAAATCAAAGTCCATTTCGATGTATCATAGTCAAGTCAGTCATAAATTGCCTTCATCAATCCAAGTGCAGCGATAACTTTTTTTTCTCTTTTTCAAGAAAAATTGAAATAAAAACAACATAGGGGAGATATCCTTTGGGAGATGACGAGGCAGCCGCGCATTTCAATCAACACCGAGAAAAAACCGACCAAAATTGAATTGTATATACATTCACCTTGGGGAATGAATTTTTACAGTTTACGAAATTGTCGAAGAGGACACACCAATTGATGATTATGAGGTGGCAAGAAAATTAGAGCAAAGTGGCAGAGTTTTCTCCAAGAGAGGTAATCAAGATTTTCAAGTCTATTCCAATGTTCATCTATTTCAGATATTGATGGAAATATGCCAGGAGTGTTGAGATTTGGTAAACGTGAAAGTGGAGTTCAGAAAAAAGAGATGCCAGGTGTCTTGCGCTTTGGCAAACGTAACATCTTTGATGAGACGAAACGAGTTCCAGGAGTGTTGAGATTCGGAAAACGATCAGATATTCTTGACAAACGGGAGATGCCTGGAGTTTTGCGTTTTGGTAAACGTGCGACTATTCAAGAAATTTTTGATAAACGCGGCGAAGTTCCCGGAGTTCTTCGATTCGGAAAACGAAATGTTCCAGGAGTTCTCAGGTACCCTCGAAAACTGGTTTTGATATGCGAAACTTGAAATTTTCCAGATTCGGTAAACGCAGTGACTTTGGTGAGCAATACGCTGGAATTTTGCTCAAGAAGAGTGCACCGGGAGTTTTGCGATTCGGACGCAAATAGAATTTTTATTTTTCTGATATCAATTTTTTTTTCTCTCTCTCTCTCTTCACCCCCAACTTTTTGTTTCTCCATTTTTCAATCACTCATTCATTGTGTGTACCATTCAAGTCAAAAGAAGAATATTTTGATTTTTCCATTACGTTGTCATAGACATTTTCAAAGATGATAAAAGATGTATAATGTTGTATGGGGTAGTGGAAGTTTAGGAAACAGAAAAGTTTCAGAGTGGATCGATTCAAAAATAACATCAAGTGGCTCGTCAAATTTGCTGAATCAAAAATCTGAATTATAAATCACATGAAAAATCAGAATTCATTGGAATGAAAATTCAGAATTTCAGCAATAAATGCCTCTGATTTTCAATCTTCAATATAAAAGTTTGGAAGATCACTTCCAAAAATCACCAAAAGTTTCAGAATTTTAACTAATTAAAATAAAAATATTTGTATCATGGGAACATTTTTTGTATCACTTGAAAAATCACCCAAATTTCACATTATATGGGTTCCAGACTCAAAAATGTAAAAATCGTGAAGATCAATTTTTTTTCGGAATTCATCAGTTTTCATAAGGATTTATGTTATTTTAGTCCACAACTTTCCCCGGAAGCCGACAGATTTCAAAATAGTCCCAGTTGTATCGATTTCTTCACAATAAAAAGCCCTTTCGATTTCTAATCCAATCATAAACACTTAAAATATATCAAAAATAAAAAATTCCCATAAATCTTTTCTACACAGCTTCTCATCAATCTTCATTTCATTGTTTTTATGAAGCTATAGAAACCCGATGATGATCAACACACATCTTGAGCACCGAAAGGTAGAAGCAGCAAAAAATAATAATAATTTATATATGAATAAAAAATTCCAGATGAAATCACATTTCTGAATCCTTCAGAACATGCTTATTCTGGAAAATCGAAAGAAAAGAAAAAATAAATGTTGATTGATATGAGCAAAAACTAGAATGAGCCAGGGAGTAAAAATAATGGGCAAGCAATATGAATTTAAAGTCCTTCGGTTGAGATGAATTCTTCAAGTTGATAATGACTCAAGAAATGAGCCCAATCAACATCTTTGGCACTGAAAAATATTTATGGATTTCAGAATTCAAAAAAATTAGAAATCAAACTCACATTTGTAACTTTGAAACTGTGCTTTGTGTGCAGAATGCATCCGTTTTATAGTGGCATGATTTATGGCACACCATTTTACAATCTAGAACGAAACAAGTATGTTTAAAATTAATTAACTCAAAATTAAACTAACCTCTACATTGATATGCTTGTTTAGAAAAGCTGCTTCTGATTCGTTGTTGACATACGTTGCAATTGGCGCCGCTGCAACTAATATTAGAATGGGTCAATGGGAAAAACACATAAAGATGACGACGGGACAACACAAATAAATAAACAAACAACGAATAATACTTACCCTTTGATTTTTACAGCAACAAATGTGTGATCATTGTAAATGTGAAGTTTTTTACCCTTTCTCATTAGGCGTGCAGCTGCTGGTTCAGTCAACATTGCTGGAGGAATCAGGAAGTATCTGGAAGAAGTATATAAATCAAAATTTTTGGAAATTGGCGAAAGTTGAACATTTGTTGAAGTTTTGAAATATCTAGGGATGCCCAATAAAAATTTAAAAACTTGTTTGAAAAATAGCTTTTTTCTAATAAACATTTTAATTTATTGCTAAAACTTCTTCCTGTAACTCACTTTGCTTGTTTATCATGATCCATTTCTAAAATCAGCGTACTGTGTTGATACAAACTTTTTGTCGATTCGCCACTTCTTGCCCCAACTGAATAAGTTTCTCGATATCTATCTGTTCCTTCTGGATTTACTGCATAACGTGTTTTACTAACATCTCTACTTGGTGGTAAAGAAACTGCTTCTTCAAGGTGTTGATTATCCAAGTCCATTGATTTTGATCTATAATAAAAAACAATTTTTAGTTGAAATAAGATCAATAATACCTTTTAGCTGATCTTCCTCTTCTGCCACTGAGTCGATCTTTGAGTTCACCGAAGAATGATCGATCTCGTTTTTCTGATGGTGGTTTCTTGTTGTTGCGATCTGATGATCGGCTTTGACGAGCATCAAGTTCTTCGTGGAATTCATTTGGCAAAGTTTTCTCGTGATAACTTGTTGTTCCATTATTCTTAACTTGTCTTTCCAATGTGTTATTCGCAGACATACTTTTAGCAACACTTTGAAGTTTAGCTTCAAGTTCTCGATGTTTTGGATCATTATGATTTCTCAATTCATTAACCAACATTCTCTGTGTCGCTGGATCAATCGCATTTTCCATCGAACCGTGAACTGATTGAATTGTTGGTCTCTCTTTCAATGTTTGTGAAACAGTTTTGACTACAACAGTTGTTGTTTTTGATGGCTGAATGGGTTCCGCACCATCATAATTATCATGAGGATCATAAATTGGGCGACGATGTGTGGTGAGAGTTTCACGAAATTCCGAACCGTTTGGATTAGTCACCTTGACTTTATCAGTAATTTTTCCAGTGGTGATAACATTTGGATCATAATAAAAATCGAATTGTGTGGTAACTTCTCCAGAAACCGCATCCTTTCTGTAGGGTCTTCCTTGAAGCTTCAAATTATGAAGTGATTCTCCACTTCTGCGAATCTCATCAAAGTTAACGATTGCTAATCCAAGGAAGCATTCATCATCATTCACGTGTAATTTATCACTTCCCTCATAAACTTCAAACAATATTTCTTCAGTGGCTGGAGTCAAATCGCTATAATAAAAATAGTTTGATTAATTTGAAAATGTTTCCTCTATAAAAAAAAACCTACAAATCAAATGATTCTTCCCAATATGGATTAGCATTGATACCTTTTGTTGTTGTATATTTTTGAGCTGGCTCATCCATTTCAATACTAACAAAAGGTTGAACAACATCTTTTCCGAGACGAGCGGCTTTGATAACTTTGACACGAAGTTTATTTGGAACAGCGCTTGAATTAAAGCTTGGGCTGATCAAATGCGATTCATTCAATTTTTTGAACATTTCCGGAACTTGAGTTGGGCTAGCATCACGATTAATATTCGTAGAATATGGATTAACGTTCAAATTAGCATCATAAGCATTATAAGAATTGCGAGTTGTAGTAGTTGGTGAATGTGTTGGTGGATTGTAGATTGTTCTACTGAAAGTGTCAGCAAAAGTGTTGCGTTCTTCTGGCAATTCTTCAGAGAGATTGATATTTGTGACAGCAGATAACAAACATCTTCGAATACTTTCTTCAACCATTGGAATTGATACTTGATATTGAGCATTTGGATCAGTGTTAACTAATTCGATATCCATTTCCGGGCGCCCACTAAAACATCCCATCAAATACAGTTGATTAGCAATACAAGCAATACGACATTCGATTTCTCCGTGAAGATCAACGATTGCTGCATCGTAGTTTGAAACAATCATTCTTTCTGGGGTTCTTTGAGATGAAACTAATCGAAGGCGGACGCATGGAAGATGAATATTTGAACGAACAGTCTAAACGAAATGATTAAAAAGTTGTATGTGTGTGTGTGTGTGCAATAGAGCGAGTATGCTGTTTTAGAAAACAATTTTTCAAGAGGACTGTTTTTCTCTATCTGTTCAAGAGCATATCTAATAATAGAAAACTTTAAGAAATGACGAATTTTCAGGAAAAAGTACAAATAGACACATGTTGCCGTAAATTGACACCGTTCAATTTTTACGTTTTGAAACATTATCGATTTTTTTAGTATATTTCAAAAATGTTCGTTCAACAAACTCAAATATCTTGCTTACCAAGTGATCTCTTGGGCCATGTTCAACTCTCACATTACTGATCTTTGGTGGTTGTAACACATCGCTATGATCACCGAATCCTTCAAACAAAACTTCGCATTTTGTCTGCAAAGTTTTTTTTGAATTTTTTGAAATAGTCAACTCAAAGAAAAATCGCAAACCGGTGAGGTGACTTTTTTCGCTGCTTCATTGAGTGATTTAATCCAAGCATCAAGAGGCGCTGGAACTTTATGAAAGTTTGAATACAACCACGAGACAATTTCGTTTGACCATTCATTGATCGAAGATGATGTTGTTGGTGATTGGGAATTTCTGAAATCAGCAAAATTAGCGGCGGCAAATCCACTTGAAAATGTGATGGATGGGGAAAAGAAACGGTTAATGTTTGAACAACCGTGTCGGTCGTTTTGACAAGTGCACACAGATAATTGTATTTTTTCGTCACTGTTAGTTAAGATTATGTTATTCCGGTGGAACTTCAAAAAAAATTATAAAAACCTTGTGACACAAATTTTAAATCAAAAACTCACCCAGAAGCTGTTGAAGTAACATTGAGTGATCCGAAAGTGGATGAAGTGTGATTTGCCTCACTCGATGAGCCAAGATGGTTTAGGGCAAAATAGCAGATTGCTGCGACAAGACCCCATGATAGGATCACCCACAGCATTTCTGCAAATATCCAGCCCAAAACTGCAACAAAAAAAATTGAATTTGGTTTCATGATTTTGAAATAGCTGTGTGTGTACACAGTTTTGAAAAAAAGCGTTGTAAAATGAAAATGAAAATAAAAAATGAACCTTGAAAAAATTGTGTATAAAAGAAAAGTTTCCATAATAAATGGCAGAATAAAATAGTAAAAACAACAGATAATAAAACAGCAACAGGTAACAATAAAGATCCATAGGTTTTATAGGTTTCAGAATCAAGAATATCATAGTAATATTTGCGAATCTGCTCAATTTTCAGTTTGACATTTTCAGGCAATTTGAATTGGAAATTTTGAATGTTTTCCGAAATTTTTGTGAACATATTCATCTTTTTGCTCACGTTTTGTCTTTTTTCACTAAAATGATTTCTTGTGCCTGCTGTCCTTCAAGAGCCTTAAGCGATAAGCAAATAGAACTATGAGATATCCAAATAGACAAAAAATCTTTTTTATATTATTTTATCATGTTAAAAAATTTTGTTTTTTGTTGCAAATTCCAATAATATAAAACAAAAGCATGTCACGTTGTAGAAAAAAATAGAAAAGTGTGTCAATAAATTGTTTACGGAGAGATTGGAAGGTAATATGAGACACAGATTTTTTTGGGAGGATTTTCAAAAGAAATTCGATCGGTTTTTTACATCCCAATAGATAGAATCATCAGAATAATAAAAATTTACGCCGATTTTTCATGTGGTGCAAATGACTATGAAAAATTTTCAAGAAAAGTTCAAAGAAAAACATATCTATTTCAAAAATAAACTTGAGCAGCTCGTTGAAAACCAATGTTTATCTTTGCAAAAAAAAACTGCAGAAAAATATCTAGTCTTTGTGAAACATGTGTAATATACAATTAGATATGAGCCGAACTTTTGATTTTTTCTTCATGGGCACAAAACTAGAAGATAAATTAGCTAGATCATTACACAAATCGATATTTATGAGAAATTTTGAATTTTCATAGTTAAGTCCATTGAAAAAGCCGTTTTCAGGGAAAAAGGTTTTTCTGAAAAAAAAATTCCAGCTAGTTTTCAGCAGAAACATCCAAAACATATCCAACTAAAACTATGAGATTTGTAGAAAAAAAAATCAAGTATCAATAAATTGAGAAAAAAGGTGAGAAAAAAGATCAAATAGTGTGAAATAAAATGAGCACGGCAAAAAAAAGATGAAACAATGAAAAACGTTTTTTTTTTCTGTGCCTTCACTATACATTTATATTTTTTGCTCATTTTTCTACTCAAACAGAAGAACTCGGCAGAAAATTGTGACGAGCTGAGCTGAGATAAATATCCTGAATGTTGTAATATTTTCATCTTTCTTGCCTCCGTTCTTCTTTTTTTTTCGGTGCTGTCGTTTCCTGTGGAGCTGCCAACGAAAAACTTATTTTTCTTTTTTTTCCTGCTTTTCATTTTGGAACAACAACCAATGTGATATGATATAAAGATCTTTTTTCCTATCTTTTCTTGTGTTTTTGATCAAATGAGAAAGAAAACGTGGAAAAAACAAAAAAATAACTGAATGACGATTTTATAATAACAAAATCTTAAATAGATCAAATTAATTGTACATATTCACAATAATTAAGTATATTACTAGACTGGTGTTTGATCAGATGATCCTTGTCCAGCGTTTTTCTTCGCCAATTTTGCTTGCTGAAAATGATTCAAAATATTTTTTGGTCTCTAAACACTAAATATTTTTTTCTGATTAGGCCAATTATTTTCGTCATTTTGAATAAATGAACTTTGAAGTTAACATGTTTTTCCGAAAAGAAAAAGGGACCAACAACTCCTCAACATACTTTACACATATTCAAATGACTTTTTAATGAGAATGAAGATATTCATTAATTTCAAAAATGTTGAATGGAGAAGGGATTTCATTATTGCTCAATAGACAAACGATTTTTTGGAGGACTTGGCAGAACTCACTTTTTTCAAATCACTATATCTCATTTTTTGAGTCAACCCATCGAAACGTTTATAAGTGAAATCAACAAATTCTCCACGACGGCCTGGCTGTTCTTCTGGTCGAATAATATTCGATGTTGCTGAAAAATAGGTTTTTCTTGCAGTATATTTTTCAAATTTTTACAATTCCAACCAGTTCTCTAGATTTTCAACTTGATCTAGATAAAAATAGTTGATTTTCAATCTCAACTTGTATTGGGGTAAAGATCAAACATAGATTCTATAAAACGCAGCTTCTTTTTCAGTTCTCGAAATTTCAGCTGCAAGACATGTTTTTGCAAAAAAATGTCTACACTTAATCATGAATCGCAATTTAAAAACTTACGCCACGACAAATCCTCATCTGGAAAATCATCAAAGTTCGAAGTGTCATCGATGCTCTTCACTTCAACACGAACCGGTGGCGGGCGCTCTCTGAAATTTCAAATTGTTTAGTTGAACTTATATATTTTCAAATTAACCTTATATGATTCCAATCAATTCTTCGGAAAAATGGACATTGTTTGATTTCATCAAGGCCTCCGTGATGTCCCAAACGATGCTCCGCTTGACAGCAAAAACGCTTGATTGTCTGAAATATTATCATAGAAATACTGATAATGGCATTATCAGAAAAAAAAACCAACCGCTTTGGCTTCAATGCTAATTGGAACTTCAGCTGGAAAAACCAAAGTATGTTGCCAATTGATAACTTTTCGATAAGTTTCTTGTGGATGTTCCGAACAAAATGGTGGATATCCGATCAACATTTCGTACATAATCACACCAAGACTCCACCAATCACAACTTTTTGTATATCCATGTGGTTGAAAAACTTCTGGAGCGATATAATCTGGAGTTCCAACAGTTGAATAAGCATAAGCGCGACGATTTTTCTTCCAAGTTTCAGCTTTTCTTTTTGATTCAAATGGTTTTGAAATAAAATCTGGTGGAAGTGTAGATGGCCAATTTCTATAATGATCTGTTCGATGGAACTTTTTCAATCCTGTGCACAATCCGAAATCAGATAATTTCACATGACCTCTTGCATCAAGAAGCAAATTATCTGGTTTAATATCTCGATGAATAAAACCAATGTTATGAATGAATTGAATTGCCAACGCAGCTTCAGAAACATAAAATTGTGTAGCTTCTTCAGATAATGTTTCCTTTTTAATCAAAAGTGTCATCATATCACCTCCTGGTAAAAATTCCATAACAAGATAGAGATTGGAGAAATCTTGGAAGGAATAATACATTTTCACAACCCAATCACAATCAGCTTCTGACAAAATATCACGTTCCGCGCGCACATGAGCAGTCTGAAAATGATGCCCAATGCTTCAAATTAATTTTTTTTTAATTACCTGCTCTTTTTCAACCATCTCATTTTTTCGTAAAATCTTCATTGCATAAATATGACCCGTATCGTGTTTTTGAACAAGGCGAACTTCACCAAATGCGCCACGACCAATAACTTTCAAGCTTTCGAAATCGTCAACAGTTAGACGAGTTCTTTTCAAGCGGAGATAGTCGGTTTCTTTTGAATTGTGAATTTTGCGCTTTTCGTCTTTTTCCTCATCGCTCAGCCCTGAAAATTATGATTTTTTTTTTTGGAAAGATTTTGAGATGGTGTACTTTGATTATATCAAACATTCAGCTGCGAAAATGCAAAATTACAGACATCTTCTGACTTTTTCAGTAAGCAAAAAATCAAATGATTTAATTTTCATAAAATATTGAGAATCTAATTTTAATTTTGAAAATCAAGTAAAATTCATTCAAACTTCAAAGCTACAATTCGCTTAACCGCAAAATTCAATGTTTTTTGAGTTAGTTCAAGATTCCGACTCCTAATCTAAAAAAAATACGGATTGACGTTTTCTGGAGCTCGAAGTGCTCTTCTGCTGCTGTATTTTGATTTTTTATCAATGAAATCCACCCTTGGCAGATTCGATAAGACAAAAAACTAACCTCTGGCTGCCATATCCTCTTCAAGTTTCTTCAATCGATTTTCTCTTTCGGCACATTGAGTAACACGTTGCGCATAATAAGATTCAATCGATATTCTAGTTCTACTCGCCTGAAAAAAACCCATCATTTCATTTTTTCCAACAACAAAACAACTAACCTTGTCTCTAGTATATTGAGATATTTCAACTCCACCAGCAGCAGCGGTATCACCCATTTTGAGATTCTTCTTTGTCTGCAAGCAATAAAATGCGGTTTTTTTCTGGTTGGGAAAAGTAAATATTTGAGTTTATCGTGAAGAAACCACAAATGGCTACAAACAACAATGCATTTTTTGAATTATAAGACGCATGGGAAAAACAATAAAAATCAATAATTATACAACAAGAAGAAGGTAAGAAAAAGGAAGAGAAGAAAGAAAGGAAAAAAACAATATTATTATGTGTTATAAAAATGAAGGAGAAAGGATTGGCGAGGGAGCGCGTTTGCTCGATTTGATGATTCTCGTGTGACAGGGACGCACGCAGAGTCATTGGGTGGTGTGTTGTAAATTTCTTGAATTTTGGCATTTTTTTGAAATTTTATGAAGTTTTCAGGAAAGGGGGGGGGGGCGAAATAACGAATAAATCACAAGGGAATCTTTTTTACTCAACACTTCTAATCTTGATGAAATGATTTTTTGTCAAAGTTTTTTTGTTTGAAAATTGAAAAATGGCTTTGTTTCTAAATTTGCACTGAACCAGAAAATTCATAAGTTCCTCAACGCGGAAAAACAAACGATTTTAGTATAGTATATTTCAAAATTTACAGCTTCATAAGTTCTTACAATTTTTCAAAGTCTAATCAAATGTATTTTTGAATAATCACAATGTTGTAGATCTATATTGCACGTGTTTTTCTGATCCATACAAAAAAGATCAGCGAGACAATATTTACTATTAAATTCAATATTTACTCATTTATGACACATTTTGAGTATTTAAAGTTGGGTGGAAATGATCCAACCTGTTTTTGAGAAAAATTCGAGGTCTCAATTATTTTCTCTCACAACCTTCAATTTCTCACTTGAACTATCACACCCATCATTATCATTTCGGTTTTCGTTTGAACTTTATAATTTTAGTGAGTAAAAAAAAAACAAAAGGTGTGCAGAGAGAAAAAGAGAAACATAGAAAAGTTTCCGGGGGTATCGATGAATCAAACAGACACCCAACCGACCAACATTTTCGCTGTTTTTCCAATTCGTTTCTCTTTTTTCGGCTATTGTGTGGGGTTGACCTTGTTCTGACTTACTAATAATACAAATACTATGTACTTATTTTATTTTATTTTTGCATTCATTCATTCAGTTTTATTGTTATTTTTATGACTAATATCATCCCTTTTCTTCCATTTCAATCATTTTTTCAATCACTATTTTTTACAGTTCCGAATCGTTTTATTGCGAATGGATGACGCGCTAAAAGAGGCTGTCGATCAACATTTTGAAGCAATGTATCAAATTTTTGAGGAAAATCGGAGTATAACATCAATTTTGAGGCAGGAAGTTTTAGAAGGATCGGGAATTATGATGCCTGTGAGTTGAAAAATAGGAAACCCCTGAAGGTTTAGCAATTAAATCTGAAAAGATCTCACAAATATATATTTTTTCAGTCAAATTATGATGAAGAAGATAATGATAATACTGAAGAAGAGCCTAAACATGCAACAGAAATTCAAAGACAGAAAAAGGAAAGGGAAATTGAACTAGCCGAAGAAATTGGTGAGTGAAAACTGAACGGTTTTACATAAATTTCATTGTTTTTTTTTCGATCGATCGATAGAGAACTTTTAAAAACAAAAATTCTTGATAAATGTTTCGAAAAATTTCCAGCTGAGAAAGCGACTGTAAAATCAATAGTTGTTCTGATGCATTCCGATGGTTGGTTCGAAGAAGAAGACGATGAAGATAAAAACGATGATGAAGATTAGTCGAGGTATTGCTCATATTTGAAATTTTCTTTCTACTTACAATCAATTTTGACTCAAGGAATCTCACAAATGTATTTCACAAAGCTTTAATTTGCCATGTGTTTTTTTCAGAAAATAAATAAATAAATAAGTATATCAAACTTGTATCTCATTAATTATTATCATGATTTATGTTTATTATTATTTTCTTTGTGAACGATACAATAATATTTATTAACTGTTTCAGAGGGAATAACTGGTATTTGGTGAAAAATGAAACAAATGAAAGTTGTGATAGATTGCACGAGAACATGAAATCTTTACACGATCAAAGTTTAAAGTGTTTTTGTAATAAATGTGATAGGAATAACAGTTAATTTGGAATTAATTAGTAAGAAGAAACTGGAAAAAATAAGGCTGCCGAATATTGCTAACACTAATTAGCTTATGATGGGAATGAGAAGAATTTTTGCGAGACGTTTGTAATAAAACTTTTTCAATCGAGCTATAGTTTCAGAGGTTTCAGACAAAAAATCGAATAACAATATGTAAAGTTTTTTTTTGAATACTGTTTGCTGTAAAATTAAATTTTTTCAAAATTCAGTCGATGGTCACATTTTTTGGGAAATTTTTGAGAAATTTGAAACTCCTAAATGGAAAGAATCATCAAATTTCAGGTTCAAGAAATTCATCTTTAATTTTCCAGATTATCTTGAGAACATATCCTCGAAGTTAAATAAATATTCAATTTACTCTGCTCACAAGAGCAGTATTTATTACTAATTAGACACCATCCGTGATGATTTTATTCAAAAAAAAATATTTATATTTTTCCCTTCATTCAAACAAGAATTCCTATAAACAAAACTGTAGTGTGACTTTCAATAAATCGCCCAACCTTTGTTCATCATCATTTCATTTCACAATTTTCCCATGCAAACCATCTAAAAAACAGGAAATCAAATTTGTTTAGTTGATGATCGTTCAGAGACCGCGGGGTTATGACGTCGTTTTTATCCCTCCTCCCTCCTCTTCTTAATTAGATTGTCCTGTTTTATTTACAAAACTAGCATCTCTATAAAAGACAAAAATGAAACCATTTATAGATGCAAAAACTGCTGTTTATTAGAAATCGAGATTTCCAAAATGTTCATTGTTTTGTTAATTTTCTGTTTAATTCAAGGTATGCGCTTAGTTTTAAGATAACTGTGCTAATTGATCTGATTTTCAGAAATATCATCACTATCTATTGAAAATGTGTATACAAGATATATAAATCGAGAAAAAATAGATCAAGCAGACACGTTTGGATTTCAAATTCCTCGTCCAATTGCTTACAAAGGAGATGAGCCTGTGAGTTTTTTTTGCAAAAACTTTTTTGAAAAATAGAATATTGTTTTTTTCAGATCTACCCTAGAAGTTACGGTTATTCCGCTGAAATGTTTTTCGATGAAAATGGTGCTGGATTCCCATTAAGAAAACGTCCACATCTCAGTCAAATATTTGGATCTTTGGCAAAACCCAGATATCAAGAAGATCGAGATGATGAAGAACGTGAACGTGATTATATTAGAGAATTTATGAGAAGAGTTTCCAAACGACGAAATCGCAATCGATTGTGATTCTAAAATTGTTTTCCTTTGACTCAGGGATTTTAAATAAAATTGTGTATTTATTTATTTATTTATAAAAGTATACAAATTCATAAATATATACAAAAAGTGTGAACAAGTAGTTTTGGCACATGTCCATTTTTTTCCTTCCCTCTCCCCTATTTTACTTTGAACACTTTCGACACCTCAATTATTGTGTATATAGTTTTTGACTTGTTTTGTTTGTTATTTCAATAACAAACGAGCAAAGCAAAAAAGCCTTGAATGTTGGAAATACATAACTATATAAAAATAAGTTTCTGTTTCACAACAAAAATATTACGAAAACTCGAGTTTTTTTCAACATGTGTGTATATGACATGCTCACTGGTTTCCTGTCTTTTACCTGAACAAACTTTTTTTTGCTCATATTATTTTGGGATATTTAACTATATATACTATTCATTTTTTTCTTGATGTTTTCTGAATTTATGTGAACTTTGTTTCTGTTGGAACTTTTTATGTATGTTTTAGTTTTGAAGAAATGTGTTCGTAGCTATTCATTCATGCGAGTCAAAAATTTTCAGATGGGGAAGTTTAATTTTTCCACAAAATCGATATTTGGAATTTTATTGTCGTGAAGTTTGTAGTGAGTCTAATATGTACATAAGTCACTACTAGTGACTTATGTACATATTTTTAATTAAAAAATTGGAACTGTTTTTCAGTTTTTTTTGAGATGTCCGGAGAAACCGGAGAAATTTTAGTTCGGTGCCATTTTGAAGCTCCAAAGTTTGGTAGTTCGATTAGATTTTTTCCAAACTTTGAGCTGTACTATTATGACGTTGTTCGATTTCGAAATTTTCTACTCTCTTTTTTTTGCTCCACCTCTTCGGAATAATGTGTGTGGGTCAAGACATTGACCAAAGGTAGAAAGAGAGAGAGAAAAAATAAGTATATCCAGAAGAAAAAAAAAAGTTTTTGGGGTGGTATTGAAAAGTGGTGGTCAGTGGCCGGAAAAGCATTGAAAGGTTGAAGGGGAGGAAAAATGGAAGGGGGGAGAGCAGAGAAATGGTCATCAATTGTCGTGGAGCAGGCGACGACATAATAAAACTATATACTTCTATTTTTTGTGGTCCGTGGTTCGCTGACTGGTGGACTCAGAACATGTAAAGTTTTTCTCCTCCCGCCCTTTCTTTTTTTTTTTGCTACTTCTTCTTACTTTGCCTGGATATCATATATGCTCAATTGGTTCCTTTGTTGAGTGAGCAACATTTATGTTTCGGCTTGAAGTACACTTTTTATTCATACTTTACGATTTCAAGTTCTTCGTGTTTTTAATATTTCTGAACTTCCTTCTTATGTTTTTGTATTCTTGTATTTGCAAATATTGTAGACAAAAATTATTTATAACTTCTCTCTAATGTTCTCAGAAAGCACTAAAATATCGTATATTCTGATCTATTTTTATTTAAAAACAAAAACAATTTCAGAACATCGTTTAGCATAATGAGATCAGCTACAGTAATTTAATATTATTTGAATAATAATAGAAAAACACTTAACTCACGCGATCTGGTAAATCGAGATGAAAGAAGTTATTAATTTTATTTTCTCTAGTTTGATGCATCTTCACAAAAATTTTGTGAATAAACAATTGGTTTTGCGGAATATTGTTTTGATTTTCACTTTGAATACTTTCGTTATTTAGTTGAAACAATTTATTCTGATTTTTGTATTTGTAAATATGTTTTTTTTCTGATTGGGAACTCAAAAAATATAACAAAAAATACAGAAATATATCGTCCGAAGTGTAGCTGTCTGCGTCTCTCGAATATACACACTGTTTCTCTGTTTCGTGTCTGCGTCTCTCGAATATACACAATATTTCTCTGTTCTGTATTCCAAATATAAGGCGAGCTTTGGACGATATATTTCCGCATTTTTTTGCTATATTTTTTACTTCCACAATTTCTGAAATCCCTTCCTTTCTCACAATCTAACAAATTTCTTCATTTTTTCTCTCAACAAACCAATCGGAAGCTGTTGCTCACCTAACATAAAAACTAAAGAACGATTATTATCTATCTCATATTCTCCTTATTCTTTCCGTTTTCTGCCCAATTCTCCCATTCTTTATGTTCTCCCATATCCTACCAAATTGTTCCAAATATATATGCACTTTAATTGCTGCTCACGATACTTTTCCGATTCTTTTAGGTTCAAACATCTTTCAGATTATTATTCTACTCGATCAGTTTTTATTGTTGAATTATTATTGAAAGTGATGTTGAATCGAAGTGCGACATTCTGATGTTGTCGGCACAATCGCACACATGTGAGGATTTCCATGCTGCTGACGAATCTTGTTTTATTTTTAATTGTTTTGACTCGTTTCTCAGATGCACAGTTTCTATCCTATGATGGTTAGTTTCCAAAATTTATAGATTTTCTGTAACTCAAAATTGCAGCGATTCGAATGAGGGTGCCAGGTCGTTGTGTCCAGGGTGATTATGATTGCGGTCTCGGTCAATGTGTTCCAATTCAACAATTTCGAGATGGTAAACCAGATTGTATGGATGGCAGTGATGAATGTAAGAATCTTCAGCAAATAAATGTGATCTATAATATTTTTAGGGTGTTTTATTGGTCAAGTCAGTTGTGGTGCGGTATATTGTGCAGATTACAAAGATATGCTTCCCTGTTTAGTCAATCCTAAATGTGATGGTTCCTCAAAGCAACTTCCATGGTGTTCGATTTCGAGTTAGTTTTTCTAATTTTTGAAAAATAATTTCAAAATTTTACTAAAGATTAACAATGTCATAAAAACCAGAAGCTTCATATTTCCTTTTCTCTTTTAGAAATTAATTTTTTTCAGAAGAGAAACTGTGCGCTGATAAAACATCATTTCCCTGCAAAGGTTATGGAGAATGTGTATTATGGGAATGGCTTCTAGACGGAAAGAAAGATTGTATAGATGGTAGTGATGAAGATGAGAATTATGTGTTACCATTAGAAGCATCTTATCGATTTGTGAGGAATAAAACTGGCCTAATTCTCCCGCAACCAATACCGCCACCACCCGAAGATCATCCAAGTTTATATGTTGAAGGTTGCTCATTTTGTCCACACGCTGAAAAACATACAACTCCGAAAAACCCATTCAGCGGCAATCAGAAAACCATCGCACCATTGACAAATTTTGGAATGATTCCGAATCCCACGCTTTCTCCTGGTGAATTTTTTCCCGCTCCTGCTGATATTATGATCAATCGATTGACGACAACACCTCCTATTGATGATTTTTTTGTTACGGATAGCACAACGCCTGCAACTCATAATGTTATATTTGTACCTGTGAAATCTGAAGAATCTCCTGCTGCTGCTTCAGATTTCTTCATAAATCCTGATACAACTACACGGATACCAATGATAACACCAATTGGAGCGATTTTCAAACCTATTCAACCAGGATTGTCGGAGAAAATTGAGAATTATATCCCAGAAAATACAAATTCTGCAACTTTTATCAAATCAACAATTCAAGCAGGATCTGAAAACTCTGAAAAGCCAATGTCTATCGCTACCAGCTCACCAGAACAATCCCAAGCAATATTTCGCCCAGTTGGATCTGGAAAACCTGGGGAATTTTTCCCTTGGAATCCACAAACTACAAATTCACCAACAAATATGTTTACCAAAGCATCTCCCTCATTTCCAATATTCATTATGCCAACTGAAAACCCAAAAGTTCAATCAGTTATTTTTCGACCATCTGGATCGTCTGGACTTTTTGAAAAATTACAGCCAACTGATTCTTACTTGAAGCCAGAAAATGTGCACCCCAGTATAAAACAACCTGGTGCAATTTTCCGACCTTCTGGATCATTGGGAGGAAGTGGCAGGCTGACTGAAATTGGAACAAGTTCAGAAACATATCAACCAGGAGCAGGATCGACAAATGCAAAAATTACCACAACTGATGACACAAATTACCAAACAAATTCCGGAGGTGCTGTATTTCGACCATCGAGTTCTTCGATTCCAAATTATCGGAAAAGTTCTGAGATCGACACATATGAAACACACGGAAAAAACTCTGGTGCCCAATTCAAACCAGTTGGGCCTCCTGCACAAAAACCTTGGGAGCCAACACAAAATCCGGATTTCAATAGGATAACTCAACCTGCTGTTTTCCGACCTTGGTCACCATCAAAACCTAGTAAAGAAACGTATGAAGTGTCAGGAAATACTCCTTGGAAGATCACACCAAATTCTGAAATTCAACCTACCCCATCGAATTCATTAAAACCAACCGATCAATCTGGAGCAATATTCCGACCATCTGGACAAAACCCATGGAACCCTCCAAAAGAAATTCCACATCAACCTCCTGGAAAGGTCGCTCCCAATCCTTGGATGATTCCAAATATTGGGCCAACACCCCCGCCACCAACATTAATTCCAGTTATAATACCTGAAAATCAAACACCTGGACCGTTGGATCCATATTCTATTCCGGAAAGAGTCACGGTTTCACCATCATCACCTGGATATACCCCTGAAACTGATTTCCAAACTTCGACTTCGAATGAAGACCTGGTTCCATTGCTACCTGGGCATTTATTACCAACTTTCAAGCCAACCATAAAAACAACAACACCTATTATTCCAAAAACCACAGAGAAATCAGAAGAAGGTTGGATTGAAGAATCAACTACTGAACTGTCTGAAACAACAACTGATCTTCAAGAAACATCAGAAGAAGTTCCTGCTGAAACTACAACAACTTCACCTTCACCTTCACAATGTTTTGTTCAAAAACAAGAAGACATTATTTGCGATTGTGAAAATGGGAAAATGAAAAATCGGATCACTGGAGAATGTGAAGAATCGCCATCGATAATGAATGTGAAAGTTGATATGAAAGAAATATGTGGGGATTCTGAATTTGAAGATAAGCAACATTATTTGTTCAATAAGGTGAGTGGGAATAATTTCTTGCATGGATGATTTTAATTGAAATTTTTATCAAAAGTTTATTTTAAGGGTTTCTAACATAAGGAAATTTTTTAAAAAATCTTTAGCTATCATCAAAATATGATGTCTGCATTCGATCTTCTGAATTCTCCGATGGTTCTTCTCTCGTTGCTTCTATTTCTTGTGTAACTTGTTCAATAACCGATATCAACAATAATCTCAAGTCAAGTCATCTAGAAGCAGCTGGATTGGGAAGTAGTTTATGCGACGATTCGGACTATAATCATTGTCATTATGACGCTGAATGTTTTGTTGAGCCAGATGGTTTGAGATATACTTGTAAATGTAAACCAGGAACAACTGATGTTTCATCTGGATCAGGCAGAGATTGTGAAGGAATTCCAGATGATTCACAGTGAGTTTTTTTTTAGTTTTTTTTTCAAAGAATATGTAAATCAAAAAATTTTTTCACAGGTGTATTCTGGTATTCGATATTTGTTTGATTGTTTGGGTGATCTTTTTATTTGGAGTGTTTATGCTCACTTGTTTATGTTGTATTGCTGCATATTCACTCTGCCCGAAAAGATGTGGACGACATGTTGCAATTCATCCAGAAAATGCGGATGGTTTGAGAACTGTTGTAATTGGCAAGAATGCTAAAAAGAGTAAAGAGCAGATGCCACATATGAGAGCAATATTTGCCGAAAGTTTGAAGCATAGTGCAAAGGGTTCAACATCTGTTGCAAGTGCGTTTGCTTTAGCTGAAATGAAGAAGAAACGCGTTTCGAAAGCACCAGAGATGAGTCAGGTTATTGAAGAGGTTAATGAGGTGAGAAAAAACGGCATTTGAAAAAAATAAAATTCAAAATTTGCAGAGCCCGGTGGAGTATGAAAAAGCAGATGTGATTTCTGGTCATCGAAAAATCTCAAAAGCTGAAAGTATCGCAAGGTTATCAGATACCGCGATAACTGAGACACCAATTCTTGAAAAACATTCGAGTTCAGTGTCACTTGTATCCGCAGGGAATGAGCCAGCTCCGCAACTTCCAAATCTACCACTATCACTTCCTATCCCAGTGACAACAAATCGTGAGCCCACACCGCCTCCACCAGAACAAATTGTTGAAGAATCCAAGGTACATAAAAAAATAATTTTGAATATTTAAAAATTGCCATTCGTTTTCAGAAATCTGAAACTGAAAGACCATCCTCATCACATTCAATTGGAGTGCAACCAACAATTTGGGAAACCTATCGAGTACTTGGTCAACAATATTCGAAATCTGATCAGAATGAGAGAAAACAAAGCTTGGATTCACTGGAATTGTTGTTCGAAGCTAGACAAGCTGAAACTCATAGAACTGAATCAAGTCCACCGATTACATTCACAGCAAAACAAACTTTAGAGTGAGTTGTGAACCTATTTTTTAAAACTATTTTTTCAATTAAGTGGAAACTATTTTTTTAAATAAAAAAAATTCATTTTTTTCAGAGTTCCCCAAATACCACAACCTATAGTAATTGCATTGGAAGAACCAACAACAAGTTTCCAGCCAGAAGTTCCAATTGTTTCAGATCCTGTTTCAATCGAAACTGAAAGAATCGAGCATAATTTGCAAGAAGCAGCAGAAGTCAAACAGTACTTTTTAAAAAAATATTCCACGTTTTTTTTCATTTCAATAATTTATTTTACAGACATGAGGTGGATGAAAAAGTTGCTGAAATGATTGGTGTGACTTCTTACCATCCAACACCTTCTCCTCAATTAGTTGTTACACAAGATGAAGAAATTGAAGAACTTCAGCATGTTGCGGAAGACGATTCACTTGGAAAATCACTTGAAAGCGCTTTGCTAATCGAGATGGCTAAACAGGGAATTGAACTTCCTTTGTCACCAAAAACTCCTGTTCCAACTTTGGATGAGTTGGAAAAAACATTGGCTGAACAGCGAGAAATTGAAGATTCAGAAGAGCAAAAAGTGATCGAAGAAATAAATCGGAAGATTGAGAGTAGACGATCATCAACAAGTCAAAAATCAAAGATACCATCAAGAAAAGGCAGCGTTTCTTCAACATCTTCTAGGAAAAGTGAGGTTTTCAAACCGTCTGGTTCAAAATCACCAAAACTTCCACAAAAATTCCGACCAAAGGGACTTGAGAGAAGTATGGAAGTGACAGATGACAGTGATCCTGAAGTTGCATTTTTCAAAAGACTTGACGCCATGAGAGATCAAGTTGATCGACGAGTTCCATTTTTGCCACCACCTCGGCGAGTTATCAAAAGACGAGTTCCGGAGCGAACATTATCAAGTATCTCTGAAAAAAGTGCTGAAATTCTCACCGATCCTGAAGCTGTTGATGTTTCGATTTCTTGTCCAGTCACAACAAGGTTTGCTCTAAATTTTCTCGTGATTGAAATGATTGTTTCAATTTTTCAGATCGCATTTGGATCCGATGCCAAAAAAATCTCGCTTTGCATTCAAACGAAAAGTGATTGAAGCCACAAGTGATTCATCAGATGTGGATGTTCCAAGTTTTTCTAGAAAATCTCCGCCAAAACCAATAGTTGCTTCGCCTGAAATTCCCGATGTTACATTACAAAGATCGATTGAACATTTGAACAAAACCGATATTGATATTGCTTCTCCTAGTGAAAAAAGCGCCGGAAGTGTGAAAAGCACAAAACCAATTTATGAAAAACATCGAAAACCGGTTGGTATTTTTGAAAAAATTATTAAATTCCATTTTTTTTAGCTTTTTCATATACTTTAGAGACCAAAGTAAAATCAAAAATTTGCAGATTCCTCCACATCCATCAAGTATTACAAGTAGTCGAATGAGCAGTCGAGTTGTAACTCCTCGAACTATTGGAGAAGATTCTGCATCACAGACTTCTAGGAGCACCAGGCATTCTGTTATAAGTCGAAAAATTGCAATCAGAAAACATGAGCTCAAATCAATATCAGGTTCAACAGCTGATTTGTCAAAGCAGGTTTCAAAAACACCATCAACTATAAGAAGTGCGTAAAAATCAAAAACCAAAAAATCTAAAAACAAAAACGTTTTTTTTTGCAGGTGCAAAATCAGTCGGCGACATTTCACATCGTCCAGCATGGAATATTTCGCAACATCGAACAAATTCACAACAACCAATTGAATTTTTACCACCAATTACACCAACTCGACCAAGTCGAACAGCCGGAAATTCTCCGCAACCACGTAATCGTCGTAGTGATAGTCATTTTTCGTTAACTTCTCTTCCTGCCGCTCATTCACCAACATCTTTTTGGAGTTCACCACATTTCAATCCGTCTGAAGATTCGAGAAAACCACCAAAAGAAGATTTATGGTGGAATCCTAATAAAAAATAGTCTTTCATTTTGTTTTTCTTTGTCTTTCGAATAATTTTGAAACATATTTATTTATTTATATTGTCTTTTCAAAAATACCCCAAATGCTTTCTGTTTTTTTTTTCATTTTCCCCGTGAAAGATTCTGTTCGAATATAATATGCGTGTAACTATGAACCTACTTGTTGTGTTCAACATTTTTTTTCCGAACCTTTTCAAAGATCATTTATGTATGTATTACTCATCATAAAGTATTATTATTATCATTTTTATTATCCCCTTTCAATAAAACAACTTTTTTCAACAAACAAAAAAAGGTCGATGACGTCTGAAGAAAATCAGATAATTTTAGCATCCAAATTAGTGTTACGTAAACAACCGTGAAATTCATTGAATTTGGAGGTATTGTGAAAGCTAAAAAAATATACGAATTTGATGGCGACAAATCAAAGTTTTTTTCAAAAAAAAAATAATTTTAGTTTTTTTTGTGCTGGAGGTGGAAATGACAAAGGATCTTTGCACACGCAATGCGAGATAATTTGGGAAAGTCTGGAGAATAAATTACAACAAAAATGGAAAATTTTAACATCTATTAAATGAGTTTTATTGAAAATAGAAACTTCTTTGTTCAGAAATTTCTTTAAGGTTCAAAAAAATTTGATATACTGTGCAAGCTTGCCTTTATTAAAGAATGTGATCCTTTTTGAATTTCACTATATGAATGATAAAAAATTTACGTTTTTCGGAGACTCTTAGCTTTTCTGATATTCAGTTAGTTTTTGATGGCCAATTTGAAATGTCAGAACTTTCTGAAAATTATCAAAAGTTCAAGTTATTTACCAAAACTTCAGCCGTTCAATTCTGACGTAAAATATCCGTGCCATTTGTTTTCCAAATTTTTGACATTAAACTTCAACATCTGTCTAAGGGTTTCCTCTTGTTTTGCAAATAAACAAGATTAGCCGTTGACATTTTACCTACCTCAAACTGATATGCATTAATCCCTGATTACGCCGTTCTGTTTTGTTAATACACTTCCTGATCCTTATGTTTATTATCCTATTATCAAATCAAAAATCGGATTTTTTAAAAGTTTTCCTTCAAACACCCACTCTTTTTCGTTGTTTTTTTCATCAAAAGACTATCGGCGCGTATGAAATGCTCACCCCCGAAAAAAAATCTTATCTAATTAACATCGCATTTTCTAGAAAAACGAAAAAGTAAGAGAAAACGTAGCCTGGAGCAAGAAAAAGAGATGATGGGCGGAGCTAAAAAGTCGACTGAATAAAAGGTGCAAACTGTGTGTGAAGAGGCTCATTTTTTGAAGCAACCACTTCGATCAACCACACACACATATTTTCTAAAATGGCTCGGTGTTCACAAATCTTGATGGTCTTCCTCGTCTTGGTTCCATTGTACTTGGCACTTGATTGCAGGTAAGAAAACAACGAAGCTCGAAATGAAATTTAAAAAAAACTTATTTAGAAAATTCTCATTTGCTCCGGCATGCAGAGGAATTATGCTCAAACGTTCGGGAGCACATCCAGGATTCCAAACTGCTGAAGAACCAGTACAAATTGATGTAGGTGAAGCAACTGAAATTGAAATTGAAATTGAAATTTTCAGGTCGAGAAAACTTTGAGCTGGTTATCGAAAGTTGTTGCTGAACACAGCAATGCTGATTGTATCAGTGTTGATTATCTCATCTCCAAACTTGGCAACGGTAGGCAGCAACAAAACAAAAAACGTTTTTAATTATACAATTTTTTTTTCAGGTTACTAATTATATGAGAGACAAAACAAAAACACCACAAAGAACATATTTTATTCTAATCCTTCTTCACCAATCAATCAATATATTCGATTCCACCAACACAAGAACAGCTACACACAAATACAATTCAACAACATTAACTACCGAAAAATAAATATTTTTTTGTTATTTTTTGCTCTCTTTTAATTCTGTATTCGTCGTGCCAATAAAGTGTTAAAATCAAATTTTGAGCAGGTGCTTGGTATTTATAGCAATGAGTATTTCGGAGTCAATTGAGTTTGTTAAAAGTCTGCGAGCGATAAGATCAAAAGTCCAGATTTACTGCAAAATTCTCACGTCAGAAAAATGGAGGAAACTTTGTGAATTTGAACGAAAGCTGTCACTTACAATTTTTTTCCTGGAAACATAGAAAAATAGTCTAGTTCTAAACGTGTTTTTCAAATCCAGCTGCCGCGTTTTGCTCCACATAGCTATGAAGCTCAAAATAATGATAACTTGATGAGTAATCCTGAGCTCGAAATTCGATGAACAGTGAAAAATTGTGGCTACTTTGATTCTTCATAAATAATATCACAAAACTTTAGCCTCATTATTTTTTTTCACATATTTCTCATTATTCATTATTCAATCTAACGAAAAAAAAATGCAATTTTTACTCTTCACTTCATTCATAAAGAGGTCAAACAACAAAATAGACTTGCATTGTTTGGAAAAAATTGAAAATGCGCATAGTATATTATTTTACTTAATTATATTAGATACATACTTTCACTTCCAGATCTTCCTTCATATGTTTTATGTTTACGTCAAAAATTGAGTTTTCTTCAACTTCTGGGAAAAACATATGAAAAACCTACGCGTCGATGTTTTAATTCAATTTTGAATAGCCCCGGGCAATAATACTCATACATATTACGCAAAAAAAGTGATTTTAGAGGAAGTTTTATTATGTATACAAATGATAGATTTATAAATAAAATGGTTTTGGCATCTTATTTTTTCGTGCAACAATGTGCGGTCCATTTTTTCTGTACACATGTTGATCCAGTTGGGCAGAAGCTGAAAATATTTTTGGTTATTTTTGAAATAATGATGTACATAGTCAGAAAATCAGATTTTATTTCAGATGTTCACTTCCAAAACTCACTTATGTGTACATTTTCGACCAATTAAAGGCGCAGAACCATACCAAGTTTTGATTTCTACGATTTTTTCAGTTGATTTTACACATTTTGGAGAATGTTCACTGTCCCATTGTTCTGAAAAATTGAAATTTGAATGATGAGTCAGTCAAGATGGATAATCGTAGTGTAAAGAAGCTTAGTGTGAACTTATTTAGTTCTCAAGACAATATGACTTTATTTGATTTTCTTTTTATTGTTTGGTTCTATGAATTTTGAGGAAAATCTTGAAAAATAAGAGTGCATACCAAAATAATTTTCACAGAGACTTTTTCAAAATTCTTTTGTTTTTTTTTCATTGTGGTCTAGGAATATTAAATCTATTGTTTTTTTTTTGCGAATTTTCCAAGTTCACTGCAAAATTCAATATTCCACCTGTATTTTTTTATTTTGAATACATCAATTTCAAATCACTAAACAGCTGATTTAAATAGATTTTCAAACGCTTTAAAAAACCATGGTATGAAAAATGATTTCACATTTTTTGTGGAAATGATTTTCATCTGTCTTACGTACTTCGAAAAATATATTATTTTTATATTGAAATTGGCTTGTTTTCAAAACATCTTTCACCTGCATATTACTAAAAAGTAGTTTCTTTGAATAAACTATACGAAAATGACGTTGATGAAAATAATCATTATGCTTTAATGGTTTTCTAGAGAAAAGAAGAATTTTGAAATAATTGGATATGGAATAACAAACAAATGCTATGAATACTATAATTTTCAGAAACGTCAAGCTTTAAAAAAAATACTCACGTACCTTGAATTTTTGCGTTACAACACAAACCAATCATTCCACCATTTATGCAAACATTTCCAGGTTTACATTGTTTATCTTCAATTCCCATACAGGTATCATCAGGTTTCACGTTACCACCACAATTCACCTGATCAGCTGTAAATTAATGTTTCAAAATGAAAAAATATATTTCTAAACTCACCAGGTTTGCAGAATTCTAGACAGCTTTGTTCACTTTCAAAAGAGTTCACACTTTCTTCACATCCAAGATATTTATAAGGATAACAAAATGAAAGTTCGTTGTCGAAATAATACTGAAAATGGTTGATTCAATCACACTGAATTCGAAAGATTTTTCAAACCTTGACTGTGCTGTTATCAGTAGTTCCACATTTTTTACCTGCACTGAACTTTTCTTCGCAATTATAAATTTGTGAGAAAGTGAAATTGACAAAAACCAGAATTAAACTAAAAACCTTCATTTTTCAAAAAATATATGTGATAGAAGACAATATTGTTCAATTGTTTTTATATAGTGTTCTCAAGGTTTTTCAATTCATTTTTTTTATTTGATTTGATAAAGGAAGAGAAATTATATTTCACAAAAAAAGTTATTGTTGTTGATGATGAGGCGGTTGAATCCATTGTGACATGTAAAATTGAAGATTTTGATTGGGAATATTAGAAGACGAATGTTGCGCTTGTTTTTCCAATTGTTTTTGCTCTTTTTTCGAAATCGGAGTTTGACATCTAAAATTACAGTAAAACGTGTGTGGTCAAGATCTAATTTGATACCTTCTTTTCTTTGTTCTTCTATTCTGAAACCAAGTTTTAACTTGACATTCCGAAAGGTCAATTATTTTTGCTAAATCGCTTCTTCGATCTTTGCAAATATATTCATTTTTTGCAAATTCCATTTCAAGTAAGGTAACCTGAAAAATAAAACATAAAACATAAAACAAAATATATTTTATTTATAAAGAATACCTGATCGGGTGTGAAAGTTGTCCTTTTAGTGGGTCGATTTGTAACGCGTTTAGGCTCGACTTTTTGATTCCAAAAATTGATTTCCGAGGGATAAGGCTGAAAATAAAGTGGAAATTCACACCATCATCGCGAAAAAAAACTCACAAGGTTGGTAGCAAATTGCATTTTCTCAAGAATGACACAAATACACAATTGAAAATTTTAATCAAGCTGTCGGATAATTGGCGTAATAGATGTGCGAAGAAGGCAAAGAAAAACATTGGAGCACATTTATTGCTTTCAAACACGATGAAGATACAAGAATTTATTAGGGTAGACCAAAATGAGATCATAAAATTCATATATTTGTGGTTGTGAAAAAGGGATGATTTGGGATTGCAATTAGATTGATTAAAAAATTTAAAAAAAAAACAGTAGTTTTTTAATGGAAAAAAAGTTTTGAAAGAGCTCAAAAATTAAAATTCGATAAAAATAATTACATGATTGTGCAGTTTGATTTGACAGATTCAAAAAGAGATGGCTTTTGATTTGCAATCGCTGGTGGAGCACATTCCGTCGCCCACCACGGTTGTTTTTTCGATTCTCGAGGAACTTCTTCCTCTTCTTCAACTACTTTTGGATAATCATATTGTTGATAGCTCAATTTTCTTATCTCACTAACAGCCAATCGTTCGCGCTCAGCGCCAAATGTTCGAGGTCTTCGGTCTTCCTGAAAATATGTGATAAAACCAGGAAGTTTTTGTTGCCTGATAAGGTTACCTCATCAATTCCTAATTCTTCCTCTTCTACTTTTTCATCTTGTTGTTTCTGGAAAAGAATCGGAGTTTCCAGTGGCATTTCAGGTTCTTCATCCATAACTGAATCAGCTGCTGAGTCTGTGTCGCCCATTGAGGAGGAGCTTGATTGCGAAACAACATAATTTTGAGTTTCAAGAACATTATCATAAGCCTTTTTCTGCTTTTCAAAAACTTGTTTCATCTCCCGGATCAAATCAGTCGTCTCATGACGCTTCACTTTTGTATTTTTAGGCATAGATTCCACGCTGTTCTCTGAAAAAAAAGCATTTTTGGAATACCAATACTTTTCTTACTTACTTCTCTTGCGATTTGTCCAATTTCCGCTCAGAAATTCGCTATCATTCAATTGTTCCAATGGTCGTCTTCTTGAGAACACACGTTCCACTGTGGTTGTCACATCGTTATTTGCAACCATAGATCGAAGAGCGTCACGTCTTCTACGCCAAAAGCCTTTGCTGAAAAGTTAGAAATAATTGTTGATTTTCAGTTAAAAGTAGTATCTGGAGTATCATTTTTTTGAGGGATATTTTTTGTGAGATATTTCTAGTCAAGCAGCTAACCCTTGTCATTAGTATTCCCAATCAGGGAAGCCTTGAGAGCCTCCAGATAGCCTAGGCTTCACTGCTTGATAAATCACTTGTCAAGCAGCTAACCCTTATCATTAGTGTTCTCAATCAGGTAAGTCTTGAGAGCTTCCAGATATTCTAGGCTTCACTTCTTGATGAATTACTTGTCAAGCAGTTAACCCTTATCGTTGGCATTCTCAAGCAGTTAGCCCTCGAGGTCCTCCAGATAGTCTAGGCTTCACTCCTTGATAAATCACTCATCAAGCAGCTAACCCTTATCATTAATATTCTCAAACAGGTATTCCTTGAGAGCCTCCAGATAGCATAGGCTTCACTCCTTGATAAAGCAGTTGTAAAGCAGCTAACCCTTGTTATTAGTATTCTCAAGCAGGTAGTGCTTGAGAGCCTTCAGATAGCCTAGGCTTCACTCCTTGATAAATTATTTGTCAAGCAGCTAACCCTTGTCATAAGGTTTTACCCAAAACAAAAAACTCACTCAAAAATCATCACTTTCTTATTGAAGCTCTCTTTTCGAAGTGTTTTCCTCAAGAGTTTCGAGCGGCCAATAGCAGTTGCAATTGTATCATACCACTCTTTAACACATTCAAAAGTGTCCGCGGTGATAACCAAACGCAATTCTCCACATCTCAACTGAAAAATCATACAAATAAATAGAATTTTTTAATGCTAGAACTCACATGAATTGTCCCTTCGACGGGAACATGCTCGATTTGTGTATGACGCAACGAAATCATCGCAGATGGTTCCAGTTTGGATCCGATGCGCATTCGTTTTTTACCATAGAGGAGAACATCGTTGAAGAGATAGAAAATACGTTCTTGGAAAAGGGCACTACCAGACATCTCGCGCTGAAAAAATCATTTTGAATTTTGAAACTATTTCGCAATACTTACCTTATAGAGCATTCCCTCTTTAATTAGAGTTCTCCCAGGAACAAACACGTGCTTATCCAATCCAAAAGATTTTTGAATTGTCAATAAACGCTCGCCATTTTCATAAGTCAGCATACACAATTGCATGTGATCGGAAAGTGTTCGCATTTCACCGACAACTTCTGTAAATGTGAACGGTTATGATTTTAAAAAAATCAATTTTGAAATGAAAAAATAAAAAAAACTTACTACATAAATTGTGCATTTCTTGAGGTTCCGTGCTAAACATCATCAATTTCTCGAGCAACAAAATATAACGAGGGATTCTTTGAACTGGCATAATGAGAAGTGCATTGAGATTGTTGTTTTGACATCTTGAGTCACTCTCGATTTTTGCGATTTCTCTACGGAAATTTTCTCGACTCATCAATTCCTGAAATATATTCAATTATTCAATTGAAAATTATAATTTTTTTCATTAAAATCTCACCGCATAAGTTTTCAGAGAAGTTGGATATTGCGAAGCATATGAGGTGTACAACTTGAGATACGGTAAAAGTTGAAGAAAAGCATCGGCAACAGATTTTGAGCGGAGCGATTCAAGCAATAACTGCAATAATGATGAGATTTTTATTTTTAAAAAATAATGTTAATAGTTACCTGATTTGTTTGACAAATTGCGCCAATATCACCAAATAATGATCGCATTCTCTTTTTTGAAACTGTTCCACTTGCCGCCAAATTCCCAACAAAAACTTCCGAAACCACAGTGAGGAAAATGACATAAGCTTTTTCAGAGTCGTACAACTCTTGTAGAACTTTCACTTTATCTTCTGGCTCCTTTGGAAACTGACTGCGCATGTCGAAATTAATGTAGGAGTACAGTTTTCTTTGAAAATAATCACATTGTGTTGACTCGTCATATTGTGGCTGGTGAACCTTTTTGTATGATGCATATTCGAACTCCTGTTCTGCGTTCATGTCTGGAAAATTAAAGTTCAAATAACATTTCAAATTGAATAGCAGTTTACAGATATTTCTGTAGAATTATCAGTTTATTGATATAAAAATCATAATTTACAATTTTTGACCAAAACAAGAGTTGTCTCACTGAAAACAAGAATTTTGGCTCGAAAAAGAAGAATTTGCAAAACTGGAAGATCTTCCAGATTCACAAATTGTTAATGAAAATGTTGTTAGAAAACTGATTTTGAAATTTATACTCAAATAGTTCTAGAGTTAATTTTTATTCTATGTAACATAAATAACGACGTGAAAATTAAAAATCAACTAATGAAATAAGAAACAAATAATAAAAACAAAAAATACACACACAATTGTAAAGTGAGCGTTTTTCAAACCTACCCCGCGTTGTTTACAATAGAGCGCACATTTGTCACCATAAGGTCCCTGTCACACCAACTTTCTTTCTCCCCCCCCTCCTATTTCTTCGTTGTGTCTCGCATGGGGAAAATCAATATTTCATTTATTTTTTGGAAATTGCGGTTTTTTTTTGGAAATTTAACGAAAGTGGCTGGATTTTTCGAAGAAGTGATTATGAAAATAAATCTGAAACAGTCAAAGAAACGTTGAAATTTTGAAATTTTTGAAGATTTTTGGAGTTTTAATGGTGAAAATGGTTTCCAAATATTCTATTGCTTTGGAAATATATAAAGTGAGACTCAACTTGTTGTTTCTGAATTAGAGTGAGTCAAATTTTCGAAATTTTGAGATTTTTCATTCATTTGAATTTCAGGAACTGCCTCAACTGAACTGAATTGGCTTTGAGAGATGCTGGAATCTTCGATGCAGTTTACAGCCTGCAATTAACTGAAGAATATGCTCACATTCAGGATTATATGAAAGAATGCAGTTCCAGAGAATCACCATGAGATTTTTGCGGTGAGTATTTTTTTTAACAATGTATTCTCATCAAAAAATTCTCTGGTTTCAAAAATTAAAGGGCCGAAGTTTATTGTGCGATTCAAATATGAAATTCAATTTCTTTCCTTAAAAAATAATTTGGAGAATTTATCTAAAATCAAGGTAAGGAATCTAAGTTCGAAACTTACTGTTTTTTTAAGCTGTTAAAAAAACAAATTACAATAAAAAAGTTTTTTTTTTTTTTGAAAAATTTATCGTTGACTTTATCCATGGCAAAATTAGGAAGCCTTCCTGATTTTGCCACGAGTCATTTTTTGATCAAAAAACTTGAAATTTTTCCTCGGACCGTTTTTTTTTTGAAAAATTGATCGTTGACTTCATCCATGGCAAAATTAGGGAGCCTTCCTGATTTTGCCACGAGTCATTTTTTGATCAAAAAACTTTTTTAACACTGTTAAAAAAACAACTCATCCACTTCATTTTTACATTTTTGGATTATTCCAAATCTGTAACTTTTTTTGTTGACTGTGTACACGAAAATCAAAATTTTTGAATTTTTGTCAGCTACCCGCTCAAATTGAAATTTTCATTCGGGCGGGTTTTTTTGTCAAAAATTTTGAAAAATCTCGGACCGATTTTTTTTTCCGATTTTTTTTTTTTGAAAAATCTCGGACCGATTTTTTTTTCCGATTTTTTTTTTGAAAAATCTCGGGCCGATTTTTTGAAAAATCTCGGGCCGATTTTTTTGAAAAATCTCAGGCCGATTTTTTTTTTGAAAAATCTCGGACCGATTTTTTTTCCGATTTTTTTTTTTTTGAAAAATCTCGGACCGATTTTTTTTTTGAAAAATCTCGGGCCGATTTTTTTTTGAAATATCTCGGACCGATTTTTTTTTGAAAATTCTCGGGCCGATTTTTTTTTTTAAATCTCAGGCCGATTTTTTTTTTGAAAAATCTCGGGCCGATTTTTTTTTTGAAAAATCTCGGGCCGATTTTTTTTGAAAAATCTCGGGCCGATTTTTTTTGAAAAATCTCAGGCCGATTTTTTTTTTGAAAAATCTCGGGCCGATTTTTTTTTGAAAAATCTCGGGCCGATTTTTTTTGAACAATCTCGGGCCGATTTTTTTGAAATTTTATTGTGAATTTCTGGAGTTTCTCTCCATCTGCTGTTTTAACAAAAGAAAGATATCCTCATCAATTTTGATATAAAATTATATCCTTTCAATATTTACCTCTACAAAAACTCTATCCTCGTTTTCCTATTCCCAATTCTCTTTCAAATATACAGTCCCTGAGTGTTGTATTTGTGCCCGGCTCACCTTTCGTTTTCTTTTCAACCGACACTTTCCTCTTTTATTTGTGCTCTTCTTCTCATTTCGGTTTTATTTGTGCAATGTTTTGAAAGAAAGAGAAAAATAAACTAAAATACCATGAGTGAGTCCTAAATCACAATAAATTAATGAAAGTTCTCAATTTCAGAATTATTGAATAATCGAAGATTTTCGAATACATCAAATGGTTTGGGCCCAACAACATGTCTAGCGTTTGTTTTATCAGTTTTGACCATGATCGGATCGATTTGGATTATTGGATTCGGAATTCGAGCACTAGTTGAGGTTGCCTATTTAGCCCCAATAATCGGATCACATTTCATAATTTATGGACCATGTTGTTTGATAATGATTGGGATATTTGCCTTCGGCATGACACCGATTGGTTTTTATTCAATCATTATGAGCAATTCGGAATTCATGGTTCTGGTAAGTCATGATTCAAAAGAACATTTTTTTTAATAGAGTGAATTTTCAGAACATGTTTGGCACGTTTTTTCTCTCCGGACTTTGCGTTTCCTCGGGATATCTCGGATATTCTCTGAACACAAAAATGAATTACAATCTGGAATTGGAATCCTGGATGAATAGAACTATGATTGAAGAGTTTGACAATCCAAATACACCAGACATTCGAGAAGCGTGGAATAAAGTTCAACAACAGGTTTGTTTTTTTTTAGAAAATTAAAATATGGATAAAATCATATATTTTTCATTCAGTATTCGTGTTGTGGAGTTGAGTCAAATCGCGATTGGGTAAAAAGTGTATGGTTTGCGAAACAAAAACTATATCCAAGATTGAGATATCCGGAAAGTTGTTGTGCTAGCTGTGCATCAATGCATGACCGGTAACATTTTTCTCAAGATCAAGATCTCCAAAAATAGTTTTTTTTGTAGTTTCTGCACATCATTTTTCGGCGATGTTGATGGAAATCAGCCACTATCCAAAAATCAAACAATTTGCCTTCAAGCTAGCAAAAAATGTGAAAGTGCTGATGAATCAATTGCCAATAAATATTTATGTTCTCAAAATTCAGTTGAGATTAAGAATTTTTATCGACATGAGAATGGATGTTTAGGACACATTCGATTCAACGTTAACTATTTTTCAAATCGAGTTTTTATTTATTCGATAATTTTCTTTTTCATACTTTTTTCAAGCACATTAACCTGGTTTGCTGTACATGAATTGATTGATCCAATACGGGTAAGAATCAATAATTCATAATTTTTTTGGTTTTTTTTTCCTTGAATATAATGAATTTTTATTCTGATAGTTGAGAAGAAAACACAATCCTGATTTATAATTTAGAAAAAATAATACAACAAGTAAACAACACGTAAATTTCGAGATAACAATTTAAAAAATAATTTATCGGTTTTTCTTTGTTTCGGTTTTCGGTTTGATTGTGACTTCCAACTTTTTCTGTCCTGCAAATAATGAGAACAATGAAGAGAAGAAACGTTGAATGAAATAAATTGGAAGAAGAACAATCAGAAGACAAATGTAGAAGTCTTGTCGTTTCCAAATTGGAGTATAATTTGGTTGAAAATATGCAAATGAATGATGTCTTCCAATATGATCAATTGTATGAAGTGCACCAGCAAATGGCGAAGTTTGACGAGATTTGAATTCCTTCGACATTGCTTTTGCTGTGGTTTTGTATTTTGGTGTTTCCAAAACTTTTTTGATAGTTTCAGTCAATGTCTTTTCTGTGAGCTCAGTTTTATCAACAACCAATCCAAGTCCCTTATTCACAACTTTTTGTAAATTGAATCGATTACTTCCATATAATGGAATACCAACAATTGGAACACCATTTGCAACAGATTCCATAACTGATGCCATTCCACCATTTGTGATAAGAAGTCGACAAGCTTGATGAGCAAGAAGATCGTTTTGAGGAATAAATGTTGTTAGGTTGATGTGTTTTGGAATTTTTTCAATATCAATGCCATCCAATTTCATGTTTGGTCCGATTCTCCAATAAATTCGATATTTTGTCAATTTTGACAATGTGTTCAAAATAGTCTTTGCTTGGAATTTCGACATCTTTGAATGTTCAGCTTGTGTTCCCAATGAAACAATAATCATTCCCGATTCCGCAGCAGCAATTGTAGTGTTCCATGGCTAAAATAAATCGATTTTTAGTTTTTGTTTTCAGAGAAAAAATCTTACAGCAAAAAGTGGTTTTGGATGATCAATATGCATTCCACCAACATGGATAACATTTGGAGGTACAGATCGGCTTGGCTCGAGAAGTGGATCGGAATTGACGAAGAAGGCAACACTTTGTTGTTTGAGAGTATTGACATTTGGGAAGTTCTTGATTCTGAAAATTTAGGCATTGAGAGTTTTCAAAACTGTGGAAAATTACCTCTTTTTGATGGTGTAATCTTCTGCGAAAAGTCTGGTAATTGGTTCGTCTATTCCTCGGAATCTCTTGGAGACTAAAGAACTCAAATATGGAATTGCAGATTGAGCAATCATCTCTTGAAGATAGCAAATCGAGTTACGATAAATATTGCAGATTTGACAATCTTTTGATTCGGCAATAGCACAACTTGATGGAGAAACTTGAACATCTACAGGAGTTCCAGATGCAATCAAAGTCTCATCACTGAATCCTTCACTATCAAAATAAATTGTTGGAACTGCAACCAAATGAGTCAATGCAGTCAAACATGGATTTCCAGAGTATACAACAGCAACATCGAGTGACTCTTTTTTCAAAGAATCAACAAGATTTGAGTTGAGCATTTTCAAGCAACTCGCATTATGTGCTTTGTAGTATGGCTCTAAATATGAGTCATAGTCATATTCATTGCTCCAAGCAATATCCGGAACAGCTCTTTCTAGGGGTTGATAAAGTTCTCTGAAAAATTACGATTATTGTTTGTTTTCAAATATTTTTCTCACTTTGGTAAAACATTTTTAATGACTTTTTCTCTCACTAAATGAAGTTTTGGCTTTACTAAACGAGGTTCTTCGGGAATCAAGACAGGTTTAATTGTGATAACATTATGATGTCTTAAAGCCAATTGTTGTGCGAGAAACTCCAAACTATTTCGCTCAAATTGATTAGTTCCCAATAAGAATACTAGAATATTGAGGCAATTTGCAAAGTTAAAAATAGTTAATAGGAGAATAAGATGTATCCGCATAATTGGTTAGATGAGGAATAAGAGAAGGAAATGATCCGATATTGATGAGAAGAAATAGGAAATAAGAAATAAGGAAAAAAGTAAGAGGTGTGTCCTGGCACGGAGGGAGCAAACAAATATAGAATATATATCGACGTGGCCTAAACTCACACTGTTTGGGTCAACTCTACTATTCAAACAGATTTACTTTACTCTTTCAAGTTTTCTTTTTCTTCTCATTCGGCTTGGGCATTGTTTATTTAGCCAGGTTAATCAACATATAAATGGCAATTGGGTATTAACTAATTAATGAAGAAGCGATTTGAATCTGGATAAAAACATGCACTTTTTATTAACAACAAAAATATACACAACTGAAAAAAAACACAATATTGTGCTGAAATACATGTCCATTAGTTTGCGGAACCTCTGAAGTGTTGTAGATTAACAAAGGATTTAGGTTCTGAAACTAACTTTAGATGAAACATAGTAATTAGATCATGCTGAAAACGATCCCGAAGTCAAAAATTTCCATAACCTTGATTTTTGAGCTCCAAACTTTTCATTTTGTGCATATTTTCCGAATTTTTGTGTTTTTTTGGTGGTTAAGTTACGCCAATATATATTTTTTTCAATTTCTTTTATTTTCTAAAAATATCTTTATGACATAGTTTATAGACAAAAATAGCACCTTGAAAGGTCTGAACTTTAGACTAATCTTTCATTGATGTGACAGATTATCTTTTTGAAATCGAAAAAACATTTTTTTACTCTACGAATCAATCAGCCCAAAACCAAAAAATTGTTTATTGAAACATAATAAACTCGGCCAACAAGATCTGAAATTTTATCTGGAAAAACAACACGTTTTTTTGAAATAAGATTCCAGGGTAGATAATGCTGTTCTCAATGATAAAATGATCAATTTGGTTGACCTCAAAGCTTTTTCTGCAGATCTGGAACATTCGGAATAATAAAAAACATTTGAAATTGATGATTAATAAATTGCACAAATTGGATTTTGCAAATGATAACAAAATTTTAATCCCTTTTAAATCTCTTAATTTTGATTTCAGTTCATCTTCAAATAAACAACTCGACTCTTAAAAACACTCTTTATTTTTCGAATTTTCGCAGGTTCAAAATAAGTCAACCGAAAAATAACACATTTAATCCCGATAAGGGATTAGATACTTCCAGGATGTTACGTTAAGAAGCTGTGACGAAAAAAAGAAAAAAAAATGAATAGATAGATACTATAAGAGAAACCCGTTAATAGAAATTAGCGTAAAACGCTAAAAATAGATTGTCACATGACTTATGCAGGTGTTTCTATGCTTCAGAATGGAGTTTCGAAAAACTGGTAGGAATTTTGAATACAAAATAATTTCGGGTACCGAAATACACCACTTTCTAATTACATTCTCATCCTTGATGCTGGAAAATTGAGAAAAATGTTGGAAAAGTTTGAAGTCACTAATTAAAATAATTAAAATATGTGTTAATTTCGAAAATTACGTCATTCTTTGATAGAATTGTGACCTCGTAAGTTCTAAATTTGAATTATGTTTGGAGTCCACCCTCTTCTTGAGGAATTCTTGTAACTTCAAGAAAAAAAATCAAATTTCTCAAGAATATCAATTTTCCTATAAGCCCCTTTCAAATTTCATGTTTGTGCTGGACCTGAAAATATCATAGAAATCAAAAAGAATAACAAATTCAGAATCATTTATTTTTATTATATCATTTATTCGGTATTTATGAGTTGAAGTTTTTTGGCGGAAAAAATCTACGGAAATGATTGAAAAACAGAACAGAAGGGAAGAGGACAGAAGAAAAAGACGATTGTTGAAGATGATTCATAAATATCTAAACTTTCTTCCACCAGTTCCACATAATTTCCAACGGCAACGCTTTGTTCTGAGTGGCTCTGAAAATGGAACAATAGCATTAATAATGAAATCAGATAATAAAACTTATTTGGGAGAAATTAATAAGATTAGAACTAATTTGTAACTGATGAAAAATAGAAAAATAAATACCTGATAATCTTTCTAAATCCTGAAGCTGGGCATGAGATGATTTTTCGAGAATATCTCGAAGTAGTTGTTCGCCGTGTTTCAATTCATTTTCTAAATATAACCGATTCAAGCTCGAAACATCTCCACCCTCATCTTCATTTTGATAGGAGAGAAGGGCAGCCTGGAACAAAAAATTATTTATTATGATTATTGACAAATTTTAAAAAATAAACAAACCTGAGCAAGAGCTGTTAAAACGAATACCACCAAAACTGAACAAAATCGGAGCAACATTTGTATATTTTGGTCAAGTGACGATAATGAGAAGAGAAGGTGTTTTTAGGATGAAAATATGAATGTATATATCCACTTGAGGTCAACCAACGAAGCTAATTTGGTCGAAATCTGCAAAATGACGTGTGTATTTTTCTCGCTCGTCCTTTATAACAAGGAATTATAACGAATAATTGAAATAAAAGTGAACTGAATTTGAAACATGATTCAGTCCGCACGTGTGAAAAAAGAAAACAAGAGAAAAAAAATGAGAATGAAGAATAATCTGTTTTTGACATTCTTTAAATGTTTCATAGTCCAATGACAAGAATGTAATTTTTTCAGAGAAAAAATATCTGTGGGCGGAGTTTGGAAACTTTTGCCAAAAATTCTTCTTGGAATTTTTTGTCTTATTCTTTGGGATATTGAGAGATGAGAAGTGATGTTATAAAGATGACAAAGCATTTTGGAAATTATTAATCAGAGAAATGGTTTTCTAGTGATCATGAGAGGATTGAGGATGAGAAAAATGCATTTGAATGAACACAGACAAAAATTTTGTTTGAATTGAATCAAGGTTACTGTAAAAAGAGTTCTGAATCTTTTTTTTTTGGAAATGATTTGCGAAAGGTTACCAAAAGATTTTCTAAAAGTTTTATGGTGCACAATCCACAAAAAAACCTTATGATCATTTCAAAAAGTAAAGACTGGGGGAAAATAACAAACATTCCTATTTTGTTGCTATTATTTTTTCTATATCAAAATAGTAGTATCAGATTTTTAGTAAAGACGATTTATACAAGATCTGATTAGGTAGCTTTTCAATTTCTAACCAGATTCTGAAATAGCCTTAGCTGAGCTAAATTGAGCTAACCTTTAAGTCTATCCTGCTTTTTAATCAAATCGGATATACGTTTTTTGAAATAGCTCAGTGACTTTTAAATTCCACCTTGCCGATTTTTGGTTTATCTACATTATAGTAAAAAATGTAATTATATTTTATAATCTTCTTTTTTTCCAAACAAAATTTCACGAAAAAAAAACAATTTCAAAATAGTTCAACAGTGTGGATGTACATATCTTCGAAGTACATTTTGTCAAAATTTTTCACAAAAACCCTTTGAAAAATGACATCATCTGAGCTCTCCTATTCCCCAATCAATAATCTCACGTAAAATGAATAAAATAGAAAAAAAATATTCCGAAAATTGAACGAACGGGGAAAAACAACTGAAATGAGAAAAAAAACGAAATCAAAAAATAATGAGAAGAATTGATGAGAGAAAAAGAAAAATTGACCATTTAAATAAGCTTTTTTGTTACACAAAGACCGTTTTTTCTTGATTTTTTGAAAAAAAAATCAACTTGTAAAATGAATGTGTACGTGATGTACGTTTCAATTTGTGATTATTTGAACCAAAAATCATAACAAAAGAAGCCTTGGTATTTTCAAAAAGTGTTTTGAACTTTGATGTTTTTTTTTGGTATTAGCTGATTAATTTGTTTATCTCGAAGAAAATCGCAAAAAATATGTTTGCAGCGGATAAAAATACATTTGATTTTGCACATTATCAGACAAAAAGCACATGAGGAGGGTGACTAGAATAAACGCAACATTTTTCTGGAAATACTTATATGAATAGAAGAATTATGTAGGTTGGCTAGAAAAGTTTATTTCTTTGGTTAATGCTGACTAATCTGGAAAAACCTGGAAAAATCTGGAAAAATTCAAACGGAAATTGAAATCGGAAGTTCAACAGTCAATCATAATTGCTACGTCAAATCAGAAAAAAAATCAGAAATTCCCAGATTCAAATTAACTAACTATATATGTTTTTGCACTAACTAAATATGTAAAATATACATAAATATTTTCTCACAATGCGGAAGAAAGTGAGGTTCGTTAAGAAAGCGACCGGAAATCTTTATTTTCCAACAAAAAAAAACATAATAATAAAAGGTGCAATATTTGCGGGGTTTGTTATTTCAAAAGTTAATTAATAAGATATGGGAAGCTAGAAAAATGACGTTGATCAAATTTTTGACATATCCATTTGAAAGGAATAGAACAACAAAAACAAGTCAGTTTTTGAGCCTAACATTCATCTAGATTTAGAGAATTATTTTCTTTTTCTACGTATTTTGCGACGTATATCATTCATAATTTTTTAATTCATGTATGTGTATTTTTAGAATGAGTTTTTTTTATTTATAAGTTTATGTACTAATAAAAGTTTATGAATTTTTCCAGGGAAACAATTCCAAAATATGTTTTCGAGTTTTGCAGTCTTAAAATAGATATTTTTAGTTTTGATAAACATACAGTGAACGAATGCACTTGTGAAAACAAAAAGTGAAAAACCAAACAACTAGAAATATTTTTTCTGATTTGAAAAAAAAACTAAGGTCACGCAATAATACTAATTTTTGGATATGATGGCAAAAAAATGTGACTGGATCCAGAAACAGCATCATTATTTTTTTTATTACAATCCGTGATCGTTTAGGTTAGAAACAAGCTTTAAATTTAACATAAAAGTTTTCATAAAAAGTAAACATATAAGTTCAAGATACGGTATGTTGTGAATTTTGAACTATTGAGTTCAAAAAATATTGAAAAAGTTAATGTAATTTTTGAAAGTTGATTTGATTTCAACTAAAAAGGTAACTTTAGTGATATGATTAATTTTGAGCTATTTGAAAATTCAATTTTCTTGGAATAATAAATTTATTTTTGAACTACAACATGATCTCTGCGCACTTTCCAAAAAAATTCAAAGTTCACAGAAACAAATGACGTAACTCTATTCAAATTTTGTCTAATAACAAAAATCTGTTTGATAAAATTGCATAGACAATCAAATGAATGTGTTCCAAAATCCAATAAGTAGGCTAATAACTTCTGGAAAAACTTTGGAAAACAAAAAAGTGACGTTTGACGTCAAATTGTGCAGGCTTTTTTCGCAATTGGCGTGTTTTATTAGCTCTTTTTTCAAAGAGAGATAATTAGAAATGGTTTGGGACCAGTTTTCATAAACACTTCCTCTTTTTTTCGCATTCAATAACCAAACATGCGATGAGTTCAATTCTAAAAATTTAATTTTTGTTTCATAAAGAAAATAATTGAAATTTTCTAGGTTCATCATTATTATGAAATACAGTCAGAATTGTGGCAAAAATTCAAGAAATCATGCAAAAAAATGTGGTAGCAAATGAAAAGAAAATCAGACAATTGGGTTCTCAATAATAAATCAAAAATTTGTATTGCGAAAATACAAAAATCCACAGAGATTTCCAAATTTTTTCTTTGTTTTCAATAGAAAGTTGGTCTAGACTTTAATGAAAACGTCATTTGCATTTAAGTTCAAAAAAAATATAGGGAAAGTATATTTTTAAAGAAAAATTTTGTAGATTATGAGTGATTCATTGAAAAATACAAAACAAAATTGTTGTTCGGTTTGCAAAAAGATAAATTAAGATTCAATATATCTATGAGAAGATCTGGAAAAAAACTTTCCTTCGCTTAAATCGAAAATTGAACTACAAACGAAAAGAGAATTGAAAACAATAGTAATTTTATGACTTTGTGCAAGAAAAAATAAATTTTTAATGAAAATAGGAAATACTGAAAAATAGTACGATTTTCCAAGTCTCAAGGAATGAAAGGTTCTTCTACTCCTCCGATGAGAATTGAGGAGAAACTGGGCGAAATTCGTGAAATAAACCTATTTCTTCTCTAATTCCTGGGAGAAACTCATCAATCGCCTAATCACAACGACTGGAAAGCAAAAAAATCAAATCGATTTTTGAAAATTTATAGATTACTAGGAAATATTTATCAAAAATTGATTGTTTCATTATTAAAAATTGAAATTTCACTTGATAAATTTGAAAAACAAAATTTTTTGTGTTGAAAATCATGAAATGAAAGAAGAGCATCGGATCCAATGATTACGATACTGTAGTGGAATAACATTTCTAGACAACATATTATTTCAAAGAATAATCAAAAGGCAAAAGTGAATATTGAAAAAAAGAAAATTAAAACTCAAAAAAAACCAACACATTATATTCATAAATAAATTCTCAAGAATCGCGTGGGTTTCTCCCCAAGAAACACAAAAAAAACCTGACGAAGTGTAGACATACATAGACATTTTAACTGACATATCATTCATATTTAGTGGAACGCCCTCACATAAAGTTGTCCTTTCATGAAATTTGAAAAAAAATGAATAAATTATGGATAATTGCAATTTTATTTTTATTTTTCTTTATATACATATGTAAACTAAAACTAATGACAAAAATAAGGAAAAAACCGGGACAGGGGGATATAAAAAGAAAAAGCGTGATAAAATCTACAGGGTGATCTGTCAGAATTAAATTATTTAAATTAAGTTTGGAAAAAATAAAAATCTGTAAAATATTCGAGAAAAAAGTTTAGTATTTGGATTTAACTTCGACGATTCCATTCATTGTTGGTGAAGATGGTCGAACATGTTCAGGCTGAAAAAATTTCCCTAGTTATCAGGAAGTGATTCGAATCATATAGCCTATAAAAGTATGCGTGTTCCGGGAACACTTTAATCTGCTTTGGATGAAATCTTATTTCACCTTTCAAAAACTGACAATACATCACTTTTTGATTTGATAGAGCAAAAGTATCAGCTCAAGAGTTTAATAAAATCAATTTTGTGTTTTTCAATCATTATTTGAATTTGTTTCTACTTTTAATTCGAAAAAAATTCATTTGTATTGCTTGGTTATCTTAAAAATGTTCAAAGTAAAAAATATAACAAAAAATGCGAAAATATATCGTCTCGGTCTAGCTGTCTGCGTCTCTCGAATATACACACCATTTCTCTGTTTCGTGTCTGCGTCTCTCGAATATACACACTGTTTCTCTGTTCTGTATTTTGAATATAAGGCGAGCTTTGGACGATATATTCTCGCATTTTTGCTATATTTTTTACTTTGGACATCGCATATGGCTTGATTTCTGATTGCCCCTTGCCTTTTTTAGATAATTTTGAATTTTCATCAGCTCCCTCTTATTTTTGAAAATCTTATCTAGTCGATTATTGGTTTCATTGAAAAATACTCGAAAAAAATATCAGACTACAAAACGCATCCAATTTTTCTTATTATATTTTTCCTCTTTTTGTGTTTTCCCAAATTTCTCACATTATTATTATTCCAAAAATTGTTGGCAACAACATCGGCAGCCAAATATGGTGTCCAAACTTTTGATATTTCTTGTGGTTTTTCATCATCGGTTTCTGCAAAAAAAACAAACATACAATAATCCTTGTTTTTCAGTTGGTTTTTTGCTTTCTGGTAGAGAAAAAATGAGGATGATTTAGCGGTTTTGGGTAGCTAACATTTTTTTTCTGTTCGTTTTTTTGTGCATGTTGAAAACGTGCTAGCATAGAATAGAATAGAAGAATAGCATAGGAAAGCAAAAAAAAGAAAAGAAATTGATAAATTTTGTATAATTCATCATGAAAACGTAAAAACGCATGAATTTATGATATTATTTTTTGTTGTGAATTTGTGATATTTATGCGTGCTGTTCATTTTCTAATTTTTCTCATAAAGAAAATGTTTTCCAGACATGACTACTGTGATCAAAAATTTGCATTAGCGAAATAGGGTGTACGTGATTTCTAGGCGATCTAGAACTTAAAAATGTCGAATTTCTAGTAACTTGATAATATTACAATGAGTTTTGAAAACTATTTTTGTATTTTCAAAGCTTCTCAGAATGCTATATTTCAAATCTACTGAAAAAAATGCGCGGAACTTTTGCGCAGCAGGGATTTTGAATAACAAAACTTTTCGTTTTATCCTTTTGAAAAAAACCAGCAATAATTCTAGCACGCGAACCTCAGTTTCAATGCTGTAACGTAATTCTAACCTTTTTCAAAACACGAAGTTCGCTGTTTGCGCGCAGTCATTGGCCGCGAATTTCTTCCCGAAGAAATAGTAATAATTCTCAATTTTTTGTCATCTTCTTCAGTTGTTGTACTTCCGTAGTCAGATTCAGGCTCACTTTTAATATCTCCGTTGTTGTTTTTCTGAAAAAACCATGATTTTTCTTTCGAAAAAAAGTAGAATTAATTGTTTCCGAAATTGAATTTCTATGTTTTACGATAATCCAATTTGGTTTTTGATATTGTAAAAAAACCTAGCTATACATATATTTCTATTGAAAATTATACGTATTCGTTTGAAAAAATTGGTTCGTTAGCATACTTCTCACATTTTGTGGTTTTTTCTTTTTTCCGTTTTTTTCGGAGAGAGTAAAAAAACATAAAATATAACATTCCCGCAGTTACTTTTAGCCATATGTTTCAAAAATTCATATTTTTCCGAATATTTTTTTGTCTTCGTCTTGAAACAGAAACAGAAACAGAAATCGAAAAAAATGCTGAAGCAATGATGAATTGTTTTCGGAAAACATACACTTTTTTCTGTCACTTATGTATATGATTTATAACTGTCTTTTTTTTCGAAAACCTATAATTTCAATTACAAGCACACCCATTTTTCTCGCTCAAAACAAAGAAAAAAAAATAAAAAGAGCAAACCTTGTTGTTCTTATTTTCATCACTATTTTCATTTTCGTGACTAATTTCCGATGTTTCCTTCGGTTGCTCATTCTCCTTTCTTCTCATTTTCTTTTTTTTGTCCATTATACTTGTTGTTTTGGTGTTGGTATTGGTGTTAGTGTTAGCAGCTTCTGCTGCTGCTACTGCGGTTGTATCATTCATCGGTCCTATTTTGACAGGAAAAATAGTCGAACGTTTTTTGTTTTTCGATGAAGAAGAAGCAGAAGCAGAAGATGTTTTCTCTTGATTGTTGTCTGTGTCGGTTGATGAAGTTGTTGGAGTGGAAGTTGACGCATTTTCAGCAGATTTTTTGAAATTGTGCCTCATGTTTGATATTGCTTCGACTATTGCTTCACGCTCCTCTTTTAGTCGTTTTTCCAATTGAGCTTCCGATAAAGTTCGGAAAGATCTTTTGTATTTTGCTGAAAATTTAAAAAAATTGAAGAGTTCGGCTTTTTTTTTTTTAGTTTTCTTCATTCGAAATATTTTTATGGGGAATTGCGCTCAAATATTACTTTTATCTGATGGAACTAAAAACGCGAAAAAAAAAAATTTCTCGCGATTTTTTGATCTCAAAGAATTTTGGGAAAAGTATTCGATCTACGCTCAAAACTCACATCAGTTTTTTGTGTAACTCTAGAAAATTCAAAATTATTGATAAATCTGCTTTTTCCGGATTCATTATGTTCTTTTTTTGCTGAATTTGCAGAAAAATCCCGATTCCGCCTCGAGAATCTGACCTCTTCTTTCATTCCTAGCCCACGTTTTGTTGTGTTTTGACTTTTGCGTCAGCCAAAATTTTCTTTTTGTTTTTTATGTTTCAAATTTGTATTTTTCAAATTCAGTCAAGCATGAGTTTTTTTTTCATTTCCAAAGGGTTGCTGGGAAACTATTTTTCTTCTTCTTCTACATAAATTTCAGTTTGGCACATTTTGAGAAAATTTTGTACATTTTTATTTTCATTTAGTAACAAAAAAGAACATTGATGTTTCGAACTTTCCCATAAATCCTACGAAACCCATTCAAAATGTCTTTTTTCCCAATTATTTGAATGTTTTTCCATTTTTTCGCTTCTCGATAAAAATCTGAATGTGAATGAATGAATCAGTTTTAGAAAAAAAAATACATATGTAGAATATGTATATGTAAATGAAAAATCTGAAAAATAATAGAGTTTTTTTTTGTTTTTTTTTGGTCTTCAATACCCTTGAGAAATCTGCTTTTTGCTTATTTTTTAGCGTTGTTCCAAAGTTCTAGAAATGTATTTTTTCTGGGCTGTGAGGTTTTTCTTTGCAGACATAAATGTACATTAAAAAATCTTACCAATTAGTTTAGTTAATTAAACGACCGGCAATCTTGATTTTCTCTTTGCTCTTTTCTTTCCTTTTTCACTCTTTTTTTCACCGAAAATAAAAGAAAATAATAAAAAATTAAGAATGCATTAAAACTCCATTTCATGACCATCTTTTGGTAAAAATGCATATCCCTCAATATTTTTTTTGGTCAAATAAGACTAATCATAAAAACTGGAATATTTTTTTATACTTATATATATATATATATGCTTTTGCCTCAAGTGTTTTATTCAAGTATTTGTAATATTTTCTGGACTCTCCATCCTGGACCAACAAAAACCGAGAGAAAATAAATAATTTTGTGTCTGGTGTTTTTTTTTCCATCATCAAAAACATTTAGTTTATTTTTGCTCCCCACATTTTCTCATTAGATATTGAGGATTAGTGATGGACATGGTTGGTCAGTTTTACTAAAAAAATGAGAGAGCTAGAATGAGTTGAGAAGAACATGAAATGAAAATTAATTTTATATACATTTCACTATTTTTTGGGGGGAGAAATTAAGCTTTTCTAAACATTTTTCAATTTATATACATTTCTCTTTTATAGTTGAAAAGGAAGAGGAAACTGAAAAATATTTCATCTTTTTAAAATTTTTGGGCAAAACAATTTTTTTTTCTTCAAATTATTAATTTGTTTAGCTAGAGGGATCAATTTTTGGAATTTGAAATTTTTTAAATATGAAACAAATTGAAATTTGGATTATTCAAACTAGGAAAATACAAAGCTTGACAATTTTTTTAATATAAAAAATTACTTTAAACGTTTAGAGATTTTCGGGGATCCAAAATTTTTGATTTTGAAGAATCACAAGATTTATTTAAAAAGTTTCCGGAAAAGTTTTATTCAAAAAATTTCACTATTTCGAAGAACCTAAACATTCCCCAATATTCTCTTATAATTGCAGTGAATCATTCAAACTAGAACCAAAAGTGCAAAATTCTTGAACGCTGTTTATCCTTCAGTTTTCCTTCCTTATTTCAATTATTAATGAGTTGTTATTTCTTTTTCTTCTCGACTTGAGCACTTCTAACTTTCGAAATAATGGCAATTAGAAATGCACTTACTTACTAGTCTTCTTAGAAACGACCTCTCTCACTTTTTTTATATACTTCCCAGATTTTTTAATAAATGCTTTCATGTCTAATTATTTTTCTTTCATTTCATTTTTAGTCTATCTATCTATCCATCCTTGTTCCGTTTGGTTTTTGAAAAAAATCGTGGATCGACATGCAAAAAAATGTCGTTTTTTCGCGTTCTTTTCTTTGAGCCAATTACGGTTGTTGTGCTTAGTAGTCATTTTTCAAAGTGCACAACAAATAAAAAATGAGATGAAAAAGCAGGAGCAGGGGATACGACAAAAAAATCCTGCTCAACACTAAAAAATCACGAAAAATTCACACACTTATTCCAAAGTCTTCTTACTTTCCTCTCTGAAAAGTTTTCGGGGGGCGCTCTCAAGTTTTTTGACTCTATTTAGAAATTGTTATTTATTTTTCATTTTTTTTTCTAGTTACTCATTTTTTGCTTGACGTATATCTTCTATCCCGGAGAAAAAATCGTCAAAACATTTAAAAGATTCATCATATTTTTCTCATTTTTTCAAGCACAAAATATTTCTCAATTAAAATTCCACAAAATAAAAATTCATAAAAAACCGATTGAAACATCTACTTCTTTTTTTTCTGATTTGATCAATAAACTTTTCTTTAACAAAAATATATAAATTTGAATTTACTGTGTTTTCCTCTCTTTCTCTCACCACTTTTCACACTCTCTCATTTTCTCTGCATCTCTAATCCAACACTGTTTTATTTTCTAATTTTTATTTTTTTTTCTCTTCGAAGTGTAGGTTAGGATTTTTTTTGTAAATTTCATGTTTCAAAAATTTCTCGATAAAAAATGTGTATTTTTTTTTGAAAATTCTCTTGACCTCTAAAAAAACTTACGTTGTTTTTTATTGTTTTCAGAAGAATCAGCTTTCGAAGATCCAGGATCAACCCACGGCTCACCTAATGGATGATCGTAGATTCTGCAAACATTAGATTGCTCACTTTATGGAATTTTGGCTGCATCACGATCGTCATTATCGCATTCGCAATCAACCGAAACGAACAACTGCGGTTAGTTCATTTTTTGGAATTTGAATTTGAAAAATTAGAGCAATTTTTGAATTAAAGAAAAACTTAGTGAAAGAAGAATTGAATCGATAGTAGGTTTACGATACATTAGGTTACAAATTTAATTTTGATCGTCGTAAAACTTTTAGAGTTCTGAAATGACAGTGACACCGTTTCAGATGATTGGTTAAAGGGTGCATGATATTTTTGTTGTGTGATTTCAGGCATTTTACAGAAGGTCACTAAAAAGTTTGGAATTTGGAAAACCTTAAAGGACTAACTGCAATCTCTACGGCTTTTGGGTTTTTTTTTGTATATCACAAGCTCCTTTTTTTCAAACTGTATGATTTCTACTTTCAACTTCCCTTCAAATTCCTTCTAGACTTTGTGAATTAGTGACATCATATAAAATAAATGTTTACTACATCTAAAAAAAAACTCACCCTCTTGCCCATGGTGGACTTGGATTAATTATAATTCCCTTCTTCATTTGAGCTCTTTGAGCTGGTGTCAAATAATCACCATCAGCATTTCGTTTACTTGCACCGCATGTATTGAAATAAATGAACAAAATCAACCAGCCAATTAAAAATACAATTACACCAATTCCCAAAATACCAGCAAGGAACCACCATCGAAAACCGCTGTTGTTTTCGATGTCACGATTTGCTGCAAACAAAAACGTGTACACAGTTTTTTCCAAAAATTTCAAAGTTTTATTTAAAAATTATTATTAGAGATAGATTAATGAGATAACATTTATTCATATCCCTATAGTTCAAACTCTTTTTTTTCCTACTCTCTTCAAATAATTTCCGGGTTTTGTTCCAATTTTGTTTTCAAACTCACAAATAACTCGATTGATTGGATAATGAAGAGTGGCTGAAATTTGTGTGGCACTCAATTGATTCAAATCATCCGCAATAACTTCTCCAGCTATCGGTTTACCAGTACTTGAATATGTGATAAAATGCAGATATGTTACATCATCAGCTACACGTTTTTTGATGATCTGCAATAATATATTTTGCTTTGAGTAGTAACAATTATTCATTTCATCCACCCCGGTTATTTTTCTTGAACATATATTTATTTATTTTCCGTGCGTGCTAGCAAGCTTGAAAAAAACATAAAAGTAATATTTTTCGAACTCTTCCTCTTTTTTTTAAGAACCCAAGAAAATACTTCTCGGAACTACTAAAATGCCTATTTTAACTTTGCTCTCTCATTTTTTTTGCTCAGCCGTTCCGTTTTGAATCATACTTTTTGTTGATGATGAAGGTTTGAGTGGAAAATATTGTTTTTTTTCTCTTGGAGTTGAAATTCAGAATTTAGGTTTTTGTAGATAGCCTGATTCAATAGAGATAAGTTTTGAAATCTTATTTTTTTGAGATTTTTCGAGAGTTTTCTTAAATTCTAAATAGCTTTTGAAAATTTCTGAATTTCGTCGAATAAAAAAATTCGAATTTTTGAACTTCTAGTTCAAAAAACCGTGATATCCAGAAAATCTTTAAAAAACAGACTTTTCAAAATCTTTGTAAGGTTTCGAAAATCCTCTAAACGATCTCTAAATGTCATTGGATAACATTTGATCTTGTGATTTTTGAGATATCGGAAAGTTTTTGGAGCTTAACAAAGCAAACTGGGAATTTAGTACTATCATAAATATTTACGAATTGTAATGAAATTTTGATTCGAAAATCTTGAGTCACTATAAATTTTCCAAATTAAATCCAACTATATTACCACCCATAAATTCTCAAAAAAACCAATTTCCAATTTTCTCAAAAATGTTCTAGACAAACATTTCATATTATTTTCCGTGCTACCTAATTAATCTTATTCGTTCCTTTTTGTTCGCGTTCACCGCAAAAATCTAATCAATTTTAAATGAGACTTTGTGACCTTTTCTAATAAAAAACAATATGAAAAGGTTTTCAGGAAATTAGAATTCTGTTTTTTTTTTGTCACCCTAAAGAAAATGGGCCTCCCATGTATATATCCGTTCCATTTCCGATGAACTTTTTTTTCGACTAGCTGGGAGGCGACCGGAAATTATTTTTTGTCAAGCATTTGTTTTGGTTTGGTATCCTATTATTAAAATTATACATATTTTTTAACGAACGTTGATTTTCGAAAAAAAAAAAAAAATAAATTTTGTTCGAGATGGTAAAAAAACGGAAATTACTATTCTCGGAACAAAAATTAATCTTGAACCATCAAGAATTGAGAAAAAACACGTATCGGAAATGAGTGCGAATTGAAAATCGTGTGTCTTCTTTTTTTGTGGTGCTAGATATTTCGTATTTCTCGTCTTATTCTTTTTTTCTTCTTCTCCACCACCACCATTTCCGGATTCTGATTCAGCTTTTCTTTTTCCTTCTTCGCCTTCTTCTTCTTCTTCCAAAAAATTTCGTACACCAATGGAGGAATTCACTCTCTTTTCTCTTCATCTTTTACTTCTTTCTTTTTTTCTTCTTCTATCCAAGAAGACCAAAACGGGAGGAAAAAAGACATCATGACTACTGAGTGAGACCGAGACATGTATGTAACTCCAAGACATCGATTAAAAAAGCTGCTGCTTTTTTCCAATTTTTTTGTGTGTGTGTGTGTGTGAGTGTGTGTGTGTGCTGCTTATTCAGTTTTTTTGGTGTATTTGGTGGTGGGAGGCTTTTGAGTGTATTAGTGAAGAAAAGCGATTATTTAGTTTTTGATATTTTTCGCCTCCATTTTTCTTCTTTCTCTTGTTTGTTATTTTTTGTCGCCTTTGAGAATAGAGAAGTAGGAAAAAGTGCCGCTGGCTCTTTTTTTTGCAACGTGGGTGGTTTCTCATTATTAATTAATTAAGTGCTCGTTCAGAAATATGTCATTTTTTCATATTCTTTGAGGAAATATGGATATGGGTAAGGCTGAAGGTGGAGAAAATGTTTAGAGAGGATTTTTATGATTCTAAAAATTTTGAAACAATTCCAATTTTTGAGAAAAGACTCAAACAAATTTTCTATAATTTTTCAAAGTTGTTGTTCTTTTTTTTTTTCAAATGGAAAAACTCCAGAAATACGATTTTTTAATTTTTACAGAAAATTGTTTTTATCACTTGATTTTTCAAAATGTTGTTTCTGAATATTTTCAAATTTTTTTTTTACTATTTTTCAAAATAAACTATAAATTCTCGATTTTTCACAAAACATTTGGCTTTCAAAAGTTTTTTTTTAAAGTTCTCCAAAAAAACCAAAAAACATTTTTCTCAATTTTTGTGTAGTCGTGTAAAAAAATTTGATGATGAAAAAAACGTGAATAGAAAATGAGATGCACTTCATCCAAAAAAAACATGTTTCTTCTCCCAATTCTCTAAACATTTTACACCCTCTTTCTCCCTCCCTCCATCCATAAAAAAGTTCATTCATGTTTCAAGTATCTCAATTTCACAACAAGCAACAACATGGTGGTCCAAAATGGTGTGTAGCTTTTGGGGTGGATAACATTCTTTCTCCTCTTTTTCTCCTCCACCACCACCAACAAAAAAAAAGTTTCGTCACTTTTCGGACCCAAAATGTATATACATTTTTTTCTCAACACAACCAAATTTCATTTTCTTTGGGTTCATTTTCGTGGCATTATATGTATATTTCCTAGGTTTTTTTTCCGAATTTTTGTAGTTGAAAAAGTTTTTTTTCTTAATTTTCTTATCTTGAGGAAGTTGAAAAACAGAGAACTCTTGAGTTTAATTAAAGACAACGAATGAATGAAGAAGTAGATGAGGAAATTGAGTTCGACTTTCTTTTTTTGTGTGTCTTTTGGATGTTTCCAACCAATTTAGAAATGTATGCAAACGTTTTTTGTAGAATGAATTCTGTGTTTTTTCGAGTTTTTCACATTTCTTTCAAATATACAGTCAATTAATGAACCTAAATTTACTCATTTTTTTCAAAATTTGGAGCTGACAGGCTCATTTCGAAAAATGTTTTGCTTTTTATTTTTCCTTATTCTAAAACATCACTCCCCCGAATCCCAATGGGACCTTTCTGATTGTTTTATTGCAAAATGTTGCTCTTTTCAAGATATCCGCCAGCCTAGTCAAAAAACCTTGTTCTTCTAAAAATGAGCAAAATAACCGGCAAAAACATGAAAACAAAACAAACAACACATTGTGGAATCTATTCGATTCCAATTTTCAAATGGCTCTTTCTCGTTCTTTTTTCGTTTCTTTTTTCTTTTTTAGCCCCAACCAAGTTTTAGTCTTTTTTCTTTTGTTTTTAGAAGTCGTAAACGACTATTTTTTTAATATTTTTAACAACATTATCATTTTTTCAAAAAAAAAAAGACTAACCTTTGTTCGATAATCAGAATTTGGCATATCAAAATCTTTTGGCAAGTTTTCTTTGCGATGTTTGTAGTTTGCTAGCATAAATGAGGATTGCACTAATTTATTCAATCTTTCTTCTATTTCGACTAGCGGCTCTTCTATTTTTGTTACTTTTAGTTCTGCAATTATTATTTTTAGATTTTCCTAGATAAAAATAATGAGAAAAAGCTCACCTAGCTGAACTTGAAAAGCATATGAAAAATTTTCTTCTGTTTCATTCAATGTTTGATTTTTCTCGAAGGTCGCGTCTGAAAATTTCAATTTTTTGTGATTTTTTCCCTTTTTTTCTGAAAATTTTGAATTTAATTTGTTATAGGAGTGATTTTTGAAAAAATTTTCTCTGGCTTTAATTGCAGTCTTGAGAACTTTTCTTGGTTTGAGCTCATGAAAAATGTATTGATTCATTCCAGAAAATTTCTAGACTTCCGCTTACCCCTCAAAGTGTGGAATAATTAATTAGAAAGAATAAAATCATAGATCATTTTTTTCTAAATCAAAAGATCTATCAAATTTCAGCATAGAATTAGGGTTTTACTCAAGTGAAAAATGAAATCATTCACTCGAAAAAAAACCAACAAACCTGTCTCATTTCCAATGAACAAAAGATGAGCAGACGGCAAAAAAGTTGATAAAATTAGTAAAATAGTTGGAAAAATCATTACAGAAGCCAATTTTTTCTATAATTCTTTCTAAAAAATTTGAATATATATAGGAAGTAGTTTCTACTAGTCTATCTAACGAGTGCGAGATATAGAGACAGGAGAAAATGAAGAAGAGGCAAAGAAATTAGGAGCTTGTTGCTATGGTTTTTGCCTAACCGTGGTGGTGTTTGAATAAAAATGCAAGAAGAGTTGAGAAAAAGAGACGAGAGACATGTGTATTCAAAAAAAAACACTAGCAAAGAATCTCAATTTGTGAAAAATATCAAAATATTTGAAAGAGAATTAGAGAACGCGAAAAATAATAATAATATCACTTTGGCTTATATTATTATTATTATTTTATACGCAATTGATCCTTCCTGAAGAAGTTTTTTCTCTTTCTTTTTCTCTCTCTCTTCTTGCTCTCACCTCTACATTTTATACATTTTTTTTTGAATTTTTGTATCTTCCCGCCCTTTTCTTGTTGAGAAATCCCAAATCCCGCCCATTTTTGAACTTAATAGTATTAAATTGTAGTTGTATAGTTTTCATTGACGTAAAAGGAATCTTAATGATGAAATAAACACGATGAAATTTTGAAATTACGTGATTACGTGAGGTAAAAATTGAATATGGAAAATGAGGATATGAAAATGATTTTTAAAAAATTAATTGACTGGGAGAAACCTGGCTCTGCAAAAAATGAAAAGTAGATTTTTGAACGAATCCCAAAGTTTGCTGTTCAAACATTTCACTGAACCTTGAAATATTCATTTGACATACAGAAACAAACTCATTTTTAAAAAAAAATTCAGAAAAATCTGAATAATGTTGTGATTTCATTTTTAAAAAAATAAATCATGGAATCCTGTCTTCTATGTGATATTTATTTTTTGATTTTTCACGATAGTCTCTAATTTTAATGCTGAATTTCTTATTTATTTTTTACTCACAACTTTCATGAACTAAACTCTAGTCAAAATAAGTTTTTTTTTCTGAAATTCGTCACTTCTTCCTTGTTGATTGTTTACAGTTCAACTTCATCTTTATTTTATGTCGCGAATTCGCGTGATCTCTTGATTTCATTTGATTTGTCTTTTTTTCTTCTTCATTTTTTGTCTCCCTCAAATATATATTTCGGCAACAACAACAACAATTCTTCTTCATTCCATTCTTTTTGAGCTTATTCACACACACACAAAAAAACGACAAAGATTTTTGTGCGCGCCAAAGGTTCTTTTTTCAGTCGCCCGCTTTGTTAGGGGCCGTCCAGAAAAAAGAACAACTAAATTATTCCGTGTCTCTTCGTTCCAACGGACACCTATAGATATCTTTCTCTTTTGTACAGCCCAAAAAAAAGAAGCTTGTAAAATATTATTTACTTTTTTGCGCCATCTTCTTCATTCATGCTTTTTGTTGTTGTCTAGCTGAAAATGGAAAAAAGTTCTAGTCCCAAGTTTTTTTTTCACACAATTAATTTTCTGCGCTTGCGAGTAATAGTAAAGTTGAGTAGGGTAGGGTAAATGCAATTTTTAGTATCAAGAAAAAATAACATTTTTTTTAGTATGAACAACAACTGATTTTATTTTTTTTTATGCAAAAAATGTTAGGTAATTTTTTTTCAAGTTGGAAAGGATTAGTAACTTTTGATCTCTTTTGCTATTTCTTGAGAAATACTATCAAAAACAAATCACGCCATTTTTGATCTGCCATTTTCTCGCAGATCTATTTTCAACTCTATTCATTATTTAATCAAAAAAATTCGATTTTTCTCAAATGTGAACCTAGTTTTTCAAAAAACTCAAAACACACACACACATTTTTCTTTCTCCCTCCCTCTCCCAAAAGTCTTTCAGAATTTGATATGAACTGTCATAAATTTTGCAAAAAACATAAAAAAGCACAACAGTTGCTCTCATTTCAATTTCTGCTCCATCAAATTTATATATCTTCTTCCAACTAACTTCCGAATTTTTTTCCATTTTTATTTTTTCAAATTTACAAAAAATATTTCCAGACATTTCCAAAAAACACACACACAATAAAAACAGAGTGGTGGGATCTGGTTAGGTGGAAAAAATGTGGATTTTCTCCTTGACAGCTCATGCATGAGCTTTCCAGGGAGCACACACACATACACACTTTTTTCTTCTTCTTCTTCTACTTTTTTTTGATCTGGTCCAACCGAAAACATTTTTTTCCATGTTCTTACTCGCATTTTCCGGTTTTCATTTTTTTCAACACGTCATTTTTTACCTTCCAAAAAGTCACGTGTAGATTTGAAAAAAAAAACAACAAATCTATGAAAATCGTAAAAAATCCACTATTGTTATCAGTTTTCTTGATTTTCGTATTCATTTTTCTCATGTTGAAAAATATGTGAGAAATAAATAATACAGATTCGGTTTTTTTTCTTCTTTAGGTATCGTAAACAGGATTTGGAATACAATTTTATGTAGTAAAATCGGGAAAAATGTACATTTTATTAATTAATCCGGTTACTGTATTGACGCACGTTGCAAATTTCGAGTAAACAAGTTTCAGAGTTCACAAGTTTAAGGGGGTTTTACAGTTAGATGAATATTCAGAATCTCTATGAAAATTATTTTCAACAAAGACTGATGAAAAATTCTAATTCTGTAAATTTTGAAGTCTAGAACATTAATTTTCAATTTTTTATTCTTTTAACATTTCAATCTTTCAGAAAATGTTTTTTTTTTGAACACCGTAACCAAGAAAAACAAAAAAAACATATTTATGTAGTTGAAATCGGGAAAAAATGTACTTTTTATTAGTTAATCTGGTTACGGTATTGACGCAGGTGGAAAATTCCTACATTTTTCAACAAGTTTTAGGATAGAAGGGGTTTTGAAAAAAAAGTTTTTGATTTTTGAGAAACATTTATCTTGTAAAGTGAACTGTGATTTTTCCTAATGTTTTTCTAGAAACCTTTTTCTCTAGTCCTTATGGAACCCAAAAATGTTCACTGATCTTGAGCCCAATCCTACTCTAGAAAAAAGAAAAAAATCAGTAGATCAAAATTGCTTCTCTCTGAATCCTCAATCATTTTTATTATTATTTTCCATATTTCCAAGAAAATTCAATTTTTATTCTTTGAAAATTATACGCTTTTCTTTTTTTTTCTGTGAGTATTTTGATTTATGTTTAGAAAATCACTCAAAACTTTTTTCACTTCTCGGTCCAATTTCCACGAAAAAGAAAAAAAACGGCGAGAAAACCAATCAAAAAAATATGATGATGATGATGATGATGCTCTCACTCTCCCACAAACCTCTCGGTATTCTTGAAAAACTCTTGAAAAAACTTTTGCTCCAACTTTCTCACATTTCTATCTATTCTATTCAGAAGAAGAAGAAAACGCACTAACCTTTTTCTTTGTTTTATTTTTTCCATTCTCTCAACAAAACTAACCAAAAATAACCAACCGACTAAAAAAAGTTCTCAATCCAATCTAGCAGATTATATACAGTAGCGTGCAAAAAGATACGAACACCCTGCAATTTTATCGTTTCACGGGAACTAGTGGTCCAATAGTTCTGAAATTTTTAGGGAGTGTTACTGGGGCCCCAAAAAGCTTTTTCTACAAGCGGGATATTGTAGTTACTAGCTGAAGAGTTTGAAGAACTCGGATATCAAACATCAATTTTTAGATATTCTCACAAATTTCAAAACATCGTTGAAAAAATATTTTTTTAGTCTCAATTATGATCAACTTTCATTTTTTATGTCTTCAGGAAGAAGTTAGCTTTCTATTCCGACCTCAACTTAATGATTTCATTGCCTATAAAGTTCATTCTGAAGGTTCTAGGAAGACCATCCAGAAAACCTGAAAATGCATAAATCTGGATTTTTGATGATATTTTATTGTTGAAATGTGTTCAAAACACTCTAAACTGGTCATTTGAACCATTCTACACAAAATTCCAATCAAATTCCGAAGTTTTAACTCAATTCGCATATCACTGCATTTTCGATGTTTTTCTGGATCTTTGATTCCACATCATCAACAACAACAAAATTGACTTTTTATTAATCGAACTTGTTTTTTAGATGACTGTTCATGTATATCAAGTGTCATGAATGTGCTAGCAGTCGTAATTTGAGATTGCTAAAAGCTGAAAGTTGACCTCTATGAAAACTCTTTATTTTCAATTGGTTTCCTTTATAAAATTACCCTATTTTGGTAGCTCGATGTTTATCGATCTTCTATTGAGCCGATGAACTTTTTGAGTGGAAAAGATGAAATTTTCAGTGTTTAGAACTGCTTTAAGAATTAGTTCGATCAACAAAAAGTCAATTTTTATGTTGTTGATGATGTGGAATCAAAGATCCAGAAAAACATCGAAAATGCAGTGATGTGCGAATTGAGTTAAAACTTCGGGATTTGATTGGAATTTTGTGTAGAATGGTTCAAATGATCAGTTTATAGTGTTTTGAACACATTTCAACGATAAAATGTCATCAAAAATCCAGATTTATGCATTTTCAGGTTTTCTGGATGGTCTTCCTAGAACCTTCAGAATGGACCTTGTAGGCAATGAAATCATTAAGTTGAGGTCGGAATAGAAAGCTAACTTCTTCCTGAAGACATAAAAAATGAAAGTTGATGATAATTGAGACTAAAAAAATAATTTTTCAACGATGTTTTGAAATTTGTGAGAATATCTAAAAATTGATGTTTGATATCCGAGTTCTTCAAACTCTTCAGCTAGTAACTACAATATCCCGCTTGTAGAAAAAGCTTTTTGGGGCCCCAGTAACACTCCCTAAAAATTTCAGAACTATTGGACCACTAGTTCCCGTGAAACGATAAAATTGCAGGGTGTTCGTATCTTTTTGCACGCTACTGTATATTCCCTCTTTTATCCGTAAAGGTCTTCTTTTTCCATCATCCATTCAAACAAATATTTTTTTTTTCGTTGGTCATCTGATTTTCAATGCATATTTTTTTTGTATGTTCCATTTGAAGCTTGAGCGAAACGAACACAACATTTTTC